TTGCTTTTTTAATATTTTTATTCGCTTTTTTTGTGTTTGTAATTTTAATCAGTAATATTAAACGTTTTTTCCTTATTTTCTTTATATAATTATTTCTTTTTATTTGTATGATACGCTGGCCCGCCCCTCGCTTTTCCCCATTGCTCCTGCTGCTGCCCCTACTTATCATGCTGCTCCTGCTACTTCCTCATGCTTCTTTTACTCCCACATGCTACCGTCTGTTGTCGTCGGTATGTCAGTTGTTCTTTTAGTCCTTCGTCGTTTGTCATATACTTCCCTTTCCCTGTCCCACACACGTCATAACCCATCCATCCATCACTCCCATTCTGGCTTCTGCTTTCTGCTGCGGTGCTTAGTTCGTTATTTTTATAAATTAACAAATTTTAGCTAAGTAGTTGTAGTTCTTGTTGCTTGGTTGGTTGGTTGGTTGGTTGGTTTGATTTAATTGTATCATCATTTCATCCTGATTCTGCTCCTCCTTCATCCGACACTCTTTCCTTGCGCTATCTTTGATATATATATCTTCTGTCGCCCCCGAATGCGAATTTCTGGGCAAACAACAATCAAAGGCTGATTTTTGCATCGTTCTCAAATTTTTTCGAACAAATGCATCGAGAAAAGACTTACATTTTCTGTTGGGTTTCGGTTTTCTTATGTTGTTTCTTATCATTTCACATCAACAACATTTGCCATTTTGTTGTTTATTTTATATAATTTTTGTTGTTGCTTGGTTGTTGGTTTCTTGTTTGTTTTTCTTCTTCTTTTGTTTATATTATATATTGGGTTTTCTGGTTTTCTTGTTGTTATAATGCGATGTAATATGTTTAAATGTAAGCGCAATCCAGCTTAAAGGAAATAATCGGGTGTTCTTCGCGTAACATGAGGCTCGCCGCGCCGCGGTGCTGGATCAAATTGTAGGCTACGTAAAAGAGACAAGAGGAAAATAACGATATAGAACGTTACATACGAAATATTATCCCTCTTTGTATGTACTCACAATGAAAATTTAAGTGAATCATCCAGTTCCATAAGAGCCGCCTGGTTGCCGCATCTGTAGCAATAATTTGGCGCTGAGAAGATTGTGACCACATTGCGATCGTGACACCAGTTGTAGCCCTCCATTACCAGTTGATGTGCACGCGAGACGAGCGTCAGGCCGTTTGTGTTGTTGAACGTTTCCGAAATGTCCTAAGAACGATAAGCCCGTAATTAGTTATGACTCTAAAGGGGGATGATCCCTTCAAAACTCACCTGTCCAAAGGTGTAGCCGGCACCACGGGGCGATATTCCCCAGCCACCCCTGTCATCGGGATCGGACCACAGCAGATCGCACATGGGTCCCTCATGGGGCACCTCCTGTAAGCGGTCGAGGGCCCGAATGTGGTCCAGGCTGTCGATCGACGGACTGAGGCCGCCGTGCAGGCAGAAGATCTGCCCATCAACCAACGCCGTCAGCGGCAAGTAATCGAACAGATCCGTGAAATACTTCCACACATTGGCGTTGCCGTACTTGCGCAGACACTCATCGTAGAAGCCGTACACCTGTGTGATCTGGCGAGACTCGTGGTTGCCGCGCAGGATGGTGATGCGCTCGCGGTAGCGCACCTTCAGCGCCACCAGCAGAGTGACAGTCTCCACCGAATAGTAGCCGCGGTCCACATAGTCGCCCATGAACAAGTAGTTTGTGTCAGGGGACTTGCCGCCTATCCGGAACAGCTCCATCAGGTCGTGGAACTGGCCGTGCACATCGCCGCAGACTGTGACGGGACATTTGACCTCCTGCACGTTCGACTCCTTGGAGAGGATCTCCTTGGCCTGAATAAGGAAAAAGCGAAATAAAGATTCATTCAATCGTAATTCTCTAGTAGATGATATCAATGCCATAAGACAAGCAAAAAATAGCTAGCAACAGGAAGTGGTGAGAAACCCCTGCTATAGGGTAAGGGCAGGGCCAGATATATGCCCATTCTCCGCTCTCTTTGGGGTAAGGAATGTACGAGTTATACTGCTGCTGCTAATGGATTGATGCATGACAAATTCCGGGATGGGCCGGAAGATTTATGCGTGAACCAATTAGATATTTAGCCATATATATTGAGGCGGCTACTTCCGCCTGCCCCAGAGGCCTATGACAAGGGGATTTTCAACACATCACGAGGCCGCTCACCTACACAGACAAACAGAGGATGCTATACTCACTCTCTCCCTCTGTCTATCTTCGCTCGCGGCCACCACCCTTTGAAAAGAATAGGAGAGGGGTAAGGGTAAGCAACGGGTCAAGAAAAAGTGGAAGATACGTCAGAAAAGAATAGAACACTCTTCTGCCGTATGCGTGAGAGACCTCTAATGGGAACACAGTCTAAATATTTGGGTGACGCAAACATAACCCCACTAAATCCCAAATCAATGAATCGTTATCTGTACGAGTCTCTCTCTCTCTCTCCACTTGCACTCTCCGAGTGTTTGTTTGCATGTGTGTTTTTGAGTGCTAGGAGCATGGGAGTGTATGTGGGCATTGAACGGTAAAATCGGCAAATTAATAACAATTAAAAACGGCACAATACCAGCGCTCGAGATGGATTAATTAAATATTCCTCAAATAAAACACAGAATACACTTCAACACTAGCCAATGCATTTATCTAGATACGGGACCTGCTTTTGTATGGGGTGCAAGAACGTATATAGATACATATTCTAGAAGCAGCGCCGCACACCAACACACAAAAACATTAAGTAATATTTACTCAGCGAAAAAAACCAATTGCCGATTTATAGGAGGGCAGTGCGGTAAGATTGTTAGCCAATTTTCTTAAGTGCATTGGAAGCAACAACAACCATACGCAATCCCCTCTATCATTAAACAACAAACTGGGAAATTTAACAATACAAAAAATATCTCTTTTGCTGAGGTTAAGCCCATTAGACCGAGCGCTGTACTAGTTGTCGCATTCACACACACGCAACGCACTGTATGTTGGTCTCACTTACACTCGAGCAGGTTATACCAGCCGCTTGGCTGTTGGAATTTACCAATATTCCAATATGGCGACGCAAGCCGCTGCCGCTACTGTGCAAGCAAGCAAGAGCGTCATGATTCATGAACCACCGCGAGTGCGAGCGAGAGAGGTAGGGCACGCAGCAGCACCATTTGCAAAAAAAATTACTCGCATGCAATGATGAAAATTATTTTTAAACCCTTGATTTTACGTTGAGCTAAAATCCCTTACCTTGTCGCAGAGAGTGCGAACTTGTGTTTCTGTCAACTGATTGCATTCGTTCAACTGCTCAATCCATTGATCAAGATCTTTTGTTGTCGCTTTATCCTCCATCGCAGTTGTGGTTGAAGGAAAAGTCTCGTCAATCTTTGTCGATTCAATTTTGACGCCTTTTTATTAACCGGGGGTAAGAAAGAAATATACTATCCGCGCAAATTAGATTGCTGGCCGCGTTTTCACTTGCTCCCGTCTAAAATTTTGCGCTCGATTTAATGCAAAATTTCGCTCAATTTTTATCAATGTTCTTCGTATTATTTGTTCCGACCAGTGTGACCGCGTAGGGGTGTCAAACCAAAGAGGGCACTATCGATAGTATCGATATTTTGCTGCTAGCCTCTACTATCGATGGTTTTGAGACTATCATGATAGTATCGAGCTACAGTCGTTGCGCTTTTGATATGTTTGGATTGGCTGCTATGAAATACGAAGACCAATGTGTAAACAAATTGACAGGTGGCATCTAATTTTTACAATGGACAAGTTCCTAAAAGGTTTCAATGGTTTTTTAATAATTATTGGAGTCCGATACTATTACGATAGTATCGATTGTTTTTTTTTCAAAACATTCAACGTTGATATTCCTCGATTTTGATATTCCGTTTAATATTACTAGCTAGTTGGCCCTCTCAGCCCTAAACAAATAATTTTATTCGATAGATACATACATTTTCTACAGGATTGGCAAGTTTTCGGAAGTCTTTTTTATTGCATTATTTACATAAAAAGGTTCAAACAAAAACGGCCAAAGCATAAGACGTAAGTGTTGACTAAATGTGACGTCAGTGCAAGTTTCTTCTATGCGTATGTACTTTTGTATACCTTGTTTCTTTTATTTATGATTTTATCCTAGATTGACATGATTTTTTTACCTATTATTGCACATGTTAATATCTTTAAAACAGAGACTGAGTACTGAAATTACAAACAATATCTCAAGTCCATGGAAGTCCAGGAAGATGATGTACATATGTGCATAGAAATTGAGCAAATTCTGTTAACTGAAAATATGCTAAACTTTGAATACTCATACTTCCGAAACTAAAAGACCAATTTTCGTATTTAAAGTATCCAAAGCTCTCACTCAAAAAATTACTTTTGCCACCTCTTTTCGGCTGAGGCCCCACTGTACGTCGGCTGGAGTGCCACGGCGACGATCCCAGCAAAGCTCGCAAGCCCAAGCCCACATTGAGAAGGCGTTACCCGAACTGCAGCTGCCGAATCTGTGGCACAACTGCTGCGGCAGCATCCGCTCAAAGTTCGCGGGATGCCGTCCAATGTTGCTCAAGGCCAAGATTCGAAATCCACCATCAACGGGGGCAGCAGTGGGAGCATCTCTGACATACTCATCGCCAGACGTAAGCTCTTTAAGTCGCTGACATATGTAAGACCAGAGGTTCCCACCAGTGGGTATCACTATATTAGAATCTAAATCTGACGCAGATTAGGGGAGACCACGAATCTATCTGTATCTCAGTTTTCTGTGTTCTAAGAATCTCAATCACAAAACTAAAAGGAAGAGCATGCCATGTTGGATGACTACATGGAACACCATCGTAGATTTAGTCTGCAAACGTCACGAAATAAATATCTATTTATTATCAAGTTAATTCAAACCTGCAGTGCAGTTCCCGTACCTCCTGCAGATAGGTTCTGTTCGGAAGACAAAGAAGCGCAATCAGCCCTAGTATTTGGTAATATCATCTACAAGATTTATATATACCAATTGCGTTTAAAAACAAATTTTATTTTCAATACAAGAGATAAAACTAGATCAGAAGGCTTCCTCTTGGGCCTGGGTTGGCACTGCCATGCCCGCCGCCTTCATTTCGGCCATAAATCGTTTCTTGATGATGTTCGCAATGTTGGCATTGACATTCGGGAGCAGTCCACCGGTGCGGGCCGCATGTTCTATTCTCTGGACAATATCGATCTCGCGGCGGGAGGAGATGAAGTTGGAGACAAGCGACTTGTCCGTGTTTCCCACCCGTCCGATGCGTCCACAGCGATGGATGTAGTCGGAGATGTGCAGGGGAAAGTCAAAGTTTACCACATGACGAGCCCTCGTGGTGTCCAACCCGCGACTGCTCACGTCTGTGGTAGAGAGCACGTCGCAGTGGCCTCTTTGGAACTGATCAAAGCGGCCCAAGCGAATTTTCATGAGCATGTCGCCGTTCAGATTGAGGCAGTTTACGCCGCTGTTGTTCAGGAAAATGGACACAAAGTCGCTGGTGGCGGACTTGTTGCTGAACACGATGATGGGCCGCCGCTTGGCCAGATCCTGCTTGACCAGGGTCAGCAGGTGACCCGGCCGATCCGCCTTGGACATTCGCAGGAACTTCTGCGTGACATGCGGCATCAGTTGGTGCAGATGCGGACTCACCAAATCTTGAATGGTGTCCACGTCGATGACGCGCTCCAGAATCTCGCGGGTGTTTGTAGGCATCGTGGCCGAGGCCAGGACAAGCTGAGTGCCCACAGTGCGGGCATCCTGCTTTTGGACCATGTGGAACTGCAGTGGAAAAGCGAAAAATTTAATTTATATGCTGCGTAAATAATTAGCTACAGCATACGGGGAATCTCCTGAGGAAGTACGTGAGTTTGTCGGTGAAGCTGTCGTCCAGCAACGTGTCCGCCTCGTCCAGCACCACATGGCGCACCTGCTCCATGCGGTAGATACCAGTCGTCACCAGCTTGCTGAGGGCGCCCAGCGTCGCAACCAATACATCGACCTCTTCGAACTTCGGGTTCATCATCAGCTGCTTGGTGTTGCCGCCCAGCAGAGCCTTCACCTTGAGATCTGTTCCCTGACTGAGGTTCTCGGCCACCTGCGTAATCTGCGAGGCCAGCTCACGGCCCGGCGTCAGTATCAAGGCTCGCGGCGTATTGAAGCTCCGTTCCGTGATCTCCTGCTGCAGCAGTCTGTCCAGGATGGGCAGCATGTATGTCAGGGTCTTGCCGCACCCCGTTTCGGCTGCAATCAGTGCGTGGGTGTTTCCGTGAACAATGGGCAAGCCCTTGATCTGTATGAACGTGAGCATTTTGATGCCTAGTTCATTCTGCAGGTTATCCAGTAGCTTCGGGTGGAGCGCCACTTGGCCACTGTCCAGAAAGCCCGTCACGCTCTGCATCTCCTGCTGCAGCTGGTCCCCACTGACGCTGGCGTTCAGGGTGAAGTGGTCGCCCTTCGATTTGTTGTGCAGCCATCCCTTGGACGCCAGTGCCAGTGTCCCGAACTTGGCGCCCGCCCGATCGTGTTGCGTCAGGTTGAACTGCGTCCGACTACACGTTATAAGTGGCTTTGGTTTGTCCCGCGTTTTCCCCACCTTTATCTTTGTTGTCACTGCTGTGGCTGTGGCGGCCGTCGCCAGATGCCTGGAGGTCTGCACCCGCAGCACCAGAGAAAGATTCAACATGGTATAGTCTTTGAATTATCCAATGTTGTATTTTAAGCCGGTGCGTGGGTGGGTGGTAGAACAGCTGTGGTTTGTGTGTTACCGTATATTAAAATTTACAAATATCAAAAAAATCGATTAATATTCAATAATTAATATAAATTACTAAATTAAATAATATTAAACAAATGTTAACATAATTTTCAATACACACCACTAATTGAAAAAAATATCGGTAGTTTTGTGCGATAAGCATCACTTAATTGCAACTCTGTTATCCAAAATATTCCGACGAATATGCAGACATTTTTCTAAACTTCTTTCGTTTAAAAGAAAAATTTATAAGAACAGGCAAATCTAGTAGAATGTTTTTGGAGAAAAGTTTGAGTCAGAGCCAGATTTTAAAAACACAATAAACATGTCAGTTAAAATATTTCAATATAACATTCAATCGCTCAAACATGAAATCGCTTTCATTGCCACATCTGACATATCAATTATACAAACAACCAATTTATCCCGAAATCTCACAATAGCTTCAGCCTATTGTGAGCCAAATGTAGCTCTAGATGATTTTAAATCAGACATTAAAAGACTTTTTGATAGCATGAAAAATCTTCAAGATGTATTCATATGTGGAGATTTTAATGCTCGTAATAGTGTATTCGGTGACAGTATGACCAATTCCAAAGGTCGTTTCATAGAAGATGTTTCCTTAAATGCTGGTTTCAAGTGGTTGAATGATGGAAGCTTAACCTTTAAACAGTCTCTAAATATAATGTCGGGTTCAGTTTTGGATTAGACTTTTACCAACTCTGATTTGCTTTTTGACTGGCATGTCCGTCCGCTAAGGATTGGTGGCAGCCATCATTTTCCTATATCAATTACAATCCAGAATATCAAAATAAAACCAAAGTTCTTTCTGTCTAAAGTAAAGTTATTTTCAAAACTGAACAACATTAGAGATTTTCAGAACATTAATGATATAACAAACAAGGTGAAAAATGAAATTAGGTCATGCACTCACATATTAGAGAAAAGGTCTCCAAAGTTCTGGTGGACTGACGAACTTACACGTTTAAATAGAATTTTTAAGTCTACGCAAGCTAAAGCTATCAAATATCCAAATACACACAACTTTGAAGCGGCCAGCCAAGCTCGACTAGAATGGAAAAATGCTGTGAAAAAAGCAAAGAGAAACTCTTATCAGGATAAAATTGAAGAGATTAATCTGAATCCTTCGTCTAGGAAATCTTGGCAATTTTTGAGGAATCTTAAAGGTCTAGGGAAACCTCAGATGAAAGAGTTGTCTCCATCCAATAACAGGGAATATTTAGACTTTCTGAGCAGTCAAATTCCACAAACAGAGTTAATTGCAACTGTTCCTAATAACATTGCTAACTCGCAGAGTACACAAACATTTTCTATGAAGGAATTAAGGGAGGTTATTAGAAATAAAAGATCAACGGCTGGTGGCATTGATGGGATCACACATGAAATGCTAGCATCTCTTTCGGAAGAGTTAATACAAAAACTATTGTCTTGTTTTAATGAGTCATATGATAGCTGCCAATTTCCAAATGCGTGGCGTAGCATTAAGATCTTCCCGATTCCAAAATGTGGTAAACCACTAGATGACATCAAAAACTTCAGACCAATATCGCTAATCTCAGTTCTTGCGAAATCTGTAAACGGCATGGTTAAAAATAGATTGTCTGAGTTTGTGGAAAAGAACAAGTTACTGCCCTTTAGGTGTTACGCTTATAGGAAAAAGAAAAGTGCTTCCATGTGTATAAACGATCTTTTGTCAACCATTCACTGCCTCAAACGGCAAAATAAGAAAATAGTAGTTGCTTGCCTTGACATAGAAAATGCGTATAACTGTGTAAATTTGGCGTTCCTAAAAAAAATCATGTTGTGGTTAAAAGTTCCTAACCAAATTATACTATGGATTCTAAATTTCTTGTCAGTAAGGTTTTTGCATTTAGGTTCGGAGACTGAGAAGGTTGCAAATGGTCTGCCACAGGGAAGCTGTCTGTCGCCAGTTCTTTTTAATCTGTATACTCTTCGGTTACATCAAATTGAGGACAACGACACCAAGATTTTTCAATTTTCTGATGATTTCATAATCTTGTCAGCCAAACCCACTTTTTGTGAAGCTGCAATAAATTTACAAGGCAAGATCGACAGTTTTCAGCTCCTTTGCGGAGATCTAGGACTAAACCTGAATCCAATTAAGTGTTCGGTTATGGCTATGACACCATTCAAAAAAACGATAGTAAATATCGTTCTGAATCTGCAAAGTATCCCTGAAGTCAGCGAAATAAAGTTTCTGGGTAGAATAATCACATCGAGTTTGTCTGACAAGAAACATGTAGAAACGAGAAGGAACGTGTGAGTCGCTTCTGGGGACGCGACTCTACTTATACCCGTACTCAGTCAGTATATACATTTTTGAGCTTATGATTTTTAAGAATTTTAGAAAAAAAAAAAATTTTACATTTTACATTTTTTTGCTACATCTGATATCTACATCTACATATACAATGTCTATTCTACATCTAACATGTAGATTGTACATGTTCCATTCATATTCTACATCTCCTCCGCTAGGGGTTGCTCGCGCACTGAACGCGGCAGAGTGTGCGAGCGAGAAGGAAAATGAGTTGTGTTATCGTTTGCAGGAGGGCGGGCAGGGGAAGCAACAGAAAATTTCTTCATTCTGGCTATAATTATGATCCGATCTGATTCAGATTTGGCAATCTGGTAGATATGGGCATTCTCTACGATACTGCGTTTTTAGTTTTATCGTATCTTTAAAATTGTGCCTGCCACAGATTTTCGTCCTTTGTGGGGGCGGAAGGAGGCGGGGCGAAATTTTGAAATACACTTGTAGCAGTGTGATATCACATGAGTCTGGAAACGAAATTTGGTTACCCTAGCTCATATAGTCTCTGAGATCTAGGCGCTCAACAAGACGGACAGACAGACAGACAGACAGACAGACAGACAGACGGACAGACAGACATTGCTATATCGACTCGGCTATTGATGCTGATCAAGAATATATATACTTTATGGGGTCGGAAAATTTTCCTTCTCTGCGTTACACACATCCACTTTTACCACAAATCTAATATACCCCTTAACTCTTTTTTAAGTACGGGTATAAAAATAAGGATAGAATATGGAGTTGGCATGAAACTGTTGCAAATGGCCACCAATATTAAAAGTGGCCTAAGACCTCAAGTTGCCACAAATATATACAAAGCACACATTAGATCAAAAGCTGAATATGCGTCGACCACCATGGCAAACCTAAATAAAGGTAACTTTGGTAAACTTTTTTCGAGACAAGCCGCTGCGCTTCGTCGATGCTTAGGGGTAACACCAGATACTCCAAAGCATGTGATTTTTGCGTTGGCGGGTGAAATGCACCCAAACTTCAGAGCAATGTTTTTAACTGCCAAAGAGCTTTTGAGATTAAAGACTCAAAACTACGATCTTTACAATAGTTACACCTGCTCTCAATCAGTAAATTCGTCTTACACGATAGTAGCAAACAAGTTTAGGGATATTTTTGAAATGACCAAACCAGCAGTGACTTTCACCGCAAATAAAAGACTGCATCTACATAGTAACCCCTTTAATATAAACAAACTAAATGTACCTAAAGAACAAATTCTTGTTATGTATTATGAAATTCTCCACAATCTCAAGGAAACAAAGTACCATATCTTTGCAAGTGATGCCTCAATATGTGATAGTAAAGTGGGTATGGGTATTATTGATGTAAACGGAAAAAAGACTTATAGATTTAAATCAGAGATAAAAATTTCGTCTGCTATGGCTGAATTATTTACAATTAACATGACCTGTCTCATTGCCAAGCAATTAAGACTAACTAAAGTAGCTATTTTTACGGATAGTTTAGCAGCTATATATATGTTAAAAAATGCAGAATCAGATGCCTATCCAGTGGCAAATATTCACAACTTACTGGTATGGCCAGAATTAATCTCTGTAGACATCTACTGGATGCCAGGGCATATGGGTATCCCAATAAACGAACAAGCGGATGAAGCTGCAAAACCTGCCATCTCAAATGGGGTGTTTGTTAGGCTGAACTATACGTTAGGTGAAGCATGTCGAGAGGTCAAGAAAAGAGTTTTTGCCTTATGGAATGACTACTAAAAGCAGGCTTCTTCATTGTCTGGTGGTTTTTTCTTTGATTTATTTCCAAATGTTCCAAGGGAACCCTGGCACAAGAAGGTTAGATGGAACGCTCAGGATATGAGACTCCTAAATCGACTCATGATAAATCATACGTATGACAACGTTTTTTTGAAAAAATGCAAAATAGTTAGTTGTGACCTATGTCCAACATGTAACGTAACTGAATCTGCAAATCACCTGATTTTCAACTGACTCATGCCCCTAAGGCGTAAATTTAAAATATTTAAGTATTACAACTCTACGCACGATTTCTTTAAAGCAAATATCCTTCTACATATGAGGGAACTCGCGAAATTTGTAAGAGAAGCTAAATTAGACTTTTAATCACGCGTCGTAAAACACATCGAATGTAAGTGTGTATATAACATATCACTTAGTTTCTTGGCTTGGAAGTTTTCTTTTGGCCAATTACTCTCTTTGAGAAAAATACAAATACAAATTCGATCACGCTGCCAATTACTCATCTCTATGAATACTAGAAAGTGGTAGTAAAATCGATAGTGTCTCGCACATATCGATACATCGTTTCTGGTCGCTGCTACAACAGACCAACCAAAAAAAAAAAAACTTCTTTCGTGCGTTCTATTTATACAAGTTGAACTTGAAAACAATATTAAATTTAAATTGAACAAATAAATATTAAATATTAAAATAAACTGCATGCGTGTTGATGAAGACTATTAGTTAAATACTCTCTAGTTTGGTATTTTCCGTGCGTTTTCCAGTACTATTTTAATTTTGACATTTGCCAACTTGCAGAGCACTGGCCGGATCTTTCTCTTTTTCTGCCAGCTTGCAGCGCCTTTGGACGTGTTTCAATTGCGCTCCCGTTGCAAATATATAATTGACTGGAAATGTCTGAGACATTGCAATTGCGTGGTACCCTGATCGGCCACAATGGCTGGGTCACCCAGATCGCCACCAACCCCAAGGATCCCGACACCATTATCTCGGCCTCCCGTGGCAAGTACTCGGATGTCGTTTTCGCGAATGCAGAAGCCGAATCTAATCCGCAGATATCTCTGCCATCCGAAAGACGCATCTAATGTTGTGTTTACTCATCTGCAGACAAGACCCTAATCGTCTGGAAGTTGACCCGCGATGAGGACACCAACTACGGCTATCCCCAGAAGCGCCTCTACGGCCACTCGCATTTCATCAGTGATGTTGTGCTTTCGTCTGATGGCAACTACGCTCTGTCCGGTTCCTGGGATCAGACCCTTCGCCTGTGGGATCTGGCTGCCGGCAAGACCACTCGCCGCTTCGAGGGACACACCAAGGTGGGATAAGTTTTCAATTAATTTAGTTGCTCAGGGAAATGAGATTTGCTTTTGAAACAAAAATAAGATCTGTTCTGGTAAATGGTCCCGAGTATGGTTAGAAGTGTGGTTAAGCAGAGGGGCGGGGCCATTATCATGTACAGATTGAAAATATTGCGCCTATGCGAGGCAGAATTTCTGGTTGACATCTGGTACGAACGGTTCTCCGCCAAGTCAGCGTACCCCCATTTGCTCGAGGCTCTTTCGTAAGTAGGCAAATACTGAAAATACCCCCCACTGATCCTAAGAACGCTACTATAGTGATGCCACGACTTATAATGCCTGTTCTCCGTTGATTTTTAGGATGTGCTGTCGGTGGCCTTCTCAGCTGATAACCGTCAGATCGTGTCTGGTTCTCGGGACAAGACCATCAAGCTGTGGAACACTCTGGCCGAGTGCAAGTTCACCATCCAGGAGGATGGCCACACCGATTGGGTGTCGTGCGTGCGTTTCTCGCCCAACCACTCGAATCCCATCATCGTGTCTTGCGGCTGGGATCGCACCGTCAAGGTCTGGAACTTGGCCAACTGCAAGCTAAAGAACAACCATCACGGCCACAACGGCTACCTGAACACCGTTACCGTTTCGCCCGACGGATCGCTGTGCACCTCCGGCGGCAAGGACTCCAAGGCTCTGCTGTGGGATCTTAATGATGGCAAGAACCTGTACACCCTGGAGCACAACGACATCATCAATGCCCTGTGCTTCTCGCCCAACCGCTACTGGCTGTGCGTCGCCTACGGCCCATCTATCAAGATCTGGGATCTGGCATGCAAGAAGACCGTCGAGGAGCTGCGCCCCGAGGTCGTCTCGCCCACCTCAAAGGCCGATCAACCCCAGTGCCTGTCCCTGGCCTGGTCCACCGACGGCCAGACTCTGTTCGCCGGCTACTCTGACAACACCATCCGCGTCTGGCAAGTGTCTGTATCAGCTCATTAAGCTCTTGGACTATGTCTATGCTCTGGTCGCCCATTTGATTTGTTGAAGCGAAAACAAAAATAAAATTTTAAGCGTCCTTTATAATGCGGAAATTGGTTATATTTTGTGGCTGTTTGATGGGTAATTATGGGAGAATCTGAATATTAAAAAAAAGAGAAAATGAGGATTGCCAACGGAAGAGAGATATTTGGGAAGATTGGAATTTCCAGAACAGACTTTTATAAGAAGCTTATCGACTGCTAAGAAATTAAAAAGCTCCCTGACAACTGCTTTTTAAAGTGGTTTGCTACATAAGCTACAAATAAAGCTGCTTGGCATGAAACCAAAGACAATATAAGTATATACTTATATTGTCTTTGATGAAACTCTTTAGTTTCCTGTAAGCGGGATATTTAATAAAATTATCCGATATCTCCAGTTTTCGTTGCTATAGCTGATATTTACAGCTAAATTCTTAATCCTCGTGCTCATCTATTCGCTTGTTCCCTTTCAGGAAATACAAGATTTCTCCTGCATTCTCTAGTGCTTTCTTTATTGTAAACACATTTTAGAAAATGTTTCCAGTTTTACAATTATCGTATAACAAATAATTTAAATAAATAATTACGTCAGAAGATGCGTGCGGTGTATCGTGTGTGCGTCTGGTTGGGAACAAAGTATATGGGCAATGTGGTGGTGGGGGGAAAGATGCGAAAACAATATTTGACTAATGGGACAACAATAAATGGGATTCCTAAAGGAAGTTTTCCTTTTGTGAGCATGTACATGATTTGGATGGTGTGTGTGATGCTTATGTATGGTGTATGTGATGCTGCCTTTGGGTACATATAACATTTAACAAAGAATTTTACATCTTGCCTAACTAGATATTGTGGATGAAGGGACGGGGGGAGTACAGCGCAGGGCAAGGATGGGGGAAAGCTAAAGATTCCTATAACTCTTAGCAGGCACTCTGAGGCGTAGTCCTCATTTGGTTTTGATTGAATTCGAGCGTTGCACCGCAGCGACGGGCGGGGATTTGGCCATCGGTTGAGCAGCAGCAGGAGCGTCTGCAACCTTGCCCGCCAATGTTCCGCCAATTGTGTAGACAGCATTCCTGAAGACAATCACCACCACGGTTATGTTGTCCACGGAGCCGCGCTTGTACGACTCCATTGTGAGGGCTTTGGCCCCATAATCTGAGTCCTTAAGGTGCTCCTGGATAAAGATGCAGGCCTCCTCATTACTGAATATATCCCAGAGCCCATCAGAGGCAAGTATCAAAAAGTGTGGCCTGGAATGCGGAACGGCAGAATTATATGGAGTAGAATGAAATAAGTGATTATCTGTGAGTTTCTGGTTCGCTGCACTCACTTGTGATCGTTTAACTCAAAGGTCAGTATATCAGGCGTGGCAATCACAAGGTTCTATTGGGAGACAAAAACGCCATTCAGATTAGAGCGCAATAATCACTTGATGAGCATAATTTTCTAAGTACCTTATCTTTCAGCGGATAATCGCCCATTGCACGCGATGTGGCAAGTACTCCAGCCACACGCCAAACCCCACGGAAAGCAATAAACCCACCGGCATCGTGAATCCGCTTTCGTTCACGCACCTGCTGGGGCTTGTGGTCAAAGGACAGCGGTATGGCGATGCCACGCGAGTCGTACATGACGCCCCGGGAGTCACCCACATTGGCGACAATAAGTTTGGTGCCATGAACAATGGCTATCAAGGCTGTGGTGCCTGCAATGTTGGTCTAAAAACGGAATCACCAGATTAAACATTTTTCAAGAACTACGGGCTGACTTTCCTTACCGTTAGTTTGGCCTTTTCCACCAGCTTGTAGTCGGCGGACAGGATTTCGTCTGTGATGAGCTTCCCAAAGTTGATGCGGCCGTTCTCGATGTAGCACTTGGCCTCAAGATCGGGCGGCGCAGCGTTTGTTCCGCCATTCTGTGCATTATTGTTGTTGTTGAGAAACGAAGAGCCCATGGCCGCACCATTGCCGCTGGCTCGCATCGCCAGATTCAGCTGGGCTGTATAAATGTCGGCAATTGATGCCTCCGTTGGCTTTTGCTTCAAGGAGCTGCAATCGGCCGTGGTGCTGTGGGCCTTACGCAAGCTGTCGCGACGGGAAACAGATGCGGTGTCGGGCTCTGTGTTCTCCTTGTTGGCGGCATCCTTGCGACTGCTCTGTTTGCGAACCAGATAGGGGTTCTTGTCATAATCGCCGGTACCAGACTCGGTCTTCAGCAGCTTGGACATCTCAATTATCTTGTTGTAAATGTTCTTCACGAGTACATCTCTGGCAAAATTAGCGGCGAACTCGCCACCATGCCCATCAAAGACCGCAAAGAAGGAGACGCCCGTGTTGTTGTTGATGTTCTCCTCAAGAATAAATCTGGGAAACAAAGAGGCTTAGCTGATGGGCTGGAAGGATTGAGATGTGTACCAGCATACCTATCCTCCATACGTGGTCTGCGTCCGAGCACAGCAAAGGCTGAGCTTTGCTGCTTCACTTCCTCCCAGCTCTGGTGGTCCCCTGCCATGGCTGACATCTCCATCATTTTGGCGGCCTTCTGGCGACCAAACGAGGCCTGGATGCGTCCCAGAATGCTGCGACCCCATACATCTACCGCTTGCAAATAGATCAACAAGACGAACAGAATGAGGCCGCAGAAAACTACCTCCGGTCGGAGGACATAAAGGCGGCACAGCTTCCATATGTAGGCCAGTGGGGAATTGATGGATGAGAAGCCCACCGCAAATTTCGAGAGGATTTTCATGTGGGAAACGTATGTCTGATAGAACACCTTATCTTCCAGTTCGTCGTCCATGGAAAGGTCTGCTGCTGCTGTCTCTCAGATTTAGGTCGCAGATAGTTTGGGTCTGTATAAGCGATGGAATCAGCTATGAGGATGCAGTGGGGTGTAAGGGATGAAATGAAGAAACACCTCAGATTAATAAAGAAACCATTTTGATAGGGGCTGGTTCCAACCCCATTACGAAAACGTACTCAGAAGAAACACTTGACGCTGCACGTCAGCCGGGTCGAATTGAATCTATTCTGGCTCTGCTGTAGTCGTTTTGCTTATTTTCCGCTGCGCTGCGCTGCCTGTGTGTTCCCGTTTTCTTTTAAGTATCGTTTCTGTCCCTTTTTTCTGCTGCTTACAGACGATTCTCGTTTTTTGCCGCTGTCATTATTGGTCGTGGACGTTGCTCGCCTGCTTTCTTTGGGATTATTTTTAAAATATTTTCAGAGATTCTTATTATAGCCAGTGAGTGCGTGAGTCGTCTATGTGTATTTTATTCAAGCACATCGAACATCTGTCATAGCATATGTGCTTGTGTGTGTGTCTGCATTTATGTCGCAATAAATATTTCCCCACGCACTGTAGGAGCCGAAAGTCTGATGCTAAACAATGCCAAGTTTATATACGTTCTTAGTTGTTCGTTTAGCTTTCGTTTGAATTTAATTAATATTAAAATTGAAAAAACCCAGCACTTGTTGACCGTTCTGGGCAGTGTAACCGCGGATTTATTGAGAAAATATAACACTGAACCCGAAAAAATATACCAAAATATACATGATAATTTTAAAAATATATCGTAATTATATCGATGGACGCGACGACTAGTTTCCTCAATTTTGATATTCGATTTAATATAATAACATATCTATGGAGAACGGACATATTTTATTTAATTAATGATCAAATTAAGTTTTCCAAGATTGTGTATCTGCTCAGGTGATATTTCCATTATCGATGAATACTGACAAAAATACTCTCGACCGGAGAGATATGTACGAATTGATGTATGGTTTGTGTCGCAAAGGGGGGATATGGAAACATATGAAATTGTTTATGAGTTGCTAAGCTAAACCAGAATTTTCCGCATTACCTTGACCTTTGCTTTTGTTTGCCATTAACTGTACTTTTGTACAACTATGTACATGGCTATTATATTTTCATCAGATAAATACCTGCAGAACTCCTCAACGACCGCCTCTGATGTCGATCCATATCAATTTAAGGAACAATAAATATTTATAATATTATAAATTGAAAACACAAGAGCTGTAGCACGCGATGTGTAGAAAAACTTAAACAAAACGAAATGGAAAATGGAAAAAAATGATGGCAGCAGCATATAAAGACCGTAAAAACACACAATATGCTGAGGGCTCTCTCTGCCGCGCTCTCTCTCTCTGGCTTCCGTAATGATTATTCCTTGCTCAATTATTTCATTGCTGCTCTCTCTCTCTCTCTCTCTCTCTCTCTCTCTCTCTCTCACTCTCTCTCTCTCTCTCTCAAACCGAAATAAACAACAAACAAATCTATATTACATTTTTACATTCAAAGTTTTGTATGGTATATTGTATGCATAGAAGTTTGTACAGTGTACACCCTCTAGCACAGCAGATAATAAACCGTCCGACCTGGTAAATTCCGCAAATACTCATTCGACTGATTATTCAGCCTCAATCTTGACCGGATTTGGCGCGATGGTTGCTCAACTGTACATATATTGTAATACGATTTAAATAAGATTTGCGCTATAGACTCTAAGAACTCGACGGCCATGAAGATATGTATCTACCGGACTGCAGCCATATGATACGTGTGCAAGTACTGTGGTAGGAAAGGGTTTTGCCTGCAACAAAGATTGTCCCTCCCATAAGCTTATGAATCATGAGGGGGGACGGGTGCCACTTTTAGGTACAGATACGTGAACATTTGCAGCCTCAAATGCCGCAAACCTTCGTCTTGTTTAACTGGACGGGTGAACAATTTTGAAAAACACTTGTGACAGTGTGATATTACATGAGTCTGAAAACAAAATTTGGTTGCTCTAGCTGATATATGAACGATCGATCATATGGCATTCATATCTTTGGCCCTAGCACCCAATCCCTTTTTATACCCGTACTCAAAAAAGAGTTAAGGGGTATATTAGATTTGTGGTAAAAGTGGATGTGTGTAACGCAGAGAAGGAAACGTTTCCGACCCCATAAAGTATATACATATATTCTTGATCAGCATCAATAGCCGAGTCGATATAGCCATGTCTGTCTGTCTGTCTGTCTGTCCGTCTGTCCGTCTCGATGAGCGCCTAGATCTCAGAGACTATAAGAGCTAGGGCAACCAAATTTGGTTTCCAGACTTATGTGATATCCCACTGCTACAAGTGTATTTCAAAATTTCGCCCCGCCCCCTTCCGCCCACACAAAGGACGAAAATCTGTGACAGGCACATTTTTAAAGATACGATAAAACTAAAAACGCATTATCGTAGAGAATGCCCATATCTACCAGACTGCCGAATCTGAATCAGATCGGATCATAATTATAGCCAGAATGAAGAAATTAATTTTCAGTTTTAATAGCGAACTTTATATCAAGGTAATGGGGACAACCATGCATTGGTTGCAAATTCATCATATTAAGTAGAATGTACTTAATTTAATAATCTAAACACACTGTAAATAATAAACAGATTCTATATATGTATATATATTTCATAAAGAACTAAATATATCGGACTCTTATCTTATAGGTAAAATTCATAAAATTACACGGCAATTGTTTAATATTTTTATTGACTATAATATCTTTTTTTTGCCGTGTGGGCCTTTTGTCGGAAATGCCCATATATAGAACATTTTCGGGAGACCATAAATCTCGTGATCTTGCATCATAAATAAATCACTTTGTGCTAAATTCAAATATTTTTCCGTTGAACATCGACTAAAATGTGACTCCCACCGCTAGCAGTCAGCAATAATATCTAATGGCTGAAGCAACAGCTGCTCGATTGTAAACAATAGAAAAACAACAAAACTCAAGGTGTCGCAGTGGAATTACGTTGCAAACGAAGTGTATAGAAAGTAGTGCATTGAAAGTGCATTTGGCGTGAAGAGAGATCACGAAATCGGACGCATGTGCAGTCTACATGTCGAGGAGGAAGCCCACTTGGCGGCCATGGGCGGGAACGGAACACCAAAGCCCAGCCCAAGGCCAAGGCCACACGAAGCTAAAATCACGCTGTTCGACATTTGCTGGGAGGACGTGCTCATACCACACATGGCGACTTATCTGTCGCTGAAGGACATATTCAATTTGCGCTGTTGCTCGCAGACGGCGCGATGCTTTGCCGAGGCTTCGCTGGAAAAGCGTCAAGAGCTAAATTTGTCCGGGAATAATACAAGCAATATTGAGCTGGGTTTCAAGGTGGTGGCCCGCTGCTGCCGACGGCTGGAGGTGTTGCATTTGGCCTGCTGCAAGTGGCTGACAGATGACCTGCTGCTCCCCTTGCTGACCAACAATAAGCACCGTCTCTGTGCCGTAAATCTCAATGAATGCGTCAACATCACGGCCCTCTCGCTGCAGCCGATTATAGTGGAGTGCAAGGACTTGCGAATTCTCAAACTGTCCAAGTGTCAGTGGCTCACTACCGGTGCTGTGGATGCCTTAACCCTGCATCAGAGCAAGCTGGTGGAGTTTGACATATCTCACTGCGGGGCCATTGGCGAGCGCTGCCTGATCATCTTCTTCCGCAAGCTCAACAAGCTGACTGTCCTGTCGTTGGCCCATACCCCGAGTGTGACGGATCAGGTGCTCATCCAGATCGGAAACTATTGCCGGGAGCTAGAGCACATTAATTTGATGGGCTGTGTGGCTATTTCCGACTATGGAGTGCAGTAAGTAATCCCATCAAGCGCTGTCCCTTCAATTTGCGATTTTGGGGCGTCAATCCCATATTTTTCTTGGTGTATATTTGTACGTGTGTATCGCTGTGTCCGTGTATGTTTGTGAGGCTGACGACTGCACATTTCCGAACATCTGCATATTTTCTAGCGCTCTGACAGTACACTGCCTGCGTCTCCGTACACTGCTTATCCGACGCTGTCCGAGAGTCACGGAGCATTCTCTGGCCCCGCTGCGCCAGCGACGACTATACATCGACCGGCCATGGCAGGACAATGCCCACAATGCCTACAATCTGAACGACTTCTATCCCAGCGACTTTCTTGTTTACTAGTCCAACATCTCGATCTCTTATCTCTCGTACCTTTCCCGCAGTGCACTGACGAAGACCTGTCCCCGGCTGCAATCGCTGATGGTGCAGCGGTGTCCTCTGGTTACCGAGCGGGTTCTGGCACCGTTGCGAGGACGCGTGCACCTGGACCGACCCAGCATGGGATACAATCTGCCAGCCAGCCAGCATCATCGGCTGTTCCTGCAGGTCTGAGATTATCCACTTCTTATCCGAACCATCAATAACTTTCGAGGCTACTTCCGGCTAGAAGGAGAATGAAGATATTTGCTGTGTAAATACATGCCACTGTATCGGACGCTTTAATTTACTTTTAGGCTTAATCTTACAAAATGTTCACATTAATTTAAGCTGTACAATAAACGTATTTACTCCTATACGTACTCTCTATAAAATCCAGAAGTTCGTGGTTTTAATTCCATTCAGACTCCCATCCACGAACCTTTGCAATAAATATGTATATAAGTAATTTAAAAGCGTGGCTAAAATACGGCCAATATAAATACAATAGTGTGAATTTGCGCATTCCTTCCGGTTCCCATCATTGTGCGGATATCAATGGCGAGGTTGAGGTAGTCGCAGTTGTCGATGTTATCACTTCGCCGTCTTTGGCCAGCTTTAATTTATTCTGGACGGCGCTGGATATAGTAAGGTCGTTGTCTTTCTTGCCCTCATCGCATTTGGATCGCCACATTTCGTGAATATGCTGTAGATGCACATAGGCGGCCATGGAAATGTTCAAACTGGCCATCACAGCACTGAGACCAGGTTCACCGGTAAATGCCAGGCCACAGAGGCCGAGGTACGTGTGAAACGGATCTGGGGTGGCCTGTGGCCACTTGGCAAAGCCTCCAACCAGCGTGTCTTGCGTGCTCAGTATGTACTCGCGGTTCTTGGAAAAGTCGGTCAGTTCAAAGCCATCCAGTATGCAGAGGGAGGCGCCAATCCAGAAGGAATAGCATGTGTCAACAGGTTTATTGGGACGTCCCTGGAATCCATCCATTTGGCGAAAGATGAGCCAACGCTTTATGCGCTCCACTGTGGCAGCATCCAGGCGATGCAGCTGCCCGACCAGTTGCAGTGCAGCCAGGGCACAGAAAGTGGTCCCACCGTGAGCTTCTCCCTCCAGCTCCTGACTGAAGCCGTAATCATAGCGGAGACTCTTTTCGATGAATATAAACATGGCCTCCTTGTCAACATCGCCCCAATAGTCGAGCATGTGACAGATGGTGGCAGCACAGTACACAAACCGCATATCATCCTCGCTGCCATCGATGCAGGCACTGAAGCTGCCCTCTGGCCGCTGCACCGCCGCCACTCCATCCACAATACTCTTGCGATCCAGGCGCGACAAATCATCGCCCAGTGTGACCAGAACTGCAATGCTAGTGTACGTCATGGCTAGGTGACCCCATTGATACTTCCGCATGCATTCCAAAATTTCTACATCCTCGGTTAGCGGCACCATAGCACGGCAGCCCTGAAAAGAGGAGATCCATCCATTAATTGATTTCTCTCAAAGTGCTGGTGCTTGTTGACGCTGATAAGACCTGGCGTGATAACAACTAAAGGGTGGATGGGGGGAGGGCGGGGGAGGGGGAACTTGTAAATCGAGCTGCTGCGCAAATGGAGGAGTGCCAACAATTCCGTGGGTGCAGCCATATATCATGCGAAATGTGATGCGAAAACAAACTTTCTGTGCCCGGATGAATGTTTTCTTTTTTGGAGAATGAGAATTTTACAGATTCAGCCGTTGGAAAACAGACGGACGCGTATCATCTGTCCAGAGTAAACAAAAAATAGCGCAAAACCAATACGTTGGGGGCATTGAGATGCGGCAAGGTCTGTCGCAGTGTCTGCCGTTGGGCCACGTATAAAGATAAGGTGCGAATGGGAATGGGTTGCTCACATTTTGTTTGTTCATATGACAGACTGGCATTTATGCTTACCATAAAACCGCCGCATCGCTTCTCGTCGTCGCGTGGCACCACCAGGCCGCCGTAGATCCAATCGATAATGTCCTGTCGCATTTGCGGTGGCACCAAATTCAATGAATTAAGTACATCTAGACCACAGACAGCAAAGAACACTATGGTGCTCCTGTGAGAGAACAGAAATAAATGATTTTAGGACTGGAAGGACCTCATTCCTGGTCCTGCCACACCGCTCACTCTCTCACCTGGTGTTGTCATGCGAGGCCATGCGCGCCGGTAGCATATTGAGGAAACGCAGCAAATTTTTGGCATGCTTCGAGAGCAGCACGGGCTCCGGCTCTGTATTGTCTTCCATATCTATTTGGTAGGACATTGTGGTTATTGTTTTTAAGTAACTTATGGACAGGAACTTCTTATCAGTGTGTCAGTGTGTTTTGGGTATTCTTATATGACTAAGCGTCGTGGGCCTGTTCTCTGAGGTTCCACTAAGCACACGCTCGTAGCAGCAGTACACTTTAAATGACCGTGCGCCTTCACGTGTACGCAATTAAATAGTCTAGCCTTTACCTTTTATTTATAGTAAGCCGGTTTGCATTGTAATATAAAGCTGCGGGAACGGTAAAAAAAACCCCCAAAGTACAAAAAAAAACAACAAGTTGCTTCTTCTAGAGGTGTCAAACCTTTGAGGGAACTATCGATAGTATCGATGCTTTTGCGACTATCATCATGGTATCGAGCTACTAGTTGTTTTATTTATTTTATTTTTCACATAAACTGGTCTTGTTGGACCTTTCTTCGTTTAACATATACATAGGTACTATTTTATATTTCTTAAATGCAGAAAATTCTGAAAAATAATTTTTCGCGTGTGTGTTCATTTTCGCTACTCGAATTCTCAGTGTGTGGACAGTTGGGTGCTTGTTTATATATTTTCGTTTTCTTCAGTGAGATAGGGAGAGAAATTGCGATATTATGGGCAATTAAAAAAAATATTTATTTTGTTTGCTGTTTGCATTTAATTTAAGTTTTCCTGTTGGTTGTCCACCGAAAATATCGAAAAATATCAACAAAAAATATCAGCCCAGCCCTATCCGTTAACAGCTGTTCACGAGGCGAAATTATTTATTAAGTTTTGTTAAATTATTCTTAAAAAATGCGGATAACACAATATTTGGCAAGCAAATTGAAGAATTTCTCCAATCTGCCCAAGGAATACATTGAGCGCAGCAAAAAACAGGTAGGAAATACTTCCTCTCCCCCACTCTGAATACAAGAGGTCGGCCCCAACTTAACCGCTTCTCATACTGTGGGGCTCACGTAACAGCAGCATGGAAATAATTCCGGGTTTATATTCAAAATGGATCAATTTTCTTAATTAACTTTATTCAGGTATATTGGCAAACACCTCGGGAAACTAATTACCTACCACGCACTGTGGAGCGCAAGCGATTCCGGTACACCACAAACCGACCATGGACGGGCCAGTTCCGTCAACAGAATATGCCCGCAACAATGCGTAGGAAGGTACTGATCGAGCCAATTGGTAAGTACATAGTTATCTGAACATACATATTCCCGACACTGCTAAAACAATTGTGGTTTACTTTTCAGAGGATTGGAGCTTCTTCCGCGGTGATCGCATTGAGGTTCTGGTGGGAAAGGATAGGGGCAAGCAAGGTATTGTCACGCAAGTGATTCCCGAACGCAATTGGGTAATTGTGGAGGGCCTCAATTGGCATTACCGCCGCGTAGGTGCCGAGAAGGAGTTCCCCGGAATCATTATCAAGTCCGAGGCCCCACTTCATGTCCTCAATGATATTCGTTTGGTGGACCCTTCCGATCTGCAGGGCACCGAATTCGAATGGCGCTTCACGGAGGAAGGCGAGAAGGTACGCGTGTCCATGCGGTCGGGGCGAATCATCCCCATTCCAGAGACGAACAACCAAACGCATGACTATAAAACGCCAAATGCTTACATAGAACGCGAGAAAGATACGCCAGGTAGGAGCTTCTATGCATTACCTATATTTACATATATAAGATTTAAAGATGTACTTTTCTTTTCTTTGTAGCGGCTGTTGTGGGTGAGATAACCTTCCAGCCGAAGCTGTCCACCTTCGAAATGGATATTATGGAGGAAATGGGCATCAAAGAGGAACGTACGCCAGCCAAGAGCTATTGGTACTAACTCTATCCTTATTTTTATTTGAGTAAAGTAAAAAAAACAACAAAAGTAAGCAATCGAATAGTTTTCTCATTTGCGCACTGTAATGAAGAGCTCCCCGCGATGGTCGCGCAGTGTCTTCGACAAGCGGGACACAGCGCATTCGGCCTTATCAAAATCGATGCGAAGCGTGTTGTTGAATGTCTCGTAGAGCCATGTGCATGTCTTGGACATGTTTGCCTCGTAGGTCCCAAAGACGCGGCTTGTGTGCTCATAACTGGAAAGGATTCAGTATGAATTGAATAAGGACAGGACAATAAAAGACAGTCTGCCTTACCGCGCCTTGTTGGCTATATCCGTGATCAGGTAGGTATTGCAATGCTTGACGGCCAGCACTTGGCGATGGCTCATGTACTTCAGCTCCACGTGGGGCAGGGCAAGCTGAGCTGCTTCCAGCGAGATCATTGATGCGTGAAGAAGACTCCGGCAGTCCAGCGCCCATTGCATCTTTTGCCTGGGATCACTAAAAAAGATGCACATATATCAGAAAATGCTTTTCACCTCTCTTCTGTTCGCTCTACCCACATGATCCTACTAAGCTGACGCCACTGCTTCAGTGCCTGCGAGGAGGAGTTGGCGGCTGCTCGGAGGAGAAGTCCACAGATGCGCCACTGCTCCAAGGTGCTGCCCAACTTGTCGCGAGTATCGCGGGCCGTCTCTAGCTGCTCATCAATGGTCTCCTCCAGGCGGGTCATGTAGGTGCCACCACTAATGTACGCTATGATCCCATCTTGCCTCACATACAGCTCGTTTAGCTCCGCGTAGTTCTCGGCAAGCGTCTTCAGGCGCTCCTTGGTATGCTCAAGCAGTTCCCCATAGTAGCGAATGCTGAGCAAATAGAGCGCGGACTCGCTCAGGTTGGCAAAGAAATCCTCGTGCATGGAAGCCTTGCTTGTGTCACCAATCACGCCCAGGTTGTAGGCAAGCTGAGGGAAGCATAATGGACTTAATTGGCTAGTGGCCGTTGATGGTGTTAATTTCGTAGCACTTACCTGGGCCAGGTCCTTGGTGGGCGTGTTGGCCACAATTTGATTGCCGTCCCGTTTCTGGGGGTAACTTTGCAGGGACAAAGCCTCCATGTCGGTGGTGCCCTGCTCTTCCCGTTGACGTTGTGCCACCTCCATGCCATCCAATCCCAACATCCCATCATGCTTTCCTTGCAGATGCTCGATCCAGGCCTCGGCGGTGGCCATTCTGGGACCCGGACAACTGCCTTCCATCTTGCTGATCTGCTCGTCCAAGCGCATATAATCATTGATAATGTTCTGTGAACGAAACCGGATATTGATTTCGACTGGTGCTCAAATCTAATGGCGGCTAATTACCGTTACACCGGCGGCGCCGGCACTATTTCGTCGCAGTTCTGTGCTGACCTCTGTCACGCCAGGATTCGATTGCGTCTCCATGGACGAACCGCAGCCCATCATTCATTGCACGAAGGTTCGAACCTGTCAAAACCTGATGATGACATGTTCCATTTAGCAGTCGCTCAATTTTCCGACCACAGAACTAGCGGCCAAGTCCGTTAGCTCGTCCCTCCACGTTCGCCTGCCAAAGTGTGACTGAGCTTTTGCCTTGTCCGCGGCAACTGTCCACTTATGAGGAAAAACACAATAACAACAATATTTTTCGCGCTAACCATTAAAAGCCGCCCCCAACCACCATTAGAACACTGCCGCCCGCTTGCGGCAGCAGTAGGAGTTGCTTGCTCCTCTCTCGACGAGGGTGCGCGCGTGTGTGTAGGTTGTCAACAACCTGGTTGGTGTTTGCTTTCCAATTTGTTGTTGCTTTCGTGCCTCAGTTTGTAGAAGTTCTGAATTGGCACACTGAGCTTAGTATTTCCAAAAACAACAGCAGGCTAGAAACTTTATGGTTTGTATATTCATCACATTGAAAAGCGTAGTTAACAGTAGGGGCATATTGCCTATATTAAATTATATATAATATTATACCCAAGTATTCCGTGAGCTCCGTGAATCTCGGAAACACTTACACCCATTTTCAGCTATTAGTACGGGGCACAAAAGCGTTAACATCTGGTCATTGTCCATATAAAATGCAAGTTCACCTGAAGGAACGTCCTTCCTCTATGGCATATGAGGGTGCCTCATGGGGTGGGGGCGAGGTGCCCAACACCCACCCACCCCTAGAAAAAGGTACTAAGCGACCAACACAGCATAATCCATCAGTAGGATAATAATCAAGATTTTGATAAATTACCAGCAAAAGTATGGGTTGACCATGAGTCCGCTCACTGTGGCTGCTCATCGAATATATGATTTTCTGTGCTTGATTCTGAAGTTTACTGATTAAGGATACATATTAAGCTTTTAAGAATACACCGTTGTGGCTAAATATTTGTATGTACTATAAAGAAGGTGCTGTTCGCTTATGGCTTTTTCACTAAAAGTTTTAAAGGAAATAAATTCGTCTATTTTACTCTTTCATTTCTTTATTTTATGGTAAGACACACAAGAGACACATATTATATATTTGTAAAAAAAAATAGTTTGTGGTCGTCGCCTGATATTTTATTTTCTGTGCCTCAGAGTGTGCGTGTGAGAGAAAGAAGACGAGGCACAGAAAATAGATATCGGGGACAACTGTAGTAATGGGTACTTCTAATAACATTACACGGATGTTAGTATCAATGGCATCAATTTTTTGATGTTAAGCAATTCGTATTTTACAACCCATTACAGTATCAATGCAAAATTGTTCTAGAGCAGGGGTGCCCAAAATCACAAATACCTAATACCAACAGTGCAAAGTCGAAGAAGAGACAACAACAAAATCATAACAAAAGTCGGGTTAACACCAATCAGAGAAGAGACAAATCCGATTTTGCTGGACGCATCGCATCACACAAAGTTGTTTGTATGTGTTGGGCTTCCAGTATGCTGGTACACAGCACAAGCTGTGTATGGCTACAAGAATTGGTTTCCTATGCTGGGAGCAATTCCAAAAAAAATAGAGCTCGCGGAGCAATGGGCGCCCAGACCCCTGTTCTAGAGACATATTTTTATTTCCTGCCATATTATTTAGCAATATAATTTCACATATTTCTCAAAAATCGATCAATACTTCCAATTATTCCTTCTCGATCCTGGCCTCGCCGGTGGCCATTCTAACCCACATCTTGGCAAGTCTGGACTGGGGCTGAATATTCCCTGGAGTAAGCTCCGAGCACGTCACCGGGTGATTACAAAATGTACGGTGCGGCCTCTTCGGGACTGTTACGTTCATATGTACGTGTCAATCGCTCGAAAAATATATAGCGCAGTTGCCAGACGACGTGTAGTATGAGCAATGAGTGGTGCATTAAAATTAATGGGTCAAGTGAAAACATTTGAATAAGTTATAAACTGGCAGAGCGCCGACAAGCGTGGGACTGCGAAACTTGTTGATAAGTTTTTACCAACGTAGTCCGAAAATATACATATGTACGTATGTACGTACGTAAATCTAAAGCAGCGAAAGAGCTGAGCAAAACAGAGAATTGAGGGAAAACGAGACGGCGCCTGCGCCATCCTGGAACACAGGGAACCCTCCACCCCGGAAGAGGGTGGGCGGATTTCACTTTCAATATTGAAAGCAAACATCGGCTGAATGGAAACCGAAGCCCCGCTAATGCTTCGTATGCGCTCTCGGACTCTGTTGGCACATTAAGATTTTGTTCAGTAGCAGCGTGCCTCGTGTGGGGCAAAGATGTCTGCTATACTCATAGTAGTGCCTCGCCGTCGCCTGTAGAAATCACACACCACCCTTCTCTCCTTATCTGGATTTCTGGGGATTGCTTAGACATGGGCCTGCGGGATACCTTCAGGCAACTGCGGCCGGACAGCCCGTCGCGCGTGGGCAGCAGCAGCAGCATTGAGCTGCAGAACAGAGCCACTCCTCGGAGCGGCTCCCACCAGAATCAGGTTGCAGTTATAGCTGCAGAATCGCTGCAGGTCTGGCGCGCTCTGCCCGCAGAAATTCGACATGATCCCAGCATGGCCAGCTTTCAAATGGAAAACGAACGCATTCACGGTGAGTGAATGTGCAATTATAACCCTTGATGAGTGAGACCTATCCAATCAATTACCTGTCAAGTGCTTGAGAAAGTCTAGCCTAAAGTCCGAAGTGGCTCATAATTAATTCAAATGTTACCACTTTGTAGGCGCCTCTGAAGGTGCTAGCGATGAAAATGATGAGGGGAACAACGGAGGTCGTATTCAGGATGAGCCCGGTTCCAGTTTTGCTGGTTCAGATTTCCTCGATATCAAGACTAAGCCGGGACAAGAGGAGAATCCCACAGATGACGAGGCCACCACAACGCACTCAGACCACGATCCAGCAAATGGTCCGGGCAATGCCAAGTCCCTTGCTCGACGCATCCACCACAAGTCCACGCGATCAAAGGAGCAACGCCAGTGGGACAAGCTGTGGAAGCGTCTGGGACTGCTCTTCTTCTGGCTGCTGGCCGCCGTCGTGCTCATCTCTGTGGGGGAGAAACATCTGCTGGAGAAGACCCTTGATGTGCCGCAGGGCGAACATGGGAAATGTGAGCTTCGAAAGGAAAAGTAAAGTGAATTTTTACAAACATTTCGATATCTTAGTTTTCACTTTGGTGCAAAAACCAGCTGGCGATTTTCGTCTGAAGATCCAAGGCACCTTCGTGGAAGTCTGCCCACCAGACCATGATAACGAAACCATTAGCTATAGTTATCTGATTGTGCAGCCGCAGGTGTCGTCTTACACTGGAGAGAACCGCAGCAAGGTGTTCCAGGTGAGTCTAAAGTTGTGTCATTTCATTCCAACTGAGTGCATGGATTCACTCCCCCCCCCACCATACAGAACACATTGCAGGCCTGGAAGCTGCCTTTACTGCCTGAAGATCTGCTGGAACGTGCTCCAGCCGTGTCTAGGAATCGCACGTATCAAATGAGCTCGGAACTGAGCGATATTCTGGCCCAGCCGGAGACTGAGATGCGTCTGCACATCTACAGCGATGTGGCAACGGATTTGGCAGTTGTAATCAGCTACAATCCTCTAATAGTCAACGCTCGGATGGGCAGCATTCTCGCCGGCCTCATTCTCCTGATCTTCTATGCCCTGTTGGTGTGGGAGGTGTTTGAGCGACCTTTCATAGCCATGGTTTGTTCGATTCTATCGGTTACGGCTCTGGCCTGCTTTAATGGTAAGCGCTCCAGTCAGAGTGCAGCAGGTTGATAATTTGTATATTATCATATTATAATCAATCATTATTTTAGATCGGCCAAACATGAATGAGATAATCCAGTGGATGGACATGGAGCTGCTCACTCTCCTGTTCTGCATGATGCTGCTTATCCTGATACTAACAGAGACAGGGGTCTTTGACTATCTGGCAGTGTTCTGCTTTGAGATATCGGGTGGCAAGATTTGGCCCATGATCTATAGTCTCTGTCTGGTGACATGCCTGGTGTCCAGTGTGCTGGACAACATGACAACGGTCCTTCTGCTCACCCCCGTGGCCATTCGCTTGTGCGAGGTGATGCAGCTGGATCCGCTTCCGGTAGTGATGGGCATCATTGTGCATGCTAATATTGGAGGTGCTCTCACCCCCATTGGGGATCCCATCAGCATTATTGTCAGCACCAATCACATCATTGTGGAGAATGTGAGTTAAGCTAGATCCTCCCGATCCCTTCTCTTCTTGAGCTGTGTCTCTCCTTAGGATGTGACTTTTCTTAACTTTATGGCGCACACATTTCCTGGCGTCCTGCTGGCCGTGCTCCAAAGCTGTCTGTATCTACGTCTCTTCTACCACAACATCGATGCCTTGCGCCTGAACGAACCGAAGGAAATGCGCGAGCTGCGACGCGAGATCAAGGTCTGGCAGCGGGCTCTCAATGCAGTGGCCTCCTGCTCCAAGGATGCGCAGCTGGTGCGCGGCACTCTCCAGGGCAAGGTGAAGCAACTGAAGCGGACACTGCGACGCCTCCAGCGAGGTGTCGGATCCACAGAGGTATATGCCAACACCCTGGATGAGCTGAAGCAAAAGGTAAGCATTGGCTATGACTTTCCGATATTTCTTGTATTACAGTTGTTTTAATCCACAGTACCCCATCAAAGACAAGGCGTTGCTGCTGCAGTCCGCCGGAGCTTTGATCTTTGTCATCGTCTGCTTTTTCATACAGTCGGTGCCGAATTGGAGGACTCTGCCCCTGGGTTGGGTAGCCCTACTGGGTGTCATTCTGCTGTTGATCATCCTCAACCGTGACGACATGGAGCATCTGATGCACCGCATCGAGTGGACCACACTACTCTTTTTCGCGGCCATGTTCGTGATGATGGAGTGCGTCGAGCGACTGGGCCTCTTCTCTTGCATCGGCGAGTTCACCGAGCACGTCATCCTCTCGGTAGACAAAAGGCATCGCCTGGCCATGGCCATATTCATAATACTGTGGGCGTCGGCCTTAGCCTCCGCTATTCTAGACAGCATCCCCGTCACAGCCATGATGGTCAAGTTGGTTACCTCGCTGGTGGCCAAACAGTCGATTGGCTTGCCCCTCCAGCCTCTTGTCTGGGCTCTGACCTTGGGCGCCTCTCTGGGCGGCAACGGGACCCTGTACGGGGCCTCGGCCAATGTCATTGCCGCGGGAATAGCGGAACAGCATGGCTATAAGCTCTCCTTCACTCGATACCTGAGGACAGTATTTCCTATGATGATGGGACAGATCACCCTGATGACAGTCTACCTGCTGGTGGCCCACATCGTATTTGGCTGGCATTGAAATATATTTTGATGAGCTACATATAACGTAAATGGCTATTTATTTCTAGTTATTGACTAGTACTCATATGTTTAATGACTAGAGTTTTTCAATTAATATTTAATGGTAATTTGTGTGGTAATTTTACTGTGACAGCTTTCACCCTTTCGCATTCGATTAATCTCTTTGCGTGTGTTTAATGTTCTCGTATGCGAGTATACGAGTATAAGTGTTTCTATCTTATATATATATATAAGCGTTTATTTGTGATTTGGAAAAATAAAAAATATACAAAAAGGATGGAACGGTGCTTATTTGTATATGTGTACACATACTCGAACAGCTGAAAATAAAACAAACTTTTTGGGCTTCCCAAGGTTGTCTCAAGATATATAACCAAGTACAGTATGCTAAATATACAGTAGATCCGCAGTGTCTATTTATACATTTATTGCACCAAAATTTTTCCATGAAACTGCATAATATCTGAGTTATCGAACTTGTTCCACTTGCATTTAGGAAGCAAAAACAAAGAATAATAATAAATAATTCTTGAGACTGGCCATCGGCAAGTCCAATGCAAAGCAGAAGATTTATATAGGAACAGTGTGTTTCTAGTATATAAAACCGAGTACATAGAAAGACAAACGTTGGTCAATAAATGAGGAAAGGAAAAATTAGAATAGAAACAAGAGATTTGCTGCTGGTAGTGCTTCTCGCTCAGCTCCTCTGCTGCTGCGCTTTCCACGCTTTCCACAGAGTGTCTTTTTCATTGGCAAATTGTAAACCGATGACCGTGCGGGGCGCAGACGACGTGTCAGCCATGTGAAGAGAGGACCGCCAGCAGTTTTATGGCAGACACGCGAGTTAAAACCAAACTGAGAACCAATATTGAGCTGTTCGGACGCGGCATGGGACAGATACAGTGTCGTGGAAAGACAGCGCAGAATTTTAATTAATTTTCTTCTAGTGAAAATTGGAAATTTGTAGCCAAACATCCGAAGGCAAATTAATATGTGATGAAGAACGAAGCGTAAAAGTTGTGTAAAGTTTTCAAAAAGTGTGTATTTGAGAATGTCTGCCCCCTATGGCTACTCCAAGCCCACGTTCATGATAACCGACCACTCCCGGGATCCCTACCATCTGCATGTGGAGGAGGTCGCCGAGGACGATGAATGCGATGCAGAAGTGGATGTGGAGCGACACTCCATGCTGCAGGAGATCATCACTTGGCTGCATCTGAATGCCAAGCACCCACGTAATTGGTAAGTCCATAACATTAAGTATATGCCACAGGGATGCTTTGCTTTACCCATGCCAAAAGTGTATATTAAGTATTCGCACAGTTATTTGTTCTCCCTTGTTTATTTACTTGATTCATATTCTCGTTAGCAACTTTTTTGTCAGACATTTAATTATGGTCAGTCGTAAGGGTGGTCCGGCCCAAAGCTTTTCCTTTTAATGTTTCCACCCGACGGCTATTTATGGGTCATCGGTCCGCTTTTGATTGTTTTTCCATTCGAAAACAATTTCATGGGTATTAGGTCTCTGTGAACTCCAACAGATGGATTCCCATTAAGACTTATTTCAATTGATCTGTTTTTTCTCTGTGGAGAATACAAAAATTCGCTTTTTTAGTATATACATTCTTGGGGAATATTTCAAGGCAATAATTTCAGTTATGTACGATTCATTTCCAAAACAAGCTGCCTATAAAACAGTAAACTAATATTTTTTGTTACTTTGTGGGTAACGCAACTGGGGCTTGAAACATTCGCAATAAGTAATTGAATCTTATGGATACTGCCACAAGTATAAACAAAATTTCTAGCAATACAATATACAATATATTCAAGTATAAATATGCCAATATAATGGTTGGCTGCTGGCTATTCACCTGTCAAGCTGTCAAGCCTGCTTATATCTTTTGTTTGGAAAAAGTGATTCGGGGAATAGTTAGCCAATACATACATATATGCTTTGTTCATATTGAACAAAAAATAATTGAAAACAACGTGCGAAAACAAAGTAACTAGAAAAGAAAAGACACATATTTTATGATCCAGCATTGACTCGTTTATCCTCAGTCCCAGGTAACTTTGTGATATTCTGTACCTGAGCAGTGTTTCCCCTTACTTCACAGATCCAGGCTCATAATTGTCGGCGCTATTAACATTCCCACACATAGTTGTAGTCCGTCAGGCGTTGTCAGGGAAGTACAAACAGAGATATGAGTATATGCTAAACTACACACACACACACACTTTAATTAAAAGTTTCGCTTTGTTTATTAACAATTAAAGGGAAAACAACTTGATATTGTAATGCACTGAGTTTGCTATCTTGAAACGCAGTTAAAGTAACTGTTAATAATATAGGGTGTCGAATTAATTTTATAATCTGAGCAATCGGCTTATAATATTGCATTACCTGTTTTCTATGTATGTAAGAAGTCTGCTAAGAAAGATAAATTGCATTTTTTTAATACTCGTACTCGAAGAGTTAAGGGGTATATTCGATTTGTGGTAAAAGTGGATGTGTGTGCCGCACACAAAGAAAAATTTTCGACCCCATAAAGTATGTATGCACATTAAAGACAAATAGCACTGACAGACAGCAATCACCTAATAAGTCTATCAATCTATGATGAAAACGATCAAACAACTTCCTCGACAACATATACATTTGTACATATGTACATACGAGTATGTTTCAAGTAAATTAAAGAAAAACAAGGTTGATTAAACATTCGATGCCTAAGACACTCTATGGAATTTATAGACAAAACTAAAAATAAGTAAATAAATATCAACAAACCCGCGTCTGTATACCTGTATTCCTAATAAACATTCCCTGTTTATTTACAATCTAATATTCTTATAAATCATACATACATATACATATAACAGAATATTGCAGTAGAACCCCTATATTCTCGGAACTATCCCCTGGCAAAAAATCCCATTAGTATGCAATAGTTAATTACATAAATATTTTTTATTAACTCACACTGTGCCTTCTCAATTGTTGCCACAAATATAGCTTGGAAAATTCTTCTACTAGTACGAGTATGTACTCACCCCACGAGTATATTCGTATTCGTATTTATTAGCATTTTAGTAAGTAGCGGTAGCAAGATATCATACATCTATAACAGCCTTCTATCGAGTGCCATTGTCTATGGTCATTAGTAAGCAGAGGGAGACTGGGTTTGGGGTTGGGTTTTGTTGACCTTCAGGTATCCTGTTCGGTGTGGAACTGGCCTTGGCATTGACAGCTGACAATTTTGATAGTGTTTGCTATTAATTTTAGCCTCCTGGCATACATACATACGTGTATCCACAACGTGATACTCAAAAGAACATCAAACCCGGTTTTAGTGGCCTGATGATGATGACATGGTGGCTAGCAATGGCCCCATGTGTGTTGTTTGCGGATACTTGTGATAATTTTGTTGGGATCGAGGGTGGGGCGAGGAGGTACATGTGGGTTTTCCGACGAAGAATTTTAATTTCAACTGTTATTTGTGGCCAATAGTTTAAGCTTAGGGGCTGTAAAAGTTCCGGTTTGCATGTACCTACACATGTACATATGTACGTACGTGTAGATACGACTATTGCCATATACATATGTATGTACATAGTGTGATATCTAGGCGTTAGCCTTGCTGCCACAATCGAGTTTGTGGCAGGGTGAGAATGAATTATGTATGTTTTCATATTATTGTAAGGGAGTTACTGAATTAAAAATTGAGTTAACGTAGGAGTTGAATGTGTAATGAGGAAAACTTACAAAACTTGACAAACTTTTTAAACTTTCAAGAGTTTGTCAGAGTAAAAAGTGATAAAGTTTAAGCTGAAAAGTTTAAGTGCTTGCATTTTGATGGTGAAGAAAATACATTAGATAAATTAATGTAACACTGAAAGGTGGAAAAGGGAAAACAAAGCTGAAAACGAATTAAAATCGTTCTATCGACTATAAACGAGAAGGAACGTGTGAGTCGCTTCTGTGGACGCGACTCTACTTATACCCGTACTCAGAGAGTATATACATTTCTGAGCTTATGATTTTTTAGAATTTTATAATTAAAAAAAAAAAATGACATTTTTTTTGCCACATACATATGTTATCTACATCTACTATGTATATTATACATCTAACATGTAGATTATAGATGTACCATTTAGATTCTACATCTCCTCCGCTAGGGGTTTCTCGCGCACTGAACGAGTCAGAATGTGCGAACGCGAAAGAGAATGAGTAGACCGGTTTCTGGGAGGAGGGGGCGGGGGAAACAACTGAAAATTAATATCATTTTGACTATAATTATGATCCGATCTGATTCAGATTCGGTAATCTGGTAGATATGGTCATTCTCGACGGTACTGCGTTTTCAGTTTTATCGTAACTTTAAAAATGTGCCTGCCACAGATTTTCCTATTTGTGGGGGCGGAAGAAGGGGGGGCGAAATTTTGAAATACACTTGTAGCAGTGTGATATGAAATGAGCCTTGAAACCAAATTTGGTTGCCCTAGATCTTATAGTCTCTGAGATCCAGCCGACAAACAAGACGGACGGATGGACGGACAGACATGGCTCTATCGTCTCGGCTATTGATGCTGATCAAGAATATACATACTTTATGGGGTCGGAAACGTTTCCTTCTCTGCGTTACACACATTCATTTTTACCACAAATCTAATATACTCTTAACTATTTTTTGAGTACGGGTATGAAAAGAACAGTTGTCAGTTGTCTGACGCAATGAGTTTTTTTTATTCTTTTTGGGATTTAAAAACGTTATTGATCTATTCAAACTTTTGCTTTAAGCAGAGAAAACATTCCTCAAATACTCTACAATATATGCAGGCTACAGAAAATTACCATAGCAGCAGATGACCCAGATAGCCCAATGCTCGTATCCGTACGACGCATGGCTGCGCCCAGAACGCGAATCAAACCGTATGGATCTTTAGCCGATGCATAATTATATTTTAGGATAGACACTGTAGCAGAAACAGCAGATACCATCATTAGCTCATCGGTAGTATAATCATTACTAATACATGTGGTTGAGGAAAATTGCAGAATAAAAGAGCGTAAATTTCACGTTTTAAAGACGCTAAAGTGTCTAGCTGCTCGGGCGGGCAGCTTCCATAACTGGATATCTTCTTTTATAGTCCCATAAGGGATTAAAATCATCAAGCATATCTTTTAGGGGTACAAGTGTTTTGCTGTTTTTGCATTGGATTTGTAAGCAGTGTCCTCCCAAGAGACCTTTCACTGTACATTCATGAGTACACTCCTACGAGTTTTTTTTCCAATGTGTTCATTTATTGTTTCATTGTCATTGGCATGTCGGCGTGGTTCGTGTACGTTTATTTTGGCGAATTAAGGGGTCTGTTCTGTGTATTCAATAAAACTCGAGCGAACTGAGTTGAAAATGCAAAGAAATCGAGAAAATTGAGACGACGAACATCACACATCAGCATCCAGCTACTGTTTGCATGTACCGTTTGATAAATTTGCCTTTTGTCTGCCTTCAGAAATGTGCCACATCCATAGAACGTACTACAGTATATGCTGTGTGCGTGGGTGTGGGTGTTTATCATCTCAATTTGGAGCATGAGCTCTGCGCAGCTCTGCTCTGCTGGGATTTATTTGGCCTATAAATAAACAATGTTTTGTTGGAATATTTTTTAATAAAGCTGCTTTCCTGAATTCATTTTCATTTTGAGGAAGTCTCTTTCTTTTTCATTGCGAATCTTGACTAACTTTATGGCATTTACGGCTTTTTATTAGATCTATGGCAAGTGCCTTAAATTCGTGTTAATTGCCTTATTAGGTTTTGGATTTGGATTAATAGAATGGTTTGAGATAATATATCGCTATCCATCTGCTAGACCAGTTCATCCAATAAAGTTTCCCACGCAACAGAGTTTGGCCTGTACCTGTACTCAACAAACAAATTAATACGGTCAATACGGTATGCATAGAAGCAGACTGAAAATCTAGGGTCTAGTCCGAGCAACGTTCAAGTTCAAGTCGTTGGCCACTGGAATATACACGTACCGACAGCCGATTCCAGTCGAAGCAACCCTCCCACACACAACCACCAGATCCGGCATTCAACAGCTATTGAATGCGTTCCACTCCATTCAATTGGCCGGGGCTTTCAATCCACCATTCAACCGAGAACAGCTGCGACAGATCCGACGCGACAACAGAGTCGGCAGCGGTAGCGGCAGTAGCGGTAGCAGTAACCGGCATCGAACCAGCCAAGAGACATGACTAGGAACGCAGCGACGAACCCAACCTACGGATTTATTCAGTTTACAACTTTCGCCCGAAACGGACGTGCGACTGTGTGCGGCGCTGCGGGTTCGATCTGGGAGCGAGCGAGTGCCAAACAAAAGACATAAAAAATAATCCAATACATGAATTCCTACATACTACAAATAATTCTCCAAGCGCGATAAAATAAAAGAGAAGAAATAACTAAAAGTGAGACAAACAATTTTATAAAAAATAAAATACATTCTGGACTTATCAGTACCCATTGGAGTTAATTCGCATGCAGCAGCAGGGAGATACTAAACGAAAATGTATGGAAATTTTCATTTGTTTGAAAGTGTCTTATTTCAGCTGCTCCGCAAAGTTTCCTTTTGCTAAATAAATTGATGGCCCTCCCCCCAAGAAAGACCAATATCTTTGCATTAAGTGTAGGTAATTAGTCTGGTTATGACTGACCGAGTAATTGTGAGACTAGACTGGATATAAACTATTCCAAGGTTTTAAGCCCATTTCAATGTCTGTGGGAACTGCTAGATGGAGGGACAGGTGTCAGGCACCTGGCTGGAATATGTTGCAGTATTTATCAATTCGAGATTAAAATTTCCATTTAAATGGCAGGTTTATAAAAGGACAAGACTTTCTAGGAACACGTGGTATCCGGATATACTGCTATCAGTGGCTGCAAATATTTCATTCTTTATTGATGGTATTCGGGTCGCACCTAAATGAGGAACAGCGACCAATCAATAATTGAGCTGTGACAGACCACGCAAATAGGCAATGCATTAAGCTGGGCAAATAAAACTGTCAGGAAGTGTCATCTATTGCATAAAGTAGTATAACATCATCGAGGGGGGAGAGGTATAGGCAAGGTCCGTGTGGATGGGCAAAATGAAAACAGAAAACTAGTTCAAAAGAGCGCGCATAAAAGTAGGCAACACAGACTGTGAGCACGCACAAATATCCATGGTCATTTACCGTTTGGGCCGCCTTTGTAACCTTGTGTTACTTTTAAAGCTTTACCAACTTTGTCTGACATTCATTTGAAATATTCACATCTGTCCGAAACTGTGTGTTGCACCCACAGAACATATCCCTGTCAACAAGGTCGCCTGCGTGGACCCACGCCACAGGGGAGAAAACTTAACCAGATATGATTGAAGCCAACATTTATGACTATGTACATATGTACTTTGCGGGTATTCAACGAATATTTCTAATAAATTTTAAGTGCTTGCTGGAGGCAAGCAGCGGCTGAAAACTTTTCTGGCGGTAATTTGACAAGGGATTTCATTTGGTGGAAGCTCTGCCAGAACACGAAAACTTTTCTTGACAAACATTGCCAATTCAGTTCCAATTAACCCTTGGGCAGAACTTTTACTAAGTTCAGAGTTCTTTGTTGGATTTGCTGGTTGGCAGCAGAGTGTAATCAATTTGTAATTAGCCAAAGATAACATGAAAGTATGTGTAAATTAAGCCATGAATATGGTGTACAAGTTGAGATCAAGGATTTAGAATTGAAAACAATGTTAAATATGTACATATGTATATGAATGTTAGCAGAATTTAAAAAACATTGAGTATTCAAATATATATATTAAAACATTAAAGATATGTAAGTCTTCTTGCCTTCGCCATTGGCAGCACTTGGCTAGGGGTTGTATCACATTACTTCAAAAAAAATATGTATCGCTTTCAAGGAAAAAAGAAAATATCCAATGTATTATGGTATATAAGTGTGTAGAAATGTATATCAAAAATGAACTTGCTGTTTCTGGCACCACTCCTATAATGGTGAATACGAAACGTTCAAAATAAATGCATATGTAGATAGATACTACGAATGTTTGAATGGGCTGGTATATTGATACCACAACCTTACTATTCACATCAATTTTAACATATATTTCTACCTAAATATATGAATATAACCAACCCCGACCGACGGCATAAATAAAATTTCCGCCTTTTGCACAGGATTTGCTAGGATGCTATTTTTAGCATCACCCTAAACTCCTCCTCGAAACAAACTGGGAAAACCGGCCAGCCGGCACACGGGTCCGCTTTGCATATATGTATGTACTCGTATCCTTTGCCCGCATATCCTGTCCACATCGTGTTGGAAATTTCGACAGATGGCCGAGAGACGGCTACCACTGCCATAATTTGAAATGAGGTCGGTCTGGGTTCATTTTTAATTATGCGGCAACCAAATTGCTTAATGTGCGGGAGTTTAGGCAAACTAATTAGCAACAGACAAGCATAATTAAACAGGACTTAATACTCGCACGCCACACACACACAAATCGAATATCAGCTGGAGGCACATCCCAGAGGATGATGACGTCAAGGGGAAACATCTGTCCACCCTATGAGCGGGTTTGGATGTGTGTACTGATTTGGCTGATTATAAAAACGAGGTCACGGCGAAACTAAATGAATATTGATCCATTGATTCCCAATTAAACGAAAGTCAAAGTTCTGTCATGGTGCTGTCCTATTGTAGCTTTCCTGCGCCTATTTTTGTCCCACCAAATTTAATCGTCTCCGTGTGACGCATTCATGAACTTCAATGGCAACACTTCAGGGATATTTATGTCCACAAACATATTATTAAAAACTGGTACAACTTACCCTCAAATTCTAAATCAGACAACGCTGCGGGTGCATGATTCGATTCTATGAAAAAGATGCACAAAAAGGCTACACAGATTAAAATGTACAAGAGAAAGGCCTGAACCTTAAAGAGCAACATTGGTTTGCAGCATATGAGGAGATTTTTAACATATTGGTGACTCGCGATAATAATTAGTATTAATAGAACAAATTCTATCTAAAGAAAGTTAACATCGAAATCGTGTGAACGCCTTCGCCTAGATAAACAACGTCAGCCGCTTAATTAGTTTAACACCTTTCTGCCTTCCTGCCAACCTACCGCCATTCACCCACCTTCCCCCACTGTGTCCGGCCTTCAACAACACGTCAAAATTGCGCCAGTTCGGGTTCACGCCGCACCCAGTCCCTTGGAGGAGGAGTCTCAGCCCCCCGCCAATCACCACAGCCAGACGACAGACACGTCCACAGTGGGTCACAGTGCCGCATCTACGGTATCGCGGCGCCGGAGCGGGTCGGGTGTCCGGGTTTCGAGTGTCCACAAGAAGCGCAAGAACATTTGGCCCTTCAAGATGCGGGTGAAGGTGAGCAAGCGGCTGTGGCCGCACCGACAAGCCTCCACCAAAAGCGACAAGTTTCCACAGCCAAAGTAAGTATATGAGAAAACATGCAGATACCTGTACATAAATATTTGATGAATAAAAGCAGATGGATTTAAGACAGCTCGGAGATATTAAGATTTCATCAATATAAATATATGCTGTTCTCTCTCTCCCATCATCAGATTAAATACAATTCTTACAATTTTAATATTTTGTATGTAGATGACTGAAGTACAACCAATATAAATATATATACAATCAGTCTGAACTGTAAAAAAGTGATATCTTTTACAATTCTAATATCTTGGAATAGAAAAATATATTCCCATAGTTTTTAAGTGAAAATTTCCATTTGGGAGCAAGACGTTCGATGGTGAAATTTAGGGTAGCTATATTTATGCGTACATTCTGTACATTGCTGATTGCTTCTGCACGCTGTTCTGGGAATAATTTTCCACTTGGTTCAGCCCGAGGATTGCTGTTCGCTGGCTCCGTATTTGGGTAGCAATACTCCAAGATTCTTGGAGCTGCGATAATTATCATTGCCACATTTATTTTGTGGATCATTATAACGCTCACTTTTCCGCGCTTTTCGTTTCGAGGCCTCTGCAAATCGATAGTCTTTGGAAAGAAAGGCGTACATGACAAATGAGTTCGATCAATGGCTAAATAACCCATGGAAAAAAGGTATCCCTTCAGTCCTCCGATTTCGTCTAGGCCGGTAGTCATTCGCTTTTGACCCGTTTTGGTTCTAAAATTTGAAATCTAAATTAGTTTGTCAAAATGTACATACGTGCTTAGTATTTTGTATTGAATAAAAAACTACATAAATGTATCCTGTATTTAATGTATTTACGAGTCCAGTATATCCGTTAATACATAAAAAGACGTATATTTGTATTTTTTTATTTGTGTGTTCTTGGGTCAAAGTTAAGGCACGTGCCTTGGACCCATTTCTGGGAGCGGCAGGCATAGCCCCGACCACAGCATAAACATGAACATAAAAACGTTCTCTGTTCGAGTCTGATTTGCGTCGAATGGCGGCAACATGTGTGCCAAAATATGTGGCTGGCTGAAAACAAAGACCGAAGCTAGAACAAAATTAATGTCAGACAGTTAATTTCCGTTTCCAAAAACACACAGGACAAGTGTGCGAATTTGATTTCCGCTCCCATTAATTTTAAAATCCGACAAAGAAGAATAATACTTCATTGAATTTGAAAAGAATTTATGGGCATATTTTCTTCAACGGCAATCAGGTACTCGTATTGCCATTCAAGCAAATCCATCTAACCATCCGTCAGCCAGCTCAGTGGGGTATGCTGTTGCGTCCTCAAAGTGTCCCGGCAACGTGCTTGGAATTAAGTAACAAAATATATTAAGCTTCGAGGAGTGAAAGTTTCCCAAAATCAATACATACTAATTAATTTTTTGGGTCAAAACCAACAAAAGGAAAGGAGAACGAGGACTTTCTGTTGTCAGCAATTAATACTCAATTTGTCTTCCATGTTTTTCGGATGACCCAATGGCTATAACAGGGAACCAATTTGAAGGACACAACAGTGCGTAGCCTAATAGCTGCACTGTCACATCGCTCATTCGCACCATGGGCTGGGCAACATTTGAAAATTGGAAGCCATCAATGCCATCTGCCTCTCCAATGTGGGTCCAAATGTGAGGAGACAGTCGCTGCACAGTCCACGACTGAAAATTCTTGCATAAAACGCGAACAACGCGACGACCTCGTCTGAGAAGCCAAGGTCATGTCTAAGTGTGCCCCTGTCTCGAGCTCAATCCCCCTCCCCGGTCCCATATAATTCTGCATTGTTCTTAACACATTGAAAATGTAATTATTAGCCTGGGAGAATATGAGCTTGTGCGTGAGTGCTTCTGCTGACGACAGCAAGTGCTATATACATGGTACATGAATAATTAAAACATTTAATACCGAAATTGGGTTAAGGCACATTGCAGTAGCCACATGAGACCGACCAGCTGCGAGCCCTGGTTGAGTGACAAAGGAAAGGCCTGGTGTGATAAGGCGACAGCTGCAGGAAACAGAGACCGAATTGAAACTGAATGACAAAAATACTCTCATGGTGCAATTTAATATTAAAATTATACCCTTAACATAGAAAATATACATTTAAGAATAAATTGTATTACTTTTCAATTGGAATGGATCACCACACAACACAATTGTTTGGAGATTGGTTGCTTGTTTATTGTAAATGGTAGATAACGGATTACCACCTAAAAAACAATTGCATTTCTTTAAGCTCTCTTTAAATTCTTGATTTTCAATTTTCTGTCTGATGGAGTTCTCGTCCATAAAAGTGCAATATACCTTTGTTTGTAACAAGTGAACGGGTATGAAAAAAATTCCCATGAATAAATAATTCGTTCCATAACTGCATTTTGATATACACGATGCTGTATTAAAAGAATATGTGGAAATTACAAATTCAAATGAACACTTGCTGGCCGGTGCTTGGCGGCACTCCTGTTATGCCAGATATTTGCATAATTCATACTACTACGGCATGTTGTTTCCTTTGTGTGGGTAATGAGCTCCGCTCCGCTTCACATAGACAGAACGGCTATTCCCAGTCACAGTTCCAATATTTATGGTGGCGCAGTCGATGCGAACGTGTGACTATGAAGTCATTACGAACGTGTGCGATTTGCTTCTGTGGTGCTTGGTGCGGATCGGATTGGATCGGATCACTGGGTTGACAATTGAGACGTGTCGGGCCATGCGCGTTGTTCAATTAATTAACTCACATTTTTCCCAATGGAAAGTTACCATCGCGACGCGTCGTCAAGAGATTTAACATGCTAATCGGGATTTAAGCTGAGAAGGCTCAAGTGTGTAGCATACACTCTTTTCCACTCTCCTCTTGAGGTTCTTGAGGTTATAAATAAACTTTAAAGTCAACCTCACACATGAGTCGGCGGCGGGTACAATCCACTCAGCTCTCCGGTGCGGTTCCAGGCTTTCAATTCTTGAAAAAATTAATGAAGCGTGTCGCATTGAAAGCGCCACATGAATGACATCCATCCCCCCACTGATAGAACGGACAAAACGGAAGGGTACTTGGACACGAAGAGAGGCGGACCAACAAGTGACCGACAGGATGAAATTATTTTTTCGAAATTACTTATGAAAATATTTCGGGTCTGTAATTCTGTTATCAACTTTGTCGCACAGTGACCTACATATGTATATATGTATGTATAAGCACGTCTAACTATAGCCTATTCAGGCACAAATACATATATGTGTATGTGTACATGTCAATAGTGGGTGTTAGACGATATGGGCGTGCGCACCCCTTGCTTAAGTAAGTTTCAGTTGATTTAATACACGAGTAATCTCGAATAATACGACCAAAACTGTTTGATGAGTGCGTGTTCATTTAATTTAACAAATGGATAAAGTGCGTGCACACTCAAATATTTATCACTCGATTCACGATGCTTCAATATTATTATTAAGTGAGAAATATTCTCTATGTACAGTTTATTTTTAGAAATCGATTTTTATGAATAGATGAGGATCACAAACGACGACTTCGACGTTGTTTGTCATCCCAACAAATGGCCTCAGTGGAAAAATTAAAATAAGATAAAGACAACTCAAAAATATCATTTGCAGCTCTAAGCAAGAAATTTAAAATTCTTAAGTACTCATAAAATAGAGACCACTTAACTCGAACTTAATTGTTTTTTGAATCGGCTTTTCTCTAAAGATATATGTACTTGGCAAGTAGCTTAACTCGACTCAGTCTGCCAATAAGTTAGCACAAAAATATCTTCCACTCGTAAAACAGCTAAACATTTTAAGTAGCTGTCTTATCTCTCGCGACATTATCTGTCGAAAAAGACTGTAAGTTGAATAGTGTATTGTAATAATTAGCCGAAACCGATTAAAACCAACAATTGAAGATATAAATCTAATATGAGCTTTTGCCATTGAAAAATTTCAGGCTTTAAATTTAAATTTGAATGCTGTTTAACGAAAACATGTCTTTAAAGTCTAAATTTAAAGTCTAACCTGCCCACTGAAATTTTAAATGGCCGCAGAATTTTGACTGTGCAAAGGTAGCATAATCATTAATCACTTCATACCCATCCCATGTAATGGCTAATTCCCGCGTGTAGGCTAATCATTAAAGAAATGAAGGTGGATGTGCATAATCTAAATTAATATCAGTACAATTTAAATCCGAACAATAAAACAATTCTAGTTGAAATAAGAAGCAATTAACAGGAAAGTGGGTGGCATTAGAATGTATTGCAAGCAGTTTAGTTTTCCGATTAGCGCTGCCTACTCAGGCGTGCCGATCAGCTGTTTCAAATGCGAATATGTCGCATGGAAATATTTATAGTGGTACGCCATTTACTGGTAATTGTACTGAATAACTGGATAAATGTTATAATCAGTGTGATATAGAGTGAAAAATTAGAATATTTGGACCAAATACTATAAGTACTGTTACTATAAGTCTAAGTATGCCAAGTCGCAGCTTGGCAGCTTTAGCTGTACTAATTTAATGTATTAATACAGATACTTAGGTGAACTTCATACCGCTATCAATGTTGACAATTCCTGTTTCGAGCTCGATTTCAAGGTTAAGCTAGCTTGCCCATGGCTGCTCTGACATTCGAAAAATTATCGTATCCGTGCCGCTGTAATGCGAGACCATCAAGCGCACGCTCTCGTTTCAATTAAATTGCACTTTTTTCATTGTTGTTGTCCGTCCGTCCGTCCCGCCGTAGGACTGTCCGACGGTCTGGCGCAATATGGCAAAAAGTAGCGGAGACAGCTTTGGTCAACATTGGAGATATTATTTTCATGCTTGAAGACTTTATTTTCATAGCCAAGCGGCGAATCGCGCTACCATTAGGTTGCTGGTGGTATCGGTTTTCACTTCCCTCCCCCGTCTCCGCCACCGCAGCCACCGCTGCTGATGCTTTTGTCCCTGGCCCGGTATGATTTTCTAATCTATTGGCAAACGCAACGGGAAAAGTGTTACATTACCTTCTCCGTATTATGCAAGCTGGCAAGAACACCTGTGACGTCAACCACCTGCGCTGCCATACCGCACTCAGCAATAAGCTGAGCGCAACTTTGAAGCTTAAAATATTTTCTGCTTATTTGGCAAGAAGCATTTCTCTGATACGCGTCTGCCAAACTTTTGACAGGCGGGGACTGGGCGCCGGAGATGGTACTCCTCCTCCCCCTGGGACAGCTTTTTGAATTTGGAGCCACGTGTGAGCGGTTCGGATTGCTCACCATTTTCAATCCCCGTTCCTCGAACCAAATATGCATGGAATTGAAACTGATTCAACACAACGTTGACTACATATTTAATAATTCGCACTCTCTTTAACTGAATAATTGGCACAGGAGCATATTTATAGTACATATGTATGTATCAAATATGTTATTTCAGCTGATTCCTTCTACAAATTGCATTATCTACATACCTCATCATACATACATATGTATATACATATGTACATATGTATGTTTGTATGTGCAGCAAACGAATTGATGTCACAGCTTATCTTGTATCATAAAGTCGTGCTGAATAAGCGAAAAAAATTAATGAAAACTTTATAGGGTTACTTGTATAGTTCTACAGACTTTGAGGATTAGCTAGGGGAGATGACAAATCGAAAAATTGTGTATTTCAGTCAAAAAATACGTAATTCATACATAAAATTATGGACTTAAATAAGGGTACAATAACGTGCATATTAGCATACATTATTGATTCATTCAGATATGAGAAAAACATAAAAGAGTAAACTGTGAAACTCTTAAAAAAAAACAGTCAAAAAATACGTAATTCATACATAAAATTATGGACTTAAATAAGGGTACAATAACGTGCATATTAGCATACATTATTGATTCATTCAGATATGAGAAAAACATAAAAGAGTAAACTGTGAAACTCTTAAAACCAACCGTACCCACAAATCCGAGTGTAGCCCATCGCAAGATTGCTTCTGATCGCTGTGCAAATGTCAAATCTGATAAATCAAGTGTAATTGAAAGAAGGGCAAATAAGCCAACGCCAACAACGACAACAAGAGAGCGAAAGCAAAGCGAACGCCGAAAATGAAGAATAGACTGGCGCAGCGGTGCAGAGAGGTGTGGTGTGGGTGTGTGGGTGTGTGAGAAGTGTGCTCGGCTCGGGTTAGGTCGCGTCGAGTCAAAACCGACGCTCAGGGGTTGAGCGCCGCCGCCAAATGGTTGACTGTTGAGCTTTGAGTGCAATCTGCAGTGGTAGCGGGATCGGGAGCGAAAGCATAAATGCGAATAATGAGCAAAGCGCGACCCACGAGAAATAACTGATAAAGAGTATAAGAAAATTCTTTATTTGTACCTTCTTTTGCGTTCTGCTTCTGCGCTGCGGCGACTGCAGCTCAGCCAGCTGCGACAACGACGACGCGACGACATTAAATCTTACAAAATAGGGTAAAAAATTGTGCATGGCAGTTAGTACCGCGAGTATAGAGGATCAACAGAGTCACATCAACGGCGAATAAAACGACTATAAAAAGCAAAGTGACCGAAAGCCGAAAAAGGGCACGAGACATCACACAGTGCAGTTTGAAAGTTGAGAGACAGGCACGCCTTTTAATTAAGCTCCATTTAAATATCAATTTTCAAATCGACTCGGGCGCACATCGGCAAAATATGCGATTAACAAAGGAAATTTCAAATTTTGCTTGGCTGCCAGTTTAAAGCGCGCATCGTCTCATCGCTTCGCATTGAGTGTGTGTGTGAACACAAATAGCAATTTACGTAATAATACTTTCTGTTCTCGGAAATTGTGTTATTTTTCTCGATTTGCACCTCCCACACACACAGGAGCCGTCACGACTCGCGAGTGTCATATTCCTAGCCTTGGCAACCTGACGGTCGTCTGAGCACGGTCTTTGTTGTTACGTCTAAGGCCCAACAGCGTAAAGGATGTCATATAATTACAACAACAGCTCCGAGGACTACTCTTATGAGGATGAGTATGTATTTCTGGTGGATTAAAGCGACAGCGAGGTCTGAAGTACGCCGGAGTGCTGGAGTGCCGGAGCGTAAAAGGCAGTGACATAAAGTAGCGTAGCTGTTGAACGCCTTAACAATCATCAACATAATCATTGACTAGGCCTGACAAACTGCCTATTGGTGTTTTGTTTAGTTAAATGGATTGTGATGTAATGGATTATAATATTCCATGGAAATCCGACTAGCTGCCATCGATATAAAAACCTACCTATCGTTTATGTTAAGTATAGAAGTTTATACCAGTAATCTGCAAGGGTGATTCAGCCTCAATCCCGGAAGCTAGTCATTCTATCAGCTGCAACTCTCTAGAAAAATATTGTATATACATAGGTCGAATGCGATCTCTCTAGAAGACTTGGTGTAAAATTATAATAATATTCAATAATGTACATATTAACTGAGAAGCACCGCTGCCAGAAATTATCATTAAAATATTATATGTACTATGAATGTATGTATGTACATCCAATGACAATTCGTATAGTTTAACCCATTTAAATGATGTACGACCACGAGAACTGTCTAAGTCGAACAATTGAGGCAAGTTCAAGCTGAAGTGTCTTGTTCTTTCATATTTAGCATTTCCCAGACCTACATAATACGTATGTACATACATATACATATATCCATGTACATACTAGTATTAGGTTCTCTCAGCAAAATCAGTGTCAGCATTACTTTGTCGGTCTTGTCTTTGTTTCTGTGTGCATATGTCAACATCGTGCCCATCAGAAAAGCTAATTTAAATTTAAGTAAATATAATTTATGACAACAGTACATTTATTTCGAGCACTTTCTATCGTTCTAACTGAGAGTTAAGTAAATTTAGTTGAGCATACTGAATTAAGATTTGTGTGGATACTTAAATCAAGTCTACAAATTGCATTTATTCAGTCAGCATACGTGATACGACTCTGAATGTACGGCTGGGCGGAGGCAACGAAGGTTTCCTTCAATTATTACGGCAGAGTCATTAAAGTCGCATTTGAAATGAAAAAATCTCTGACAATACAACTTAAAACAATATTTTATTGCCATTACAAACAGACAACAGACATCTTTGCCGAGCCGAGCAAGACCGGCCCGAGTCGGGTGTGAAGCTGCTCTGACTTTAAAGCGGGCATGGTATTGCTCTACGAATTTGTTCTGGAGAAAGCTCCACTTGACTTAGAAAATTATCAGTGTGGTGCGTGCATGTGCTGGGATTTACAATTCAAAAATCTAATACGAATTGCAATAATTTAGAGGTATTTTAAAGACTACTTGACAAGCTAAACGTAGGTTTTGTGTGCCCTGATATCTAAGATAATTGTAGCTACAATTGAAGACTAAAGTTTCCCCACATTCTGAAGAAGCTCTCTTCTCTAAGAAGCTTCTCGACTTCACATTTGTTTTCAGTAAATATGATTTAAAATAAATAACCCAAACAAACAGAACAATTTGTTGGTTTTTCTGGAAGTCAAAAAATTAGTTATCTGTTCCATTTGCATGATTCACTTATTCCCATTTGATAGCATTTCCTAGTATTTTCTCACACCTAATTTATTTATCCTTTCTGCTCTAACAGACTCTCAAAATATATGTACTTTGTGAGAGCTCTTACGGATTTGTTGTCAATCAGATTTCACACTAAGAAGATTATGCCCCATGTTTCTTAACCACAATTGAATTTCCACTTCATGGGGCATAAGCTGGAAACAGAGAAAAAAGGCTAACCCTTTTAGGGCAAAACAATTTGAAGACTGCACGCGTATACATAAGAGTCACATCAAATAGACACAAATTGTTGCACGCGTAAGGAAGCAAGCCAGACGAGCCAAATTAAACCAAGAAAAATACTTGGCAGAAAAATCAATATGAAAGTACTTGAAAATTTATTGAGCCTTCGGCATTAGCAGACATGCCACGCCCATGCACCTGAGCAAACAAATTCCTACACAAGTCAAGTAATCCTGTTAAATCTTTATTCTCCGCTTATTTCTTTTATTTTTTTGTGGCGCCGTGTGTATAACAAAAATCCACCATACATGAACTTTTCCGACTGCCGTTCCTGATGCTGGTCCCCCTCCGAATGCTGCTCCTGCTCCTTTTCCCGCTCCACACATGCAGCGAAGTAACAGAAGGTGCCTTACAAGTCTGGAGAGCACTGCCCGAGCGTATTCGCCAGGATCCCAGTCTAGCATCGTTTCGCCAGGAGCACGAGCGTTTACATGGCGGTAAGTGGTTTTCTCTGCCGCCCCCTTCCAATGTGGCAACCTTAATTCCTATCTTTTACGAGCATGCTTCCCACAACCTGTTGTTGCTTTTGCTACCTTTTTTATTGCTGTAATTATTGTAGAATTTTTTATTGCTATTTGCGTCGTCGTCGTCATTGACATTGGGCTGCTGAAAGTCCACTCCGGGGCCTGAGTTCCGCCTGATTTGCATACCAAAAAACCCTGTCGACTTGCGGCCAAATATAGCGTTTTAAATTGTCTGTGATGGACGCACTATTTGAGGTTCTTCAAGCCTTCAGCAACCAGAGAAATTCATATTCTATTCCAACAGTTTCAAACTTATAAGTGGCTTTCGCATTACTAGTATTAGTGGTCAGTCTCTGACTTGGTGAGTACTCGAGCGAGTATTTTTAGACATCCAGCCTTGGTTCTATAGCCCCTTGCGCTTGGGCTAATAAAATAATGTGAGGCACGTGGCAAGTGGCAGGTTGAAGTAAAGTCCAGCGACAGTTATTCGCTTGGTGTCCTTGCGAGAACAGCGAATGAGGCAATTTACGCACAAATATTGGCCAATTCCCCTGGTCTCCGGCCCGGGTAAATTCAACTCCGAGCTCCGGAGATATATAAATTGGAAATGCTTTAACTGGTTTTTATTATCTTCCCTATTTTAGACGGCGATCCTCTGCCGCCAGAGGAGGGCGGCGCTTTGGGCGAACCATGCGAACAGCCAGATAACGGATCCCAGGCGGAGACGACGCTGGACACCCATGCCTTCACGCAGATCGGCATCAATGTGACAAACGAGGCGGGTCAGGTGCGAGTCATCGATGGCAGGTTCGTAGTTCTTTGCACTTCGATTGTCATTTACGTAATTAGTGCAACCAGTTTTCTGTGATTCCCCTGCTCTTTTAGGGATCTGGAAAACAACAATGAGGATCAGCACGATGAAGTAGAAACGCATGGCAAAAGCTCGGTGAGTGGATAAAGTTACTTATAAATCTATGATAGCAATATATATATATCTGTTCTATCTCTCAACAGTTTGTCAAGTATTTGATCTGGTTCAAGATAGCTGTTCTCCTGCTGGTCTGGTGTGTCTTCACCGCCTTCCTCATGTCCAACAACGAGCATGTGGACCAGCTGAGCCTGATAAGTGTCCCCAGAAATGGCTCTCCCAGAGGTAACTATAAGAAAGTTGTCGGAATACGATTGATATTCAAGTGTTTTTCTCTCTTTAGTCTTTCCGATTACGACATCCACTCTGCAGCGCATAGGCCTGGGTCTGCGTGGACCCTTCCGGTTGCAGGAAAACGAGCTGACAATCAACGAGAGTGTACCACTTCCCCTGCTCCAGGTGCAGGTGATGCGCAGCTACTTCAATGCCGAAGGATTGGAGGTGTACATTGAGAACGCCAGCCAGCTGTGGCAGCTGGAAGTGGTCTATCCGGACTTGATCGACGCCACCGTAGACACCAAGAAGCAGCGCACCTTCGAGCTCAACCCCACAGATCCGCTGTGGCTGGCCCAGTCCAACAGGACAGAGCTGACCTTCGAGTTTGGAACCAGCATCGAGGGCGAGCTGCCGTTGCAATTGAACGTGGACGAGTCGCCAATCTACAAGCGGGACGGTGTGATCTATGCTGCGGCGGTGCTCTGCGGTCTCTACATCATGATTATTTGGGAAATTGTGAACAGGACATTTGCCGCCATCATCGCTTCCACGCTGTCGGTTGGGATTCTGGCGGCGCTCAATTCACGACCCTCCATGGCCACCATAATGGGCTGGATCGATGTAGAGACGCTCCTCTTGCTTTTCGGTATGATGATCTTGGTGGCCATTCTCTCCGAGACGGGCGTCTTTGACTATCTGGCAGTGTACGCCTACAAGATTACCAACGGACATGTGTGGCCCTTGATCAACTGCCTGTGCCTGTTCACAGCGGTGCTCTCCTCGTTCCTGGACAACGTCACTACTGTGTTGCTGATGACGCCGGTTACGATAAGACTCTGCGAGGTGATGTGTCTCAATCCGGTGCCCATTCTGATGTGCATGGTCATCTACTCGAACATTGGTGGTGCCTTAACTCCTGTTGGGGATCCGCCAAATGTCATCATCGCATCCAATAGCTACATATCCAAAAATGTAACTCCGAAACCTTATTTCCAAGGCTGTAATTGACATTTGAACTAATCTTTGAACCGGTCTACCATCCATTTGCAGGGCGTCAATTTCGCTGTCTTCACGCTCCACATGCTGCCCGGCGTGCTCCTGGTGATGGTGCAGACCTACATACAGTTGCGCTTCAAGTTCCGCAACATCAGCGACCTGCAGTTTAAGGACTCACCGGAGGTGGAGGAGCTGCGCCACGAGATACACGTGTGGAAGCGAGCTGCTGCCAGTCTGTCGGCCTACTCCAAGGACGAGGAGTTGGTGCGTCAAACTCTAATGAAGAAGGTGAACCGCTTAAAGAGGAGCTTGAAGAAACGAATGACTGCTGTGATCGAGCCGGCCCCCAACTATCAGCAAACACTGGCCAATCTGCAGGCAAAGGTTTGTCTAGGCTCTGCCCTGTCTTTGACCAATTATCAACCTTGTCTCTTCTTCTTTTTACAGTATCCTATTCGCAACAAGCAGCTGCTTGTCAAGTGTTCCTTTGCACTGCTCTTTGTGATCAGTTTGTTCTTTCTGCACTCCGTGCCAGAACTGCAGCGACTATCCTTGGGCTGGACGGCCCTGCTGGGAGCCATTTTTCTTATCATCCTAGCCGACATTGAGGACATGGAGGCCATACTAGCACGCGTCGAATGGTCAACATTGCTGTTTTTTGCAGCTCTGTTCATCCTAATGGAGGCCCTGACGGAGCTGGGTCTGATTGAGTGGATCGGCAATATGACAGAAGGAATCATTTTGGGTGTAGGCGAAGATCGGCGCTTGATGGTGGCCATACTGATCATTCTCTGGGTGAGTTGTGGCCACACAGAGTCCTTTGCGTACTCATACTAAATGTTCCTTTATCCACTGGTTAGGTTTCTGCTGTGGCTTCGGCTTTTGTGGACAACATCCCTCTGACCACGATGATGGTCAAGATTACCATATCATTGGCGCAGAACAGCACCTTGAATCTGCCCCTGCAGCCTCTAGTTTGGGCCCTGGCCTTGGGCGCCTGTTTAGGAGGTTAGTTCAGCAGGTCTTGGGTCCTAGATAGTAGTCTCTAATGTACTGATTTCTCACCCAGGCAATGGCACATTGATTGGAGCTTCGGCCAATGTTGTTTGTGCTGGAGTGGCCGAGCAGCATGGCTACAAGTTCACCTTCCTGCAGTTCTTCAAGTATGTCCAATGAACCCTTCCAGTTATTTTCAATTCATTCACATATTTTTCATCTACAGAGTGGGCTTTCCTATCATGATTGGAAGCATTATTGTGGCCACCGGTTATCTGCTGGTCTCGCACTCGCTATTTGCATGGCATTGATGAAGGGCCCCCTGGTCCCCATTTCGGAACAAGGCGCACTTTACCTCGTTACCTAAGAAAACTTTTGCAGATATGCGACGTTCGTCGTGTTCAACAACTGCAGACCGAGGGAAAACCATTTAGACCCGAAACACCCAAAATCTAGAGAAGGGAATTTCAATATCTTATAGGCGATCTATATAAGAGAGTTTATATGTTTAAACACATTCTAAAATAAAACCGCAAGCGCAAGCGCAACCAAACCAAACCCACACAGAGACAGAAAGGAAGAATATTATACTAGAAATATACATTTATTTTTACACATCGTTGTTAGTGTAGTGTGTAGTCTCAATAACAAAACCAACAAGAAGTATAAGAAATAAAACTAAATTAATTATATACAATTAATATTGTCGCTGAACTGTGAAACGATTTGTTAAATGTTAAATGTATGGATACGAATCAAATAAAACCAAACGAAAATACATATTACTGCTGTACTGTAAAAAGATAGAAACACACAACTTGGATTTTTATTTGCTTTGAGTTTTGATTCTGGTACATGAATTAAACCCGTTTTAAAGGACAACTTTGATCATTTAGATCGAAATAAGTTTAAACCTTCATTATTAAAATGTACTCAATTATACAATTTTTTTTTAATTAATAACAGTTCTTATCTCGCTGCATTTTCAAAGAAATTTATAGAGAGAGTGAGAGAAAAAGAGTATTTGTCATAATAGCATCGCGGCACGTCTGCTTCCACTAGCAACGGCTCGACTGGTTTTCTTATTCATTTCAGCGCTCTGTGAAACGCAAAACCCTTTTTATATTTACTTCATCATTGTAAACAGCACGGAGCAGAAGACTCAGCTAGAGGCCGTTTAAAAGTCGAAGACGTTGTAAAAGTGTCAATATTTTGTATAGTTGTGATATTTTTTTGTTAGTGCAGCGGTACAAAGTCCAAGCAAAAAACTCAGCCAAAGCATTGAAATGGCAATTAGGGGTATGCAGACGCAGTTTGAAATTTGTTTGCATTTCATGCATTGACCGTTGGCTGTTGGCCGTTGTTGTTTTATTTTTTTTCGGACAGTGCATAAATGGTGTGGCAGGCAACGCCTCTTACATAAATTGTTTGTTTTGCACTTACTGTACTGTACTGTACTGTATTGTACTGCAATGTGTGTGTATGCTTTATGCTTGGGTTATTAAACAAAATGTATGTCCATAAAGTAACGTCGTGTGTCTTTGTTAATTAGACTGGCTGTCGTTAAAGGGGGCCTGTGGAATTTATTTAGACGCCGCCTGCCCTGCGTTATGCAAAATATATGTACTCGTTCATAAGAAATATATGTACATACATTGTACATACGTTGGGGTTCACTGGGTATCATAAAAAGTCGGGGATTAAGTGCAGAGCGATACTATTGGTAATTATGGGGTGCATTGAACCGAGAAATGGGCGACAAATTAGTTTGAATGGGTTTTCTATGAGGTGTTTACACGTATTTAAGTTATCTAAGGACTGCATACAGAGCTGGATGTGATGATGGAAAATTGAAACTCGGTACTTGACTTGTTCACCTGCAACCAATATATTGTTACTAAACCCAATAAAGTCCGACATTGTACAACCTCATTTCGATTTTTCAGCCTGTGCTTTGCATTCATGAAAAAAGATGATCCGATTTTGAAAAGCCCAACCAGCCATGGAAGTCACCTTTCACAACAGCACAAAGATGTGCCAAAAAAAATTAATGTAAAGACAGCAAATTATGAAAGACCCCAAAAGGCAAGCCAAGTACACCAATTTGAGTCAGAAATGACGTTAATGGAGCAGACGCCAACAGCCGGTCTCCATCTCAGTTTCGGTTTCAACTTCAGCACAATAGAGCGACCCCAGAGAGCGTACGCATGCGCGACTACAGAGCAACGTTACGTGATTTACTGAGCAACTCTGGCTGGAACGGAGACGAGACAGACTTGAAAACTGAGAGCAGAGGGAGAGGGAGGGGTTGGCGCGTGTGGCATGCCTGAAACATTCACTCTCCATTTCAGTTGCGCTACAGACACGCATGGGACAGGTTGTCAACGGTTCCGCACTGCACTCGAACAGAAGTCGATAGAGCTAAATACGTTAGTTTAATTATGCCATTCGTATGTGCTGTGTGTGTTGTTTTTAAGCCAAAAAAAACGAAAAGCTAAATTGAAACAGAAATTACACTGCCAAAAATAGCACGCTTTCCATCAAAGCAACTTTCATTTTTCTACAATATAAAAAATTTCTGAACTAAGCGATGTTTGGCCTGTTTATTAGCAGCAATTTGAGTCGAGTCGAGTGGAGTGTAAAATGTAAAGTGTAAATGAAGTTTACACCGAAAGAAGTCGCAAATCAATCAAAACCGAAATACTCACATGACAAGGCCAAATGCCAACGAAAAGCAAAGCTGTAAAAAGCGAGTAATAAATAAAAACAAAATAGAAAAAAAAACCCAGACAAGGCGAGCTACGTAGTTAACGCTCATTGACGTTGCGGGCTTAGCCGAAAAACCTTAACAAAATTGTATACGAAGCTTATTGAACAAAAGTGAGAGTGATTTTCAAACAGACTGCTGTTGTTGTGGATTTTTGTATTTACGCTTTTTATTTAAGCCATACCATCCACCGCCGCTCGCACACATTCACATGCATATGCATGAGTATCGCAACTGTGTTTGCATATCACAGCAGAGTGGAAATCGCGCAAACAAACGGTCGGCCAGGCCACTAAAAAATAACCTGGCAACATATTTGAAATATTTGTATTAATGACGCACCTGCTACGGGGCAACTGACCAACCTCAAGATTCGGAGTCGGTCATTTTTGAGTGTTGCGCAAACGCTGTGTTGCAGCACTGTGCGAAAATTCTGTAAACGAAACGCAACGCCACCTTGTGGCATGAAGTAATCGCTTATGTGTTGTGTATCTTGCAGGTACTCGTACATTTTGGGGGATTGGCAATCTAGTTGGATCACCTAAATGCTGGAAACCAGCTGTCCAAGTTTGACTGCTGATCATGTTTTGGCCAAAACATTACACGGGCTCTACTAGCCTCTGGCTGCTGCTGCTCCTCAGCCTGCTCTACAGTAAGTAAACACAACAGAAAATCGGTCCATTCCACCGGATTAGATTGGCGCTACCGAAGCCCAGAGCCCAGCTTTATAACTGGTTTGACGACACAAACTGATCCATCGACAGTCTCTCTGTTCGGTCCAAAGCAGACTTTGGCCTGGTCAGGCCCGGCACCCAAGTTGGGTGCCGGTCTTGGTCTTTGTGTCAAGGTCGCTGGATCAGCGATGTTTGTTGTTCACATAGCTGACTGCGGATAGTCTGTATTATGGGTCTCATTGTTTGCCTCACATGAGTTTTTGCCTAAGGTCGTATTGTATGGTGCAAAGTTTGAGATATGTTCTTGATTACATACATAGATCAAAGAGCAAAGCACTTATGGAGTGCTATTAAGAAAATTAAAGTTCAAAGCTTAAGAGCGGTTAGTAGAATGATATTTTGGGTGTATCAAGATTTTTCTCTTTTAAATATGACTTTCAAACATGAGATAATATTTAACTGCCAAGCCCTACAGGCATCTGCATTATTTTCCATGAAATCACTCATCTGTAAATAAAAAAAAAGGTCCAAAACCATAAAAAACCAGAAAAAGGTTATATAAGCAACAGGCCTACAGTTTAAGTGCTGGGTTCGGCAAACTGGTCTAGAGCTCTCTCTCATCTTTGTTTATGACACAAAAAATTCAATTCAATGAATTTTCGTTACAGCAGAAAATGCAACCACTTTCGTTGTGCCACAGGAACTACCAACCTTATTATCCTTAGTATACTCCAACATACCACCGATTAAGAAAGGTACGAAATAAGACATGAGATACTTTTCAACTATTTAATAAATGGTTAATTTATCGTTAAAAAAGGAACCGATTCACGTCTTGGCTTTGGTTTTCGTCTTGGCGAAAATGCCGATTTCCAAGTGCTCGTCGAGTTGGGGCCCCAGAAGCAGACGAAACCCATTGGGGAGCCCAGCAAAGATGATCAATCGTTCAGCAAACGTCAGGTGACTCCCACCGAACAAAAGGCCTTGTTGCGCCAGCATTACCGCCAACAACTGAAGGAGGAGGCCGAGAGATTAATGACCTCCACTGAGCGAAATGGGGCCATCTGGCTGGAGAACTGGTCGAACGGCATGAAACCGCAAAAGCCCAAAGCGAAGGGTAGTGCAAGGCGTCCCGTGGAAGAAAGCCAGGTCCCCAACCTTCCGCAGCAGACACAATTTCAAGAGAATGCCATGCAACAGCTGCAACAGCTATACAAGATGGCCACCAGCAGTAGCACCACTGCGTCGCCTCCGTCCTATGCAGTTATGTAGTTCCCTCAAATTAGGAGGCCCCAGTGGGTTCAAATTACCACCGCCCGCGCTTAAGCAGGACTCCAACTCCCTGAGTATTACTGGTCCGGCGAGGAGCCAGAGCGAAATCACAAAGGAGCTAATGGATGTCAGCATGGAGACGGAGGCTTAGGTTGTGCAATTTTCTAGGTACTAATTGATTATATTACCATTTATGTAGGCATGCATGTGAGCTTAGGCAATCTGTAAGTAGTGAGTGGCTTAGCAAATTCTCTGTAAATAAACACAAATCTAAACAAAACGAGAAGGAACATATGAGTCGCTTCTTTGTGGGAAGCAACTGAAAAATTGATTTCTTTATTCTGGCTATAATTGTGATCCGATCTAATTCAGATTCGGCTATGCTATTTTTTCGTATCTTCAAAATTGTGGCTGACACAAACTTCCGTCCTTTATGGGGGCGGAAAGAGGCGGGGCTAAATTTTGAAAACACTTGTAGCAGTGTGATATTACATGAGTCTGGAAGCAAAACTTGGTTTCTCTAGCTCTTTTAATCTCTGAGATCTAGGCGCTCATCAGGACGGAGAGACGGTCGGACAGACAGACATGGCTATATCGACTCGGCTATTGATGCTGATCAAGAATATATATACTTAATGGGGTCGGAAATGTTTCCTTCTCTGTGTTACACACATCCACTTTTACCACAAATACAATATACCTTAACTCTTTTTGAGTACGGGTATAATTAAACAGAATGTATGGTTACATAGAAAACGGTATTTAATATGATCAGGATATATCAGGCAAGATCCTTATTGTCCTTGTATTTACTTTAAGTTCAAACAGTCTACCGATTATCACGTATCAAAAGATCGCCGCCATGAAACTGTACATGTCATCTACACGCCACATGTACATTTTTACACAAATTCTACTCACATTTTACAGAAGCAATTCCACGGCAGCGAGCCATTGAATGTATGCAACTGAACACTTTTGGTTCAAAAAGTGACCGCTATTGAGTTAAGAAAATTAATTTATTTGAATATTTTTGAAAAAAATGTAACAGTGAAGCCGAGGCAACCTCTAACCCTTGTGGAGGGCAACGCTTTTGCAAGGCCCCAAAAGCTGCAGGATAATATGCCTCAAGCAGAATGGATGGGTGTCCTGCGATTCCAGATTATCTAGTAAATCCCGCGGCGCTGCTGACTGAATCGGAATTGAGAATTGATTATCTAGATAATCATAGATAGCACATACATAATATTGAAATAAAAATGAATTTACGATGTTAGCCAACTTTCTCCCACAAAGTTCAAACTTTTTTTTATTTTCATATGTCTTTCTTCTGTATTTGGTCCAGAAATACATAAATACTAAAATTAATCATGACCAGCAATCAATACAGAAAATATAGTACATAATTGATTAATTGATTGGTAACTGACAGATGTACATAATTGTATGTACACTCAAATTTTACGCTTGATTTTTAAACAAGTACGGCATGGTATGGGTTCTTTTGGGTGTTTAGCTTTATTATGAACTTAGAAATTGTTTAAATTAATTACATAAATAATCAAGTAAAGTACATGGACACAACTTAGCTACACTAGCCGCGTATCCGTATGTGTTGTATTATATTTAGCAACTAGCATAAACATTTTTTTTCCTTTAAGCTAAACAAGATTTAGGACTACATTATAAATTAGACAAAGCATTTCGTGCCCGGCGGCAGCTGATCAGCTATCGGACCGGTGCAGTCCATGGACATACAGAATACTATAAATCATTTAGGCTACACATACATTTATATTAATATTAAGCTTAGACGTACTACATAGAAGAAGTAGTTAGCGGGCTTCACAGCAAACATATGGGATGCCTGTTGAAGGAGCTAGCTCTAAAGTAAATATTACTTATCAAAGTAGTCAATTTCCTTTAAGCAGACATGTGTGAATGGTATGGGTAGTGTATGGGTGTGTGAGAAAGTATTTATAAAAGTAATGTCTTTCGTATCATATTTTTTCCGTGTTCAGTGTTCCAATGCGTTGCTGCCCGAGGGTTTGACTAAGATGTTGGAAAACAAAATCATCGTAAATCTCAAATGTGCAGTAGTAACTACTATAACTTGTGTGTAGGATGCTCAAAAATGTAAAATTCTCCGATTTTGCGATTCTCAATTCCGATTCAGTCAGTAGCGCCGCGGGATTTACTTCTCGTTCTTGAGCGGCACACCCTCCTCCTGGGTGACATCGCTGATCTTTTTGCGCTCTGGTGGATTGTTCCAGGGCTGCAGCTCGCCTGAGCCCAAGATGGCAAAGACCACGGCTCCAGAGATATAGGTGGCCGCCAGTATCCAGAACACAATTTGCCATTGATGGAAGGATTTCTGTTGGTGGTATTCAATTAGTAAAACTAAATGATGAAAATGAGCTATTTTCTTCACTGACATCGTAGTAAGTCAGTGATCCGACCATCCACGTGGACAGGAAACCGCCAAACGAAGACAGCGTATTGGCCAAGCCGAAGATGGTTCCACCAAAGTTTGGCGCAATATCAAGGCCATTGCCTAAATAGCCAGCAGTGACAGCTCCATGGGCAAACAGGGCCAGCGAGAAGATCGTCACAGACCAGGTGGCATCGTAGCCCAGGAAGACTTGCACAATCATCAGCAGACCAGGAGTGACCAGAGCTTTAATCAGAGATTCCAAATTTAGTAAACGGTTTGTTAATGAAAGGACTTAGTTAGAGGACTCACCGAATGTTGTAAACAGTTTCCTTGTAGCTGTCGTGCTCAGGGTGCCCTTTTTGCGAAGGTAATCAGCCAGATACGATGAGGCCACTGCCATCACATACTTGCCCAGATAAGGCAGCGAGGAGAAGAGACCGTTCTGTAAAGGATTAAATCATTTAACATGCCTTTGGATTAGTTGTGCTCTCATTTGATAAGCCCACCTGCTTGATGTCAAAGTGCAGGATCTGAGACATGAATGTGGGCAGCTGATTGACCACCGTGAAGAAACCGAACACGGCCAGACCGTGGCAGCTGATGATGGCCCAGACGGCGGGCGAGCTGAGCAGCTGGGCCCATGGCACGTGGCTGGGACGCTTCTTGGAGGTGGATGTGCCGATGGCATCCTCGATCTCGCGTCGCTCCTCGGCTGTGATGCGTGGATGGGTTGCCGGGGTCTCGTAGACAAAGGTGAACCAGCAGATGGACCACACCAGACCCACAGCGCCCGTCAAATAGAAGACGCTGGCCCAACCAGCAACGGAGATGAGGTAGCCACAGACAGGCATGGTAATGGCCGCACCCAGCGAGGAAGCTGCAAGGAGCAGACCGAATGGTTAGCATGGATTCGATGGGTTGGGTAGGATGGTGGACTCACCCATCATGTTGGACATAAACTTGGAGCGCTCCATGGGTGGAATCCAGACAGCAGCCACCGGGTGAATGGCCGGCCAGGAGGCACCCAGCATGAAGCCGAGCACAACACGCACGATGATGAGGACCACGTAGTTTATGTGCGCGGCCAGCGGTGTAATCAAGGTGAGGAGACTGGCCCACAGCATGGAATGTCCGAAAACGCGACGTCCCCCGATCAGCTCTGCCAGACGTCCGCCTGGCAGCTCTGTGAGGATGTATCCCCAGAAGAAGCAGCCCAGCACGAAATTGGTCTGGTAGGTATCCCAGGGGAAACGCTCCTCAAAAACCTCCACTCCGTCGGGGTTTGAACTATTGGTGGCAGTCGCAGTGTCAGTGGAATTTCCTGTACTGTTCCCCGCAAGGGTGCTATTGATGGATTCGCTGACATTTGGCTGCACCATGTCCACAATGGCTATTGTAAGGTTAACTCTCAGGGCGTAGTTCAGCATGAAGCCGAGCATAGTCAGCAGATTGAGTACTTGGCGACATGATAGAGCGTCTGAAAGGAAGAATAAATAGTAGGTAAGATTTAGTATGATATCATTTGTGGGTTCCCATATACTATGTAGAATCAATAGCGATTTCGGGCAGTCACCTCATGCGGCTTGTGCTGCGAGCACATAAATAATTCTAATTCTCATTTTGTCTGGGTCGTCAAGGTTAGGTGCTTAAAATTCGCATGGAATATTCCCCATGAGCTTCGACAACAAACGAATAACCGAATCATCGACCGACCAACCGAATCACTGATAACGACACATTACTTAATTTCATTACTGTTGAAGCAAAAGTTATTGCAATTCTCGATAGCGATCTTATATATTAAACGATGTTAGGGCTTTATAATTTATACCGAAAATTTTCGATTTACCTTCAATCTTTACTCTCAAGAATGAAGGATGAAAATGAGGAAAAAATCCTAAAGATTACAGAAGATGTTTCGAGTGAATTATTATTCGATTGAACAACATCAATACGCTGAAAATCATTCGTTATGATTATAGCGAATGAACGAGCTCATTCTGTCGCTAAACTACGAGTTGTTCTATTACTTCTTTTATCATTCGTTAGTTAGTTATTGGATATGCAAAATTAAACCTTATCACGCGTCCTCTCCATTACAATATCTGATGTAATCCGTTGTTTTCATTGCACGATCCAACCCAGATAAACACATAATTACCCATGTCAATGAGCCAGTAAAAATCCAATGACAATAAACTGTCATGATGTGACCTCAATAGCATACCGAATTGCACATGAATTTGATTTGAGGATCGGAACAGATCTGTGGGTTTGGGTGTGACCAGTGAACCTGGACTGTCTGTCGCCTGATTCAGCTCTGTGCCAAACAACACAAACTTGATGATCATTCTGTGGCTATTAAATCAGCCCCGAAACTCCACCTCTGAGTCTGGCTTGGCTGCTGTCATCTCGACTGTGTTTTTGTGACCCTCATTGGGCTCTTGGGCGGTTATTAAGTGGCAAAGTGCATTGTTCGTGCACACAAATCTCGAATAAATTTCGAATGCCGTTGAACTTCGATGAACCCCAACTTCGATTCGCGATCTTTGAGCGCGAGCTTGTGTACAAATTTATGAGCGTATGTACATATGTATGTATGAAGTAGTGCCAGGCCAAGCGGCGGGGAAAGATAAACTTGCTCAGCTGCACTTCAAACCACTTTCCCATCCATCCGTAGTTATCAGGTGGAGGAAACAGTATTATAGGGGCCAGTCTATCGGCTGTCTGGTCGGAACACGCCCACCTCATTGATTATTGCCCCAATATTATGTTAATGTCATGCAAAATAGCTTCGGATCGTCTAGACATGGCATCGACATCGACTGCCTGCTAAGCGGCACTCAACTTCTATTCAAATTAGCACTCAAAAATAACCACAGCAGAGCACAGCCGAAACCGAATAATCAAAAAGCGCACACATAAAAATCATAAAAATAAAATAAAAATACAAAAAAATAACTAGTCATGTTTGCTATAAATTCTCGGTCCCATATAACCAGAAAAACGTGCCCGAAATACACTTCAGAAGAAGATACAAAAACTGCAAGGTTTCTTCATCTTAGACCAGTTTTGCTCGCCTGATATCAGATCGGTTTTGTTGGGACCAAAGCTATAGCAAATCGTGGATAATGGGTGATCAGAAGATCTGTGGTTAGAATTTGACGCTATTGCTGTGGTTGTACGTCAGTGAGAAAGTTTAGATCATTAACAGATACCTCTCTGTTAATTTCTGAGACATGTATTTGAAACCTGACACATGGTCTCGAATCAATGCTAATTGATTAGCGTGTGCCGCAAATTACTATCGCCATATCGATAAGGATGGATTAATACGATACTACGACTTCTATGGAGGAAATAATAAATCTTTGGTAGTCGAAAAAGTTAAGAATGTAGAGGCTAATAGAGGCTGGTAGTGGCAAAATAAATGATTTGTATTTTTCTAGTTTTCAAATCGAATATAACTCTAATGGAATTTATTGATATGCTCCGTTATTGGATTGAATATCTTTATCTTTCCCCATTCCATCTATCGAAACACTTAACATTAAAATCTCATTAAGCTGCGAGGGTCTGACGATAATTTAATCAACCAAAATTTGTATACTAGCCCTAATTTACCTAATTCAATTTATCACAGTTCCCCATAGCACATTTTAGTCATCGCAGCGACTCCTTGCGATAATATTAATGATTGAAACATGTTTGCCTCCAAGCGGGAGAGCCAGTTGATTAATTGTCGCCTGACTCTGTCTTTTTTCTCTTGGATGGGGCTTTACTTTTGTTTACCGACTAACTACTCTTGATATTCTGTATATTTTTTTTGCAATAAATTATTTGAAGGCTGAACCTGATGTTTACAACCGAAACCTGCCGGAGAGCTCAACTTTATTTTGGTTTCCCACTGCACGGTCAAGTCCGTAGATTTTGACAAATTCTTCTCGGAATTATAAATTAAACATTTGAGCTGAGACTTCGACGCCGCTGGCTCTGTCTCTGAGGTTGCCTCGTGCATAAAGCTATTTGATTTTGGCTGCTTTTTTTTTGCACTGATCTTTAGCATTTATGGTCTTTCGCTTGTACTCTACTTGAAACAAGTTCCAGGTCTGAGGCAACATAAGAACCCCATCAAAGAACGGCAAAATATAAAATAGCGCCTGCAAGTAAATAAACGATCGGTGTTCCTTTGGTTTTTGGGGGCAAACGTGATAATCAAATTACATTTTTATTGTGCCCAGACCAGACCCAGACGCAACAGCAACAGCAACAAGTGAATGTGAATCCCCCCGAGAGTTCGTTGAGAGAAGTACGGGTTTCGATTCTTTTTTGGGAGTTCGTTCGAGATGAGTTCATTGATTGGAAAAAGAGTTTAAGGAATTACTTAACTCAATTGCTTCACAATTAACAATACTTAACAATATATGTATGTACATATAAACGAAATGAATATATTTGGCTTCGACGCATATCCGGCACTTTTATTTGACGCAAAAGCAATTCTAAGTACATTTTCCAACCGAACATTATATTCCGTTCGGTTCTCTTTTTTTTGCACTGCTTTCTATCTGTATACGAATCTCCTTCCTTTTCACTTTTTCGGGTCTATTTATATTGTTCTATCGAACAAATGCGGGCACTGTGGGTACACACCCTCCACCCATAATCTTAAATCGTCTACAAATGTCGGTGATCTCTCGGCTCTCTCGCGGCTGCTGGCTGACCTTCAAAATTGTGCACAATTGTTGGGAAAAAGGCAGGGTGACTAGTGGTGAAAGTAAAATATTGATGACGATATCAAAGCCTCGACCGACTCTGATTTATTTACTCCTCTGGGGGAGGCGTGTTTCGGGTTCAGTGTTTTTAGTCTGCCATGTGATCGGATCAAGGCGGTGGAACATCCTCAAATCAATTCGCGCATTGGCCGGCTAGCAGTTTGCCAGAAAATTTTCCATCATTGAGCGCTTGACGTTTGTCGTTTTTGCGAAATTCGGAAAAAATCGAGCAAAGAAATGCCCGCATCGACGTCACACACTATTCTGTCAAGGTGCCAAGTGCCAATTTTTTGTTGCCCCACAAGAGAGAGAAGTCGCAGAATGAGTTATGGGGTAAGGTGCGACTGTTTCTAGCCACACACGGATCCACTTTCGAGATACGAGTCTAATCGTACTCGTACTCCGTATACATTACACCCACACCCACACCCAGATCCCCATCTAGATCCAGATATACGGTCTACATTGGGAAATGCCATAAACTGTTTTGCAGGACAGATAAGTCGCTTGATTTGGCGGCCCCAAATACACACGTTCCACGTTTCGGGACAGTTAAACAGTCAACGATGAAAAACAGCAGTTCCCCAAATGCTTCCTAATGAAACAATTTTCAATGGAAATATATAAACGACAGTGATAGAAAAACACTTGTCTTAGATGTATATATTGTGAACCGCGCTGTACTTGTGGCATTCATGTAAATATATAAACATGTATGTATGTGGATGTGTGCATGTATTGCCTATATGTATCTATCAATTGGATGACATTGCCGCGTTGCCTTGCCTTCCAGCAGCGATTATTGGCTTTGTTATGCTGGCTAACTGCATTTCCGTTACTAACTGATTTACGGAACTGGCCTCGCTCGTTTCGGTTCGGTTCGATTCGATTTGAATCTAAATCCATTGCTGATTTTGTCTGTTTTTGTGTTTGCATTTCCAATTGCAACGTGCTCTGGAAACTGGTTCTACTTCAAGCGAACAATAGCTTGATTAATTGTTGATTTATTGTTGAATTTCTTGGAGCACTCCCAACTGCTGTTTGTTGAAGACACACACTTCCGCCCCATCCCCTCCATCGCCATTGCATGGGACCCGGTCGCAGAAATCTTGTGTCGTCTGTTCGCTTATCACTTTTGTTGTCTGATTCCGTTTTATTGTTGCTATTTATTGCCCTTTTCCAGCAATCTGAAGGGTCTCGTCTCTGAATGTTGGGAAGTTGGGTCTCCCCAGCATTGTCCTAGTTTCGGTCCTTTCACTTCGCACATACTACACAGAAATTTTCCATGGAAATTCACAACTGGGTCCGAGATTGGGAGCTGCACTTGCGAGTACATATTGCGCTTTCCCGTTCAAAGTGCAGTGAGACGTCTGAGTATCTGTATCATTCAGTCATACGATTTATATAGATTTACAATAGATTCACAGCTATTCTTACTGATAAGCCCTTCCCTTCCCCCATTCTTCCACGATAAGTCTTTGGAATGTAGTGCAATTGTCTGATGAACTAAATTTCTGTGGGGTGGCACCGTAGCGAGTGCAGGAAATGAAAACGTTTTATTTTTGCAGTTGGATCCAACGGCAATGCAGTTGCCAAGGTAAATTTGAGATAACCCAAGAGTACCAATGCATTCCATTTGTACTATTGATTAAAAGTTTTCTTCGTTCGATCTAAGGACTTGAGAATTTAAGATTGCTTAGAATCCTTTCCGCTTTGCATTTACTAAAGGTATCGTCAAGTTGTCTGTTCCCGTCGCATCGCATCGCATGTACATACATACATATCTAAGACATGCACGTGCATGCTAATGAAGTGCTACAGGTTGTAAACAAGTTGTTGTGGTCGCTGTCATGTCGTCTCCCCCCTTCTCTATGTCCGACTATGCATGTGTATACTTTTTATGGTATAATAAAAAAATATAAAAGGGGCTCGTCAGATGATTTAAGCGTTATGTGGGACCTTCTAGCTTCGGAATTATTGTTATGGAACGTTTTAATATTATCAAAATCTATTTCGGAAATAGCAAAAAACTAAAACTCACGAACTTTGGTACTTTGAAGCCATTAAACGAAGACACGCGTTGCGGTTGTCTTGTCGAAGGATAGATAGGGGGCTTGACTGTTTAGTAGCGTAAATATTTATATTATTTCTAGTCAATCAATGGAGGCTGTCTCCGTTCTGTATTATCTCCTCACTGTTCACTTCTAGGGGCCAACCAGGTTCACAGTCAGCATTAATTCTTATTACTGTCTGAGCTATTCATTTTAATAATTTCGATTCGAATAACGCCAGCCCACAAGTGTATTTGAAAAGCAAAAAAGTGTGCCATGTGGAACGGAAGTGACATAGGAGACATGAAATTATAAATAAATGTTGGCTGCAAGATGCATTTTAAGGTATTTGTATGTCGCAGTTTGATAAGCAAACAGCTCACAAAATTCCAAGAATCGAATGTACGTCAATTAATAAAAATTTTATTTCGCACAATTATATTTTTGTTTTTTTTTGTTTTGCAAGTACGGGTACGACTACATACATATATCGAAAACTGGACCCGACTTCAATCATGACTTAATTAATGCATATTCAGAAAACACAGATACAGAAAAATTGAATCGGCTGGGCTGGGCTGAGCTGGGTTGGGATGGGGGAGTTTTTGGAACACAATGGAGTGAGGGCCAATCATGACACTCATACGAGTAAGACGGCTACGAGTCTACGAGTAAACAAACTTTGCCTTAAAGTGGCAAAAGTTAAATAACAATTTATCGCAAGCTATACATATTTATTCGAGCATGTGCATATGCCTGGTACATTCATTACTTATGTCTCGGCTTAGCCCGATTCTTGATTATTCCGTGCTTCAACCGACGACGACTCCGACGTTTCTGTTGCCATGGGGTGAATAGCCCTATGGATTCAAATGTGAATTATATTTTCTTCTTCATATTGTAGGGGCTTTAATTTACCCACACACAAGCTCTGATAAGGGACATGTCTTTATTTTGGTCACATTTCATTTCATTGTGAAATAGGAAATGGGAATATTTTTAATGATTTTAAAAGCTTTTTTCATTCAATGAAACATTTATTTATAGCCATAATTCATTTGTAATTGGAGATAAGCTGTAATGGATATGGTATTTGTTTCTACTGAAATTGGGTTTGGGGGGATAATTATATTTTAATTATTAAATCCATTAATAGTTTATTACACCTCACGACTATCTTTTATGGATCCACATCACATCATCTTTATGAGTATATCCCCTAATCAAGTCCTTCATTTACAATTCCCCTTTCTTCAGAATGCTTAATGCCATTTAAAAACCTTCAGTTATAAAACCAATTGCAATGCCAAGCCACCATAAAAAGTCATATGAATCGTATTATTTTTTGAATCACACCGATATATACCTACTCCTAGACCCCGATAATTGGGTTAGTCGGATTGGGGAGTGGGTGTTAATTACACGAGTCTCTGGTTTGTACATACATATAACAATTGACTCTAATCGAAATGCATTTTATTTTGTTTTCGCTAAATGCAAATTAAAAATGCATTGTGCCTCGAGGGGAAAGACACTCTAATTAGCAGCAATTATTGTCAATAACCTCGTCATATACACACGCGCCTTCAAAAGTGTCTTCTGGGGTAATTTGGAGTCCGAAAAACATTTATGGAGGCGTGTTTGACACTCATCTGTTGGACTGTAATACAATTCCAGAAAGAATGCGTTCTGGTCGTGAGGAATATTTCCCTTCGACTACTGGCCCCTCCACCTTCACTGACCGATCCGCATGCTTGGCCGTGCTAATTGGTAGATTTGATTTTTGGTTAGAGCCGCTGAGCTTATCGCGGCGGTCGTCGAAATGTGCACTCGGGCATACGATGCCGCCCGCCTGGCCAGACACCATGCCCCGCCCCTCTCTGTCTGTGGCTGTGTCTGCGACTAAAGTGCTAAACATCTCAAAAGTACGAATTAAATAGTAAACACTCGGATGACAGTCGCTGCTTTGCTATTAAAAATGTGCCGTAAACTAGACCCAACAACAATAATCGCGTCAATAATTGTACACAACGGAACAAAAGCTGCGAAATGTACTCAGAATTTAGTCCATAAACTAAACTTTCCACTCAGCAAAAGTCTATGTGGTGTGTATGACCATTGATTGCGACAGAGAGAGAGAGAGAGAGAGAGAGAGAGAGGGAGACCCCAACTAACGTGTTTAGTTAGCGTGACTGTGCTAATTTGTTTGCATATTTTATGGGCTCCTTGAAAATGTCATAACAATGGCGTCATAGGGTACTCCCACTGCGTAGTCAAGGTGTCGTCAGTTGTGGGCGTCATAGTCGTCGTACCTATCGATGACACCACGTCGAGGAGTGTCCAGTCACGCGAGGGATATCAAGGTGTCAGCTATCGTGGATAGGAATATGCGGGGGGATAGAGTGACTTCCAATATCTTATCTAAAGGAATAATAGGAGTAATAATTATAAAATCAGAAGTCTCGTTTTCAACTGCCGCACACAAAGGAGTCTGTGGAAACAGTCAAACTGTCAACTGGCCTTCAAATGGACCGGGATCGAGTAGGAAGAGCGCGTTACCCCATTCTGGGGAGCCGTCATGCGGTTATTGCTGTTGTTATCTAGAAACGGAGAAAAAAAGGGGCTCGGCTCAACTCGGTCCGGTTGGATTCATTTGGGATTCTAGCATTTTCGATGCCCCCAGAGTTGGGTGAGTTGATACGTCAGCAAATGATTTGGTGACAGACCACGAACTGTGGAATTTTCTGCATGAAATCAATGGGTTTTCCTTCCACTTACCCCTGACTCTGTGAAGGCCTCCTTTCTCCGTGTTGGACATGACGCCGCAGCCGCTCTGAAAATGAAAATATACCAGGAATGAGCAACCGTTTTTAAATTAGAGACGAAAATATCGTAGAGCTACAGTGATAAAGATCAAACAAAGAGATATCAATGGTCTGAAAAGTTAATGAAGCTTTTTCCGGAGTAGCTCCCGGTTTGTCCTCTATCACTTATCTTATCTAACCGCTGTCGTCTCGTGTTTGTACCTGAACGTGCCCACAAAGAAGTCTCGGCGCCAGTCCCACAAAAAAAATTGAGTACTATATGGACATTGTCTGTCCCATGACTCAAGGTGCATAATTATATCGCACTGACTGGCGCGTTAGCGTTAGCTCATTCACAACTAACTGAATTCCCTGTCTCTTATCTGCACGTTCCATTATCATCGTCTGTGTATCTTCAAATGCCGCCGCCATACGGATACAGAGGCAGAAACTTAAATCGTAATGCTAAATATAATGGAACCCCTACACGCACTCACCCACCGCTCACCAAAGAGACCAGAGAGAAAAAAAGCAGCGGCTCTCAAAGCGTTTCCCACGCCAAGTGCAGGAGAGTGTCGCTCATTTTTCTATTCTGTTTGGATCTGTTAGCGCCGCCATAAGTTATTGAACCATCACTTGAGGAAATTTTTCAGCTCTACGAACGAGCTAGGAGCCATACTGTATGTGAATTCTGCATGCTAATTCCCACTAGACGGACACGTGTATGCAGCCCCGAGCATGAGAAACTTAGTCCAATCAATTAGCTTTAACTGCGGTTTGTTTAATGATTGACCAATTTGTTGTGCAAATATTTGTTGGCGTCTTGGCGACAACATAAAATGAAAGGAACCAGTTTCAGTTTCATTGTGCCGAAAATTATATACCCTTGCAGTTCGGATAACATTAGCTAATATGCTTGATTTCAATACTAAGTTCTGAAACATAGAGCTATAAGAAAAACAGTTTATATATTTTGTTTACATGTATTTCACAAGATCTACTAATACCGCTTATTCAGATTTATTACCTGCCCAAATATGAAAGGAAACTATATAACAGGTAGCGACATAAGCCGTCTGATTTTTTATGCCGATCCTGCAAAATGATTAAGCCCACTGCCATATTTTCCTGTACCTTCTCGTATGACACACGAAATTATTGTCCTTGCCTGGTGACATGATTAGCCTTGCCTTTGAACGTTGCCATGTTATTAACCGACTGAAAAGCGGCATCTGGCAGCGAAAAAATGTGCGTTTGACTTGGGCATTGACTATATTCGACATCTATATGGTCACATGCTTGTACGTCATCTTCCCACTGTACTTATTTCGATTCCTATGTGCATACACATATGTATGTACATATGTATGTCCATATGAACGTCATGCCAAAATCAGACATAGCCATAACGCGTGATTTTTCTCGCGGTGGGAGGTCAGAATCGGGTAATGTACATAAGTACTAATAAAAGCAATTATAGCTAACCAATAATGTTAGTAACGGAAAAGCATGTGTCTATTTTTATAGAACATGTAATTGCTATTCAAAATCTTACTTATGTACTTATGCCCATATGTATGTATGTATGTATTTTCTTGTTATTTAGATTGAACATTTCCTGATCGTTGTATCGATTTCATTGTTTTTTTATCTCAAATATTTAGTATATCTTTAATTGCTTGTGATGATGCTTTAATTACTTCCACAAAAAAGTTATCAACCTATTCAAATAGTTTTTTGATTCCTAAATATTTACTTATTTAGCTGCTGTATAAATATGGAAAACATGATTTGTCTTAATAAAAGACTACTCATTCAAACATTAAAAATCTTTTATCTACATACATTAGTTAAACTTGGATAATTATAACACACAAAACAATGTGTTAGCAACAACTTTTAATAGATATTGAGAACACATTGAGAAAAAACCCACCTTGCACTGGACGACAATAATAAATTGTAAATGGAAGTTGTTTATGGAAAATTATATAATTTGTTCAACACAAACCGATTAACAATCTGAATCTGAATATAATTATATTTATAGCGATTTGCATAAAAACCAACACACAACAAAACGGAATCCGCGTCGGAATCGACTATGGAATGCACGTGCACGATATTTTATTTTTTGTTTATGTTAGAAAACACTTTTTCGAGGGCAATTTTTGACACTATACTCAAAGACACCACAAAACCTGAAATTAATCACACACTGCACACTCCGGGAACTAAACGGAGTTAGAGTATTGGAGAGACAGACAGACAGCTGTTGATTATTTTTGAAACAGAAACTTTTGGCGCTTGCGCAGACACTTCGAGATTTCGAATACGGAGTCGAATCGCCTGCTGCCTGCTGCTGTTGCTGCTTCTCTTGGCTGGCTGCTGTTCACTCGGAGCGTTGGAAGTGAACTGAAAATACTGCCTGCGCGACAGCGGCTTTTTCTTTGCTTTGTCAGTGAAACGTACAGACAGAGCAGCGGCAGAGCGGTTGGCGCTCCAATGGGGCCATTTACAGTGGGACTCTTTCGTTGGGGCCTCTGCTGACGTCGGCGTCTACGTAGTCGCCGCTGCTAGTGCCGCCACTGTCGTCGTGGTTGTGCTGTTGTTCGTGGGATGCGAAATTCCAATTCTTGCGCCGTTTATTTTATTTTTATGCTGTACCTTATTTTTTGTCCGCTTTTCGATGTTATTACGGTGCTGTGTGATTGCTTCTCTCCATCTCTCCTTCTCTGTTTCTCTGAAGGCTAGGATCGGGACCGATGCTTTGGATACCCTTGCAGAACGATCGTTCCTATAATACTAAAGTGTTTTAAACTGGGGTTGTCCTTTTTATCGAGGGGATCCATAGGTGGGGTCTGAATATCGTTTACAGGAAAATATATACATTTTACTACTTCACAATTAAACCCACATGCACTGAAACAATTAAAGTTTAATAATCATTATAAAATATGTATAACAGGCAGACAAATTATATGGAGAAACGGGTCCAACGCTCCACCAGACTGGGTCGAGCCGAGGCCCGCATGCGCTCGTCGAAGATGGGACAGAACTTCTCGGGGAACTTCTGCTGCAGGCATTTTATAACCGTGCCAGTGAGGTAGTAGCGCGGCGGCCAGCGGCACTCGCAGGGTGGAATACAGGCTGTGCATATCTTCTCCATGGCGATCCATTTGCTCCTGGTCAGCGTCAGCTGTGGGGTTAGGACGTTCAGGCGCCATGGCAGACGCAAGTCCCGCTCTGTCCAGTCACAGTCGCAGGGCGGAATGCAGATCTTGCACATTACATCCTCTGGGTGTACATCCGGTGGCTCCGTAGGAGGGGCCTTCTTGCACTTATACATGTTGAAGCGCGGTATCATTCCAATCAGCTCGGTATAGTTGTGCTCCCGTTCGCGGCGCAGCCAGAGGTCCAGCAGATCCCAGTGGTCCAGGTTCTGGGAACGCTCGCGTATCAGCTGCATGCGGCGATACAGGTCCGAGCGACGCACTTCATCGTAGTTTACTCCTGTCTGGGTGTGGAACAGAAGGTAAAGCTCATTTGGCTTCTCGTCGGGCAGGGTGATGTTGAGCGAGAATTTGGCCAGCTCGAAGTGGAACAGCATCCGAATGCCATAGGAAATGTGACGGATGTGATCAAAGTCCTTGATGTTCATGGCCGACAGCGCGGAGGCATCCACCAGCAGCAGTTTTCGCCCCGTGATCATGTTAACGCGAAAAGTGTTCTAGAATATGCAGACAATGGTTCAACCAATCAGATCAGATCGGTTGGCTTGTCCCGTGACCTACCATATATTCTGGATAACCATATCTGTTGATCCAACGCCTTATATCCATCTCATCCCACTCATAGATCGAGGAAATCGGTAGCTTATCCACCACATTGACGCACAGTTCTAGGAGGGAAGCCGGCGAGGCACGGAACTGAATCGGTACATCGTCGAGGTCGACCTTCGGGCGACCCTTGAGGAACTCGTTGCGTCGAAACTTGATGGGGGGCACACCGGTGCGGACCTTCTTCTTGAGTTTTTTCACCAGAAACTTGGTGTCTGCAATCCCGTACAGATATGGCATCTTTTTTCAGCCCTAAATTTAGTTTACTTTTCGATATATGTATAAAAAGAGCAGAATAAGAAAAGTATCAACGGAAAAATATAGATTACTAAGATCCGATTACTGTGAGTAAGCTATTCCCCATTTTATCTAGAATGCAAGGCCCTTCCTCCTCATTAGAGATCATCGTGCAGAGGGTTTTAGCCATTTTCAATTGTCTACCCAGTGCTCTACTGGTATCTCTACTGGTGGCGGTCCTGGAAGGGCTCATGTTTCCATCTCATTTCTTCATTATGCTTTGAGCGCTACTTCGTTAACAATCTGGCAGAATCTGGCAAGATCTAAACGGAACCAGAACCAGGTAGATGCCAGGCCGACTTAGATCAGAGTCGTCCCTCCCGTGTGCGGTTAAAACATCTGTCTGTCAATCAGCACATGGCAAAAGTGATTTATTATTGGTAATACACAATAGATCGGTTGTCCCAGCTCATAACTGTCCGGAGACGGTCAGGTACGTTACGTTACGGTCTCCGGCTGCTGGCCATGTGCTAATGTTGTGTCGTGATTATCAAAACATTGTCAAGAGCAACGCCATCGGTACATAATACTTACGAGTACATATTTTTGTACATTTATGTATATATGTAACTACATCTGTAATACAGATATATACAGATTCTGTATATACAAATATCTCAATGCGAATATTTTGGGTTTTTTTTTTTTGCTTTTATGAAACCCCGCGAAATTAAATCGCTTTGGGGCAACTGACTGGAACTGACTCATCCGTACAACAGCTCACGTGACAGCCATATTGGAGGTGATTTTTATTTAAACACGTTTTCATGGTTTTTTTTGGTTGTTCATTATTTATTTTTTTCGGCAATTAAGCAAAACCCAATAAACCTCATCAGCTTCATTTAGGCGAACGCTTACCTTCATTAGCATATGCCCGTTAATTTTTTATTTACATGTGTTTCTTTTTTGCAACAGTTTTTCGCCGTAAGCTGCGATGACACTTCCCCCAATCTATTTTTTTCGATTCTTCAATTAATTGTGTTTGCGTTTGTTTTTATTGCGATATATTTCGATTCGGAACTAAACACTTGACACATTGTCTTCAGAAGATGGCGTTGGATTTGGCTGGGCGGATCTGGTGACACGAAAGGCGTGGCTTTTTCTCAGAATTACAATAATATAACTAACAATAAAGCAATAGTCTTATGTGGATGATTTTGGGACATTCGGGAGGCATATCTGATACTCACATTATCCCTAAACTGGAATTATTCAACAGAAGATCTTGCAAGTGCAACAAACAGCGTAACAAGAACCGCAGCAAGACAACTTCGACACCATCTTTGAAGTGATTTCACTTTCGTTGAAAAGGCTTTGAGACGCCACCATGAAAACTGAAAATGATATGACCATGTAAGGGCAGATGGCTGGCTACCAGCGGAAGATAGCCCCACAATGGTGGCAACAATAAATTAATGTTCTATTTTTGTAGCTAACTTGAATTACATGCTACAATCAGCACCAGCCGGACCAGAAATATAGGCTGTCCCAATGGTCAAGCCACAAGTTAGACCTAAAATAGAAGACGTGGCTGTCTGCTTGTCCTGCCTGTCCGTGGGCAGCTAGACCAACATGCGTTGGTACGGGGTACAGGTACATGAAAATTAATAATGCAAATAAATTGTTAACTTTAAACGCACAAATTCCAGTCTGCTTACGGCTCTCCCTCAGTGTGGTGTTTGCGTGAGAGAGTCTGCAGCGGATGTGGCAGCGACGCGACAGCGACCACTTGAGGTCAGTTCGATCACGATTCCACATTTTCTGGACCAAGGTGTTTTGACGTAAGGTGGAGAGAAATTTCTCATTTTATACCTAGCACTCAAAGATGCACAGTTGTACATATGTCGGAAAGCGTTTTCCGACCCTTTAAAGTCTATGTATATCCGAGATAATTTAATTATGTCTGTCATATACAACATTTATAATATAATGATAATGGACAACCAGAGATCGCGAAAGCGTCACCTTGTACAGACACACATTGGTCTGGGCCATAGCCAGCGCAGCGACATGGCAGAGTAGCGACCGCGCAGCCTCCAGCAAGATCACGAAGACGAGCCTCCTCTTCTTCGGGCTGTCTAGTGGCGGGTGCATAAGTGTGCTCTGTTCGTGAGTGTGTAAGTGTACATTTCTCGGATACACTTGAAGAAAATACTGGACGGGCTTAATTAATGTTATGCCTAGATCAGCCCACTTTTTGCACTATCGTCGAGGGGAGGCGATGGGAATAGGACGCTATGGGGCGAGACTATTATTTGGAATTCGAGCTGGTGCGCCTGATTACATGCCTGGAACATTTTAATTGATGATCCAAACGCAAGGCCCTAGTTTACAGCTTCGTTTGGTGTTTTTTCTCGCTTTTCTACGTACCTCTTTCGCCTGGGTTGTTGTCTAGGCTGATTATTGCTTTGGCTTGTTGTTCGTGTATCTTTTTTGCTCGCTTTGAAAGCTGGTTTCAAAGTCCTGGAATGGTGGAATGATTTATTTGAGATAGTTATCATAAAGAGCATTAACATTAAAGGACAGTACATTTTTAACAAAAGATACTTTATACATTTCATATTATTTTCTAGATACCGAAACTGGAATGATATTTTTTCGAACCATCAGATGATTGTCTCACTGGGACTTCACCTTATCAATGAAGCGCGCAGTTTTCTCTTCTTCTTTTTCTTCTGCCAGACGTAATAACAAAGACTGTTTTTAGAAAAGCAAACACACAATTTGAAAAATTGTTAATTGCATTTTTAATATACCTAATATATTCGTACATACATATATGTATGTACCTGCTATCTACAGTTGAGCTTCGAATATGCGAACTTCCGAATGACAATATAGCTACAGCTTAGAAGAAGAAGATTGCGCTAGAAGATTGTTTTGGAACAAAAAAATTATATACCCAAGGGAAGCTATTATTCCGGCTTGCACTCAGACCTATCTTACAGGTTTTGATAATCAGGATCAAGTTCACACAGCATCATATCGAGAGAATAACAAATTTAAATTATCTGGTATATATGTATGTGTGTATATTTTCTAGAATATATAATATGTACATACATATGTGCATATGTGGGGATAATAGAATATATTCTGTTCTAGAATTTATAATATGTACATACATATGTGCATATGTGGGCATGCTTTGAGTTTTAAATTTTTCAAAATTAGCCATTTTCAACTTCTATCCCCGACGTAATTCGATTTTTTATTAGTTTGTGTGTGCTCTTCCTTTTTAGCTTTTTTGCGTCATCAGCATCTGGTAGAAAAACAGCCGCAGCCGAGCCCCCTTATGATGGGGTCTATGTGTGGATCTCTAAATTGTAACATATACACACGTACATCCCCACAGATGTCCACAAATACATATAGTATGTAGGCGTGTATACGCGTGTATAGAAATTTCAACGGATGCTAATAGATTATGCTGGCGAGTCTTTTCTTCGCTTTGCGTCTGTTGCCAACGGCAAAGTGATGCGTTCAATAAAAACAAATATTATTTTCCAAATACAAGCACCGCAAATAAACAAATTGAAGTATTATTGAAGTGCTGATACAGCAGAGAGTTCAATTTTGATTGACAGCTACAGCCAGAACAGTGAATGCAAATCCGATGAACTGAAATTGAATGGAATCTGAATCAAGTATCAATGGATCGATGTGCATTCTATTTTGTCATCGATCTAATTATTTAGACTTTCTTTGAAACCAACCCCTCACTGCAGTACACACTAAAAGAAAACTACACACACTCGAACACATTACATATGCATATAAAACTGCTGTCAACTGGATGCTGACGTCACACTTGGGCTATTTTTCTAAAGTCCAACTTACGAACGCATCTATCACGATCGTTGCTGCTGAAACTGATTGATGCGCCACTTCCTATAGCCCACAAACTGGAAATACATTGCGGGATAAGGCAAAGTTTTGCAGCGCGCATGGAAATTTTACTCCGCTCCGTAATAAATTGATAAAAGATTTGTCCAAGCAGGGAATCTTCCAATTAAATGGGGTAAAACTGCGCACAAAGTGAGTTCAATTGCCGGGTTAGCTTATGTGGGCGTGGCACGTGTAGTCATTGTGTATGACATTTGCATTAATCTTAATTGATTAATAACGATTCAAGATCAAAGCCATTAAGCATGCTACATGGCCGTAAAATGTAAAAATAAAAAATTTTATGTTTCAAGGAACATTCCCCCGAAAAAGGAGCATAAAGTCCATATGCCGCGTCATGTGGGTACGAAGATGTAACTTTGAAACACAGACAAGAAGTTAGTATTCCGATTAGATTATTCTGTTAAGCATGTGATCTTAGATCAAAATCATAATTTGAAAAAGCAAACGCAATTTAATTTGTTTCGAGGTGTGCTTATAGTCGAGCCACTCATCTAAAATAAATATATTTTATATTTCCCTGGAGTTTTCAAACTCAATTAGCGATTCCAAACATTAAATATCGATTAATATCAACCAGAAAATACGAACCAAAGAAATTTAATTATCGAAGGAACACTGGCGTTTCAACGTGTGGCAGTATTATTGTCCTTATCTTTGTTTTCCTCGTCACAGTTTTCGTTAGTGTCCTGATTCTGCTTGATAGTTTTGCTCGCCTCACGATCCCGCTGGGATTTCTCCCAGGCCAGCTCGAATGGATACTCGAGAGGCTTCAGTTCATCCGGACACTCCTGCTGATTGGGTGCAGTGGCCTCGTTGATGGAGGCGCCCCTTGTATGAATCCTCTCCAGCATGGCAGCATTGTGGGTCTCGGCATTGAGATTAGTGATATATTCGAACAGCTGCTCCTTGCTGTAGATGTTCGGCAGTCCGCGTCTCTCGAAGAAGTTCACAATGTTGCCGCAGTCCCGCATGAGGAACTCCAGGGCACTGGGATGCTTCGGCTCTACACTCTGGGCCACGTCGATGAACCAGCACTTGCCTTCGAACCAGAGAATGTTGTACTCGCTAAGATCGGCATGGACCAGCTTTGCCTCATTATATAACTTGTGCATGGCCGCCACAATTTCCTCGTAGGCGCAGCTCAGCTCTGAAGAGCTCAGACGGGCATCCTTTAGCTTGGGCGCCGCATTGTGATTGTCGCCGATGAAGCGCATGACCAGAACATGCTTTTTCAGGACCACCACGTCTGGCACGTTAAGGCCAATGTTCTGCATGCGCATTAGATTGTGCATCTCCTTCTCCGCCCACATGCTTATGATAACGCGGTGATTTTGCTTGCTCAATCGATCCTTGAAGCGATAATCGTCCTTGATGTACCGATCCCTCTGCTTGAACTCATTCAGTGTCGTCTTAAAGATCTTGATGGCGCACTCCTTCGGCAGGAGGTTAGGCGGCATAAGCACACCGCTTTGATGACCATGCTCATTGCTTCCCGTGTAGCTGGAATCGGAGTTAGCGTGAAGAATCACGGCCTCCTTGCCCGTGGAGATGATGCCGTTGATCTGTTCGAGGACTTGATTATTGATCAGCTTGTAAAGGAGTAGGCGAGTGCTGGCATCCAGGCCCATTTCGGCGGTGGCCACTTTCTCGTGTCGATCGGAACGGCCGCGACGGGAGTAGGCCTTCAATTGATTGAACACCTGTAAGTGGTTTAATTTGGGTTGTGTTAGCAAATGCTGATTAAACATGGTATCAGATTGTGGCCCACCTTGTTAGAAAGCTTCATGTCGAAGCCAGCTCCATCGCCAGTGGGAAACTCTGGGGGAAACGACATCACGCGCTGTGCATTGCGAACAGCGCACAGCTGCGGATCATGCTTGGTGATCATTTCGCCCTCCTTGCTCATTTTGAAGCCACACCTCGGTATGGACTCCAGCCTCTTTTCGTTGGTTTCGAAACGGTCCCAGTCGTGCCTTAGACGCTCCAGTTCGTCCTCCTCGTAGTCATCCTCCTCGGTGTCGTGCAGGAACTCTACCTCGCCGCTGCGTCGGAACTTTTCCAGCGTTACAGTCACTTTGGACTGCTTGTTCTGCTTCTGCTCGATGCGACGCAGCTGCTCATTGTACTCGTGATCAAATTCTGACTGCAGCATTTGGGCAATGACTGCATCTGAGTCGCTGCCAGCACCGCTGGCGTCTTCCTCAAGTAGTGCCAGCACCTCTGGTGGCAAATCGGCATCCGCGCACTCCTTCAGGAGAGCAGAGTAATCCTCCCAATCTTCCGTTTCGCTGTTGGTCTTTGCTGATATTGCGGCCACATCGGAGTAGCTGGCAGCACCCGGTGAGGCTGCTTCTCCGCCCCAGATGGAGGAGACCTCCTGCTCGGTTCTCTTTTGGGTTTGCTGATGCCGCTTTACCTCCTTGTTGTGCAGGCGATGGGCATACTGCTCCGACATGATATCAGCTAGACTCGCGGTCTGCATTGGCTCCTGGGTCTTGATCCATGGCGACGACATTCTGGCAATAAATCAATACAGAGATATGTCTCATTATTTGGTTCTGCCCAACAAACCTTTTGGCACTTTTGGCGTGGGGGAACGGCTCCTGATAAATTTTTAAGTTTGTCTCGGGTGTTGCGCTACAACAAACGATTCTTTTAGCTGGCAGCCAGCAAGTCTCCAGGCAATCGCTTCCTGATTGAAAACTGTTGATATTTATACCGCAGTAAAGGTGGAATTCACCTGGCGAGGCGAAGGAGGATTACAACTTAGTTGCAATTCTTTTCTTTTTATTGCATTAATTTTTCTTACAAATGTTGTGAAATTGCTCGAACTGGGGATGGAAAAGCCCGGTAACGATATTTTTGTGGCTAATTTTTATAATTTTACTTAGTAATTTATCAGTATTAATGGCCTAACCTAACGTTAAATTGTCTTACAAAAATTTAACTGACAAATTTTAAGGTTCAATTTAGTAATATTTTCAATAAATAAAGTGAATTTACAAAATTATTGAAATATCGATAGGTCTCCGCTCTGCGTTTTACAGCACTGAATTCGAATAGAATGTCAGTGCAAAACGAATGTGCAAAAGTATCGATGCCTGCCGATACTTTTTGTTGTACTTGTACATTTTTCGCCAAAAATAATAATAAAAGTGAAAAATTTTTTTGTTAATATATTTTTGTTGTACAAAGGAGAAATGTTATTAAATTAGTCGGCCTCCTTTTTCGCCAGCAGTAACGGCCGCATAGAAACCCCGAGTGCAATAAATACGTGCTAACGCTGGTAAGAAAGATGGAACAAAAACGAGACCGAAAAAAATCAAAATAGAATTCCGAATTTAGAATATGACAGACCAAAAAAATTTCTGCTCGAGCGCATTGCCTCTGCCGCCTCCGCTGCCGTTGCCGTCCGTGTGGGGGGACTTGGGGGTCAAACTTGAGAGGGAAAAGAAACGAGATCGGGGCGACAGAAACAGAAGCAGCGAACCAGTGACACGGTAGAAGCGGCGGCAACTGATTTCCGATTTCGTCTTGGGGTTTTGCGCGCAATGGATTCTCGTGGAGATCTGTGCTTATTTGTGCTTAATTCTTACTTACTTAATTCCTTCAGCACCTCTCGCCAGCCAGCACCCACAGCACACACATACGAACGTTGTTAAAGAATACTGGTGTAATTATTATTTCTCTTCTTTTCGTGGACAGAGGTGCCTCTTCATCATCATACACTAACCGCCAATCCGCAATCGCTACCGCTATTCCGCCTTCCGCCACTAAAACGCCACATTCGCCATAAAACATACCAACTTACGCTTGGGGCTTTGGGATCAGACTACCGAGTGATAGAGTGAAATGATAAAGTCTACCACCAACATACAGGAACAGCGTCTGCCACGTCCCGAGGACCAGCCACAGCAGGTGCACCCGCCGCAGCCGCCGCCCCCACCGCCGCCGACGCATCAAGTGACCGCCGTGATAGCCAACATGGACACACTAAAGACCGCCTTTCTGCCAAATCTCAGCATGGACCCCAATGTGCATGTCAGTCCGCACTACTGTCCCATGTGCCACCAGCAGTTCGAGCGGACCCAGCACGTTACAGAGCACATGCAGCTGTGTCACGGCATAACGCTGAACGCTCAGGGAGCCATCACATCGCTGGAGGCAGCCCAACAGCAGCACCAGCAACAACAGCAGCAGCATCAGCAGCAGCTGAAGCCCAACTATTCGTGCGTTAACTGTGATGAGAAGTTTGGAAGCGCCGTGGATTTGGACGAGCACCAGCGAATGACGCACCAGGCGACAGCCTTCCTGGCGCGTTGTCTCGTATGCAGCATTTACGGCGTGCATTCGGCCACGCCGAATCCCAACGAATACAAGTGCACGCAGTGCGGGTCCGTCTGCACGACGTCCATGCTGGCGGCGGGCCAGCAGGCGTTCATGGAGCAGCAGGAGGCACCCGTGACACCCGACGAGCTGCCCGCCATCGCACCGCGTGATATGAGACTGACGCCAGAAGAGCAACATCACCAGCAGCAGCAGCAGCTGCAGCAGGAGCACCATCATCAGCAGCAGGAACTGCTGGAGCAACAGCAGCGGGAACTGCAGGAGCATCAGCAGCAACAGCATCACCAGGACGATCTTTCTGGCGACCAGGTGGCCCTTAAAGTGCCGCCGCTCACCGTCAAGCTGAACAAGAATTCGAATGGGGGCTCCGTCGCCCATCCCCAGGTCATCATTAAGGAAGAGCCGCTCAGTCTGAGCGACAGTGGCGATGTGGTTAACGCTGTCCCCGTCTATGCCATACAAGCGAATCCCGGCGTGCAGGTACCGGCCTCTGGGGCCACTAACAGTGTTCTGGTCAGCACGCGGATCGTGACCGCGGATCAGGCACACAAGATCCGGCATAAATGTCCGGACTGTCCGAAGACATTTAAGACGCTGGGAACACTGGCCATGCACCGCAAGATCCACACAGGCGAAGCAGAGTAAATTCCATTTATATACGTTCTATGTGAAAGTATGTTCCCGCCGAACAGTGTGACCAGCTCTTAAAAGTGTAGCCATTCGGTCACACTTTTCTGTGGGAAAGCCCGTTATTAGTTTAGGGGCAGCCCTGGTTGCAGCACCCAAATGGAACCATACAATTCGATTTGAATCGCTATGTGCTTTGGTTCCGTTCGGGTCTGACTAGAGACTCCCCCATCTAACCGTTATATTTTTACCATATTGTATATGATTTTTTGTTTCCTTCGGACCAGCTGAGCGCATGGGCGCGCGCCCCTTAAGCGCCTTGGGGCGTGAGCCATGCGCTCGTGTGTGATGTTTGTTTTGCAACTTATTTTTACATCGACTGTTACTAATAATATAATTCTGATTTTTCTTTCTTTTCTCCCGCGCCCTCTCTATTTATTTCTTTATATCTCTCTCTCTCTTTCTATTTTTCTGTGCGTTCCGTTTCTTCCTGTTATTTCGAAAAAAAAAACAAAAAAAACTGTATATCTATGCCAATTCTTAACTCCATTCTCCACGCCCCGCAACCTCGACAGCGCCACGCCCAAAGAACGCCCCTACACGTGCTCCTACTGCGGCAAGTCCTTCACTCAATCGAATACACTAAAACAGCACACTCGCATACATACAGGTGAGAAACCATTTAGATGTGGCTATTGTGGCAGGGCGTTCACTGTTAAGGATTACCTGAACAAACATTTAACGACTCACACGGGTGAGAAGCAATATTTTTCAAATCAAATCAGTCAGTCAATCAGCTATCAACTCAACCAATCAATCGACCAATCAATCAGTCAATCAGAAATAAATCACTTCAATAAGCAATACTCAACAAAAAGAGAAACCTCTGTATGCAAGTCCATTCTCATTTGCCATTAATCTCTTACTCTTATTCTTACTCTCTCCTAATCTCAGTCTCTGGCTCCCTCCTTCTCTCACCGCTGCGCAGGCTGTCAAAGCTCGCTCTGCGAAAACGTAACCAGAAGAACATGGCAAAGAGAGAAAAGCACGCAGCACAAAGCACAGCTACGATGATCAGTGCCAAAAGCTTTTGCCATACTCTTCGTTGAGCAGCCAAAAAAAAACATCACGTTTCGGCAAGCCGAACTTTACATATCCTCACAGAAAACATTAGCGATCACTCAGCAGTATTTGATGCTATTTCTGCTAGGGTATAAATGACATTGTGATAATCCAAATCCGTATCGCCCGCCGCCTCATCTCATTACGTAATAATATGTCTCGTATGCATTTTAACACCACCAAACCACAGCCAATTATATACACACACATCTTTATATATATATGTATATATATATCTATAAAATATCATCTATACATAGTTTGATTAAAACGTGCAAGCCCTTTTGATATGCATATCTCTACTGTACCTACACACACATAAATCAGACAATCAAAAAAAGTTGTTGGTACTGCACGCACCATGACACATATTGGCGTTGCAAACGATATGTGCTAACCAAGTGTCCCAACCTTCCTTTCGCCTTCGTTGTTACAGGTGAGAAACCGTTTCATTGCGGCTACTGTGAGAAGTCCTTCAGCGTGAAAGACTATCTCACCAAGCACATACGGACGCACACCGGCGAGAAGCCGTACACATGTCCATATTGCGACAAGCGCTTTACACAGCGGAGCGCTCTCACCGTGCACACGACCAAGCTGCACCCGCTCTAGGGCAGGCCTGGCGGAGGCCGTCAGCCCGCTGTTGCTGCCGACCCCGAGAAGCCGTCGTAGAGGAGCCACCACTCCGTTTGGAGGGTGTGGCGATCAGTGGCAGTGGCAATACAAGGAGCAGTAGCGATAAGCAGGAGCAACAAACTAGAATGAAAGACCTTTTCAAAGACGACACACATACAAGAAGTTAACTGAAGCGGAGCAACGCAACCATCGACTAGCAAATCTCCTCGGAAGGGATGCTAGATACTAAATTACTATATTAGATTTTCGTTTTCAAACAAATCAAAATTTTACTAAACTAGCGTACAGTTCTAGAATTTTTAAGTTAATGCAATTGGTTTTTGATTCAATTTGGTTATGTAGATGTTTGCAATTTTATTTTTTATATACTATATGATTATCGTATATTATATTTTGTTATTCTATGAGATTTTATATGGTGACTACTTAGCGCGCACTCACACAACCACGCGCCGCTATATATATATATATACAGAAACACACACACACACATATATATATATTATTTATGCGTATATATAAAGAGAGACAACTATTTTTTATTCGTATACTTTGTGGCAATATTAATTTTATCTCAAACTTGTTTGTAAAACGTTTTAAAAAAAACAAAGAAGGGAACTCTCAAGTCTACGCGCAAACTTAAATTATTGTTAAAATTATACATTTATGTATTCGAACTCAATCAACACTAAATTATTTATTTTTCATAAAAAAACACTATTCGAAATTTTTACTTAACCCATGAAAAACAAAACAAAAAAACACTCAAGAAACCAAACCATTTTTTAAATATTTGCATACGAGCAGGATCTCGTTTGTTTTGGCTTTAAAAACATTATTTACTTTTAATCTGTTTAGCTTGTTTTATTCAAGAAATGTTAAACATTGTTTATTTTTAAAATTATTTAAGTTAAAAGCGTCGCTTTTGTTCGTTACACTAAACAGTGAGATTGTATAAAACTAAACCTAAAACTATACCTAAAAAGAGAACAAAACAAACAACTAAGCAATTAATTTTACAAAATTTTGCATTTTTTAACGCAAGTCGAAAAGTAGTTAAGAGCAAATTGAAAATCTAAAAATCTACGCTAAACGCAACACAGCTTTATGCGCCAAACTAGAACATTTAACAGATTAAACATAAACTAATCTATAAATCTATACAATTGATAATTTTTATAAACAAGCTTTAATTTGTTTTCTTAACATATATACTTATGTATGGATGTACTTTATCCAAAAGAGAATCAAAATTCATCATTTTTACTACTACTTAAAAGCGACTTTATAACAAAAAACTATTCTTGGCCGAGTTGTACGTACTAAACAAACAAAAACTGTAGCAAAACCAAACCCATGTACATTTTTATAACATAGTGTTATATAATTATATAAAATATATATACAAATATATACATACATATAAGTCTGTGTGTAATATTACTGCATAATACACTCAAACAAATTGTCTACCTTAAATGGCACATAGCACAGCAACAACCGATGCGCAGCGCATGTAAAACCAAAATAATTTGTAAGAACTAAAAAATTGTACTTTTTTAAGTTTTAAATAAACCGAGATGACTTGACGATCAAAACAACACACAAACAGAAACGAAGGACAGCTTATCTAACCGCAAAACTAAGCAAATTAATTAACTAAGCTCTTAGTGAATATGTGACTGTATGAGAATGAATGATAATTGCATAACGAACTAATCATGTTGATAACGATACGTACTAAATACCGATTAACTATTAGATCTTAGCTACGAAACCAATAACGAAGCCAGACAACACGCACACGACAGTTGAAAAGTGAGTAAATGGAAGGTAAACTGTAATTAAAATGAAATTTATTATATATATATAACTAGATATTATTATTATGTATGTATGTACTTGCAATCTAAATTTACGTGAGCGAACCTATTAAATATTCGAGCAATATTTCAATTATACATACAAGATGAACTATGTATATATACAAAATAAAGTCCAACAATGTAGAAAGATTATATACGAAAAGAAAGCGCTTTCAAAAGAAGTTTGATTTCACTGAGACTGGATAGGATACGCTCAGAGGTTCTATTATAAAGTCGTTTTCAGGAATTACTTTCGGGATCCCAGGTAAAGGATGTCACAAACAGCACAGCTCAGCGTTTCCTTTTCGGGGGCACATCCTATATTTATTGTCATCTGTAAACTGCAATCAATCCCCAAATAACCCCAAACACCACATTATTAGATCATTTAGTTTAGTTTATTTAGTTTGTTTGTTGGTTTTTTCTGTTTTAATTACAATGAAAGAAAATTATGAACACTATCACACTTCCAAAATGTTTTCGGTTTTTCAAATTTTTTTTGGGTATTTTTTGATTTTTTTCTGAGTTGTAGTTTTGTTTGCGCTGGGCAACTAATTTAGTATGCCTCTCCTCGGTTTTGGTTTTTATTGTAATGCTGATTACATCATATATGTATATATATTTATATATAATATAAGTAGTTATATATTTATGTATATGTCATTTATATTTTTTACACACACACGTTTGATCAAACGCAATCAAAGAGTTGGCTTATGTTTTTCATCAATTTATTTCATGTTGGGGTTTTCTATAATTTGTTTTAAATGCTCAATTTTTTGTATGCATGTTGAATGTTTACCTAATTTAACCATTTGCCATGTTTTACTCGCTATATGTATGTATATATTCTTTATATATGTGTATATAGATATAGGTTCATATACCCCATATAAATGCCCATAACTGTACTATATGTTTTCTATGGACTTGTTCACCCCAAGACATTCTAACGAGCGTATTCAAAAATGTATTGCGTACATTTGAAATGTATTCACATTTGGTTTATATCCTTTTTTTCAAAGCTCCTACTGCCTTCGAAAACAATGGATATTAAATATTCCATGAGAGTGGATATAAAATTTGGGAAATCAACTGCAAATGGGAATTATACTTGAGACAGAATTTGTTCGGATAGTTACGATGCAAAAATGTACTTAAGCATCTATTAAGCATTACCCACTTCTTTCCGGATCTTTTCGATTTTTTTCTAAAACTGCCATACAAAGTTAACAAATACATATATGTATATGTATGTTTCGGCCTCTCTTAAGTATGGCACGCTTCTCTTTCGTACATTGCTGCACTTAGTATTTACAAAAAGTTTACCCCGTTTGGCTTTGGATGGGAAATGTTGGAATTACAAGAATACAATATATAATACAAATATATATTAGTAGGTAATTAGTATGATGTAAAGTGTACGATAGTTATGAGGGGATTTCATTTCTAGATTTTAATGCCTATAAGCTCAAATTTACAACTGATTATTCACTGTTTTTTAAAAATTACTTTCGCTGTGCTCTCTTTCTAATATTCCCTATCATTTAAAGAGAGATGGTTTGGTTAGGATATTTTACGAGTATAGTGTTCATTCTGTCGGATTCAAAATAAGTGGAAAATGCATCGAGTATTAGTAACTGTTGAGGAACTTAGATGTAAACTCAAAAGTGTGTAGTAGGAATGGGTTTATCAATAATTAGTTTCATTTCGATTTTTTGTTTGGTTTTAAAAGCAGTTTTATCGTTTACCTACACAGGTGGGCTCTGTTTAATCGCTCTATTTCGTACAACTTTGTTCGAAATCAAATTGAGAGAAATTAACAACGTAAAATCATCTAAAAGTGTATTTATATTGTAAAAAACACATCTGTTCTTTCTTTTCCTTTCTCTTCCCATTTCTCTTCTCAATACTTATTTTATTTGGTAAATGTTCGATATATGGGCCTATGCTACAAAAAAACAACATAAAAACACGTGTATTGAACATTTTTTTTAAATAAAGTAAATTTTTTATTGTTTGGCTGTTTGTGTTTGCCTTTGTTCATGTTTGCTTTTTGTTGGTTTTGTTTTTTTTTTCATTTCGAAATTAAAGTAATCCTTTTATTGTTTGTGTTGTGGCGCTATATATTACCCATACTGCATCCTAATACTCCCATACATATACATACATATAGATATCTACACATACAAACATGTACTATCGTATCCTTTAATACTTATATACAAATCCTTCTTGTCGCTGGAGTATCGTTGAGGAGTAGTTCCTTCTCCCACAATCGTGGGTTCCTTACTTCGAGTGAGAGACAATAGACTGCGAGACCATCGAATGGGAGAGCATTGAATGCGACACGCCCGATATTTCCGCATAGGTATCCGTCGGCCCCTCGGCACTGCATACAGAGTCCTCAGGTGTACGGGATGGTTCCGCTTCGGTGATCTCAATGTCCTGATGATGTTTGTTGCTGCGGTGTTTGGCACTTAGAGCCTGCGGAATAACGATCTCTTAGTACGTTCTTTTAAGTCAATGCAACCAAGTAATTCTAGTTTTTTTTCGTGTGCATTCATTCTGGTTAGACATATGAAGTGCTATCTATGGACGGACACATGCACATAGAGCGGGGTACCGTAGGGGCATGACTGGGGTCTAGTTGAATAGACAAACGTGCGGCGGATATTTCTCAAATTTTGTTTGAGGTTAGTTTAGGTACAGTCACAACACACATATTTTGTTAGGTTAGGTTTACTTTAGAAAGAGGCTGACATTCTTACCTTATCCTTGCTGCCCTTTTTCTACATTGAACATTTTTGGTATTGGTTTTTAGTTGGTGATAGTGGTGGGATTCGAATATACGAGTATTGTACATAGTCATGACAAGAACAATGATATATGTATATATATATATGTATTAATACAAGTCACATATAAGGGGGATCAGTTGAGAAATATAGAGTCAGAGAGAGACAGAAAGTAATAGTCAGAGGGCGAGAGAGATAGAGAAAGAGAGGGAGAGAAAGATCTAGGGATAGCTTGGTTTCAGGTTTATCGGTTTCAGTTGGAAAAGTATTCAGAAACAATTGGTATCACCAATCTGAGTTCCCCTGACTACCACGGTCCTCCATTTTGGTGTTCTCATGTACAGTGAGGTCGATGACTACGACTACACTGTGGTGGACAGGTGACAGCTGACGTGACCTCTGAGTCGGACTCACCTGCAATGAGAAGCGACGATGACCCGCCTTGCGTCCACCGCGTCGTTTGCTGATGTGCGGATTGTCCTGTCTCAAGGTCTTGTTCTTCATTATCTCAAGTTGTGTGTACAGTCTAGAAGCAGCAAGTCATTGGGAATAAGAACAGACACATAAAAGGGAAGTTCGATTGATAAAAACTACCTTTTGAGTTCAGCACGTATATCTTCGGGGCTCATTTCGGATATGGTCAGCTCACCGATGTCGGGGTCACCCAGGCAAAGGCCCGCATAGCCTCCGCCCAAACGCTGGCCGGCATCGTGTGAAGCACCCTTGAAAGCATCCACAGGTAAACGTATTGATAGATCATACGCTAGCGAACGAACCTGCAAGCTATGAAGATGCAACAAACACCGCAAACCACACTCAGGAAGTAAAACGTAAACCGAACTCAAACTGAGAGCAAGTACACAAGTATAGAAAGAAGGGGAAAAAAGAGACTCGAAACTCAAGATCAGATCTGTGCAGGTGACTTTGTGATTGGGTATGCGAATGAGTGCTGGCTAAGCATGTGAATATGAATGAGTATTTGATGGAGTATAGTAGGGTTTTCTACTATCATTGGTAATGTGTTTGTCTGATGTTGGGCTGGAAACGAGATAAACAAAGTTCAAAGGAAATCAAAAACATAATATAAAACTCAACAGAGTTGGACTTTAGCTATAGAAGACTACTTATTAAGACAGAGAGAGTTTCAGGTTGAGAGACAGACACCAAGATAGACAGAGAGAGGCAGAGGTAGAGCAGGTAACAATTACAGTGAGACGAGTGGAAGTAAGTATTCTGGGAACGCTAGTATTTTGTATGTATATGCGTATTGGGGATTTTGAAAGGAAACCGATTTTTGTCATAGTCTTTTAGTTGATTTTTCGTGTTAATACTGGTATTGGTCTTGCGTACAAAAGACATGCAAAACTCAACTAGCCATGCAAAGAAAAGTGTAATGTGGATATACATATCATAAATGGAAAACAAAATAGCGTGCAAATCAAGTTCAAGTGCGAGTCGCATATAACTAAAGTCAACCATTCCGGGGACAAAACGACACACTTGCAGCAACTTCATAGCTTGACTAAAATTTCATCAAAATGTTAGCTTAATACTAAAATTATGTTATTGTTTGTACTCCAAACCAAAGATAACTCCAGAACAACAAACCAAAGAAAGACAATAACCAAACCAAATGAAATAATTTATTGTTTTACCAAAACAAAGCTTTCGTTACGTTTAGTTTTCGCTTTTTAGTTGAACAAAAATCGTTTCCTCAGCAAATTTCAATATGATAACAAATACAACTACCGATGGCAACGATAAATGGCAAAGATGACAAATGCAAAAATCCTGACGGCGACGGACAAAGCACAAAGCGCACAAATGGGGAGAGGGAGAGAGCGACTAAAGTTGGACTTGAAGGCCACTTACTGCCTACGCTCCTTGTTTGAATCCAAAAATTAATCTCAAACTGAAAAGTTTATTTAAATTCAAAATAAAACGTAAACGTAAACAAACGAAAGAGCAACAATCCACTAAAGAGTGTCCGAAACGTTGGGTTACCTGCTTGTGCTGATACCACAGTTTTGGCACAAATATCAGACCCAGGGCAAAGCTGTTTGTCAGCTGGGAGCGCACAAAGAGGGCCAGAAGTATGGCGCTAGGACTCATTTCCGGGAGGTAGACAAAGCGCAGAAAGTAGAAGCTGGAAGAGACGAGGAACTCCAGCGTAAGGGCGGTGACCAGAAATTGTCGTTCCTGCGACGGGCGAGAGGAAATTACTTGTAAATGCATTTGACCCACTTCGAATCCACTTAGGGTCCCCGCATCTCACCCGGAACTGAGTGTTGGCATTGCGACTAGCAATGGAGAGGTGCAGGCCAAAGCACAGGATGAGTATCTCGCTAGTCTGCGTCACCAGCTCCCACTTGAGCGGATGGCAGGTGTTGGTGCTCGCCTCTCGCAGACTCTCCAGCTGGGCGTTCTCTAGCAGGTCCAGCGATGAGGCCGTAAAAGCGGACATGTAGCACACCACAGCGAACACCATAGCTCCCAGATACTTGAGCAGATCCACGTCCCGCAGCACCCAGCGGTGGGCCTTCCGTGTCCTAAAGTCCACCAGATGTCGGTACAGCTTCAGTATGATGGCGCCGTAGCAGGTGATGAATCCCAGTTCCCGCAGCCAGGGCTCCAGCAGGCAACGCTCAGTGGAGGCGGGAAAGAAATGGACGGCAACCTGTAAGGGAATGTGGTTAGTAGGGAAATAGATGAATCAGAATAAAGAAAGGTTCACTCACAGATGCATAGAGTAAAACAATTCCTAGCAGTATCGTCTCCAGCACAGTCCACATGCCGGAGGCAATGGCCTAGAAAGTCAAACATTAGAAAGGAACGCACAAAGAATCCACCAGGAAACGTACCTTGCTCTTTCTCTGTCTGAAGACAATCACACCTAAGACCACACAGCACAGGATACAGGCGCCCAGGACAATGGCCACCAGCAGACGCAGACAGGCATCCATATTGAGGGCTTCCTCCTCATGGAAGTTAAGGCACACTCCGTGCTGATCGCAGTTTGTGCAACCTCCCGGACACGGAATGCACGAGTAATTGTCGTAGCCCTCGGACAACTCCACAATATCGCCTCGGAAGCCCTGCAGCGTAGAGTTTGGCAGATAGAAGGACTCCCGGCAGAGACACGTGTACACATCCCGCGTGGCCGCCGGCTTGTTCTCCGTGAGAAGGCAGAAAGTAGTATTTCGATCACACCTGCAAGGAATTACTCATCTATCATACACATATTTCGAAAAAAACTGTGCTTATAGCTTACCCATGACGACGCCCAAACACCTCCTCCAGGCCATCGTTGCACACATCCTCATCGGCCGCAATAAAGGCAGCTGCCACAATTCTGAAATGAATCAACTTGATGATTGGTTTCTCCTCATTTGGTGGGTATGCAATTCCTTGCAACTCACTTGATTCTATGCTCTGTGAATGATATGCGAAATGGCCACAGCCACCGGCGCGTCAACAGGTTGCAGTCGCGAAAAGGGGCGCCCCACTCCTGGGTACCATCGCTGCTGTTCCAGGCCGCACTAGGAGAGGAACGGGAAAACACATATGCACATAGTTATTGGAATGTATCCAAAAACCGTATGGATGAAAAGGAATAAATATGCAATAGATTTGATTAAACATTTCTAATGTCGAATATTCTGTTAAAAAAGAAACTGCAGTTGTTGGAATGAACAAGTAATCGAGCAAAACAAATTTGTCAGCTATTTACCCAGCGGTTAAATTATTAACATGAATAAATAGTTTAATAACTATAGTTAATAACTAAAGTTAATAACTATAGTTTAATAAATAGCTTATTAAACAATTTTTAATTTTCAAACGTTATTTATTCTTGTAATAGTCATTTATTGTATACAATTGCCTGCAACCTAATTTAAGCTTGTAAATATATCAAGCCGTGTTTGTTTATTCTTCTATAACCATAAGGCACATACTAATTTAAGGAATTCAAGAGTCAACTATTTAGTCTAAAGCGTTTTTTTAAAATAATAGCATTTTTCTTGAGACCCCTTGAATCAAGTTTAAAATCAAATTACCTGAAATTATTTAAGCTTACCCCAATTCACGCCAGTAGGAACCCAAAAACGCCTTATTATGCACCTGATCCGGTGGTATCTGCAACAGACATTGTTAATATTGCCCCATTATGGCTGATTAGCGTATGCATACCGTGATATTATCCCTGAATTTTACGACTACCGTGTGTATGCTCGGCGCGGCTATGGCAAAGGCTAGGAGATTCTCATCGTCGTTTAGGGCGTAGCTGGCGATACTGTTGGCCCGACGGCTCACCTCCGCACGTGTCGACTCGTCGATGGCCATCGGTGTGTTGGCATTTGGGAATTTATTCGATAGAAATTCAATAAACTGGCGAGCGGCATCCTCGGCAATGTCGGTAAAGTCGTAAAACTGCGAACAACAAAATGAGGAAGCTTTTAATTGCTTGGAAATGCTTAGGCAAAACGAAATGTGTATAAATAATTAAAATTTCTCCAGTGGATTCATCTGCATGCCAAAGGCTTGTGTGATTCCTTAACTATCTCCTGCTATTAAAATGTAAAATCAAAATTAAAGCTTTGAATTATTTAGCATTTTAAATTATCTGATTTTTTTGTGTTAAGCTGTCTATAAATTGTGTTGGTAGATTAATTTAACAAAGATTCGAATAATTTGAGTTTATTGGAAATCAGCAACGATTTTATTAGTTAAAACCATCCTGGCTATGGCAGCACTTCCGCAAAATGCTACCTGTTAATGGTGTGAATACGAACAAGAATTACATATACGCAGAGGGAGGACTAGTTTTGATTTTCCTGACGTTGCTCTTTCCCTGACCCCCTAGGCTATTAATTATTCACATGGCGCCCAGGACACGTTCCGCACAGACCAACACCTACCGCATGGAATGCACAAAAAGTTTTGTTCGGGCTGGTAACTAATACGATTTAGGGCCCAAGCTGGGGCTGGGACTGTACAATTGTTTTTATTCCATGTTTGTTCAGATCTTAACTGCCCAAATGTTTGTACATAATTTACATGCTACAACCGGCTCTTGAGATCTTCGCACAGGATACAGTGCGAAAAGGAAAGACAGCGAAATGCAAGGGGAACGGCAAGCCCAACTGGGCTTTGATGACATCATTATGTCTTTTGGAAACAAAAGTAACCACAGCAAAGACGTGCACATAGGGGAGGGGATGGCTCTGTTTTCTGTGAGTGAGTCATGTAGCCTGGATACGGCCACTTTTTGGCTTTTAAAACCGACATATCCCATTAGCAGAGCCACATTGCGTAAACGCTTCAAAAGCCCCATATAAATTAACCACAGGAAACGAAGATAGTATAGAAATATTTTTGGGTACTTGTGTAAATATGTAGATACATAAATACATATGTATCTGATCAAATCAGTGTAAAAGCAATAAGGTCGTGTCTTTTTCTACCGGATGAAAAATACACGACCGGGAGAGCAATCCCCAAATTGTGTGTGTAAGCATAATCGTAAACCGTAAGAAACCTTAAACCGAAGACTATAGAAATATAAGATGCGTAACGCTCATACATTTCAATTGCCATATGCAATGCCATATGCAAGCCAATTTTTCGGCAAGCGACGAAATTCGCGACATCTCGCTCGCACAAATTTGAGAGCGTACGAATCTAAAAATAGAATCCGCTTGCATGTGTGAGTACACACAGAACCAGCAAGTGCGTATGTGTGCGTACTTGTGCTAAGCGGACGATTTTCGAGACGGAAACATTTTTATGAGTTGAGAAACGAAATTATTTACCGGCGTTGAATACGTCGCACGCTGAATACCCTTATGACCATTATTCCAATGTGAAGTCATGTATTGAATATATTATGTATTTTTATATATGTATATGTATATACAATATAAGAGTTTTTTAATATTGGGGTGGTAAGCGTCTTGCAAAATTAACTTACACTTATAAAGTGAAGGGTATATTTCGACAGCGCTGTAAAAAACGTATGCATGTGCACACATACAGTCGTCGCGACGACCCGGCTCGGATGTCGCATCGGCAAAGAACCAACTTATACTGTCTTTGCTTAAACAATAGTAGATATACATCTCGTTTTGCAACATTGTGAAACATAGTGGGTTGTCATGCTACAGATTTAACATAAGTATGTGCGTCTAAGTCTCTAACTACCACTTGGGAATTGACTATGTGTAGTCCCACTACTTTCCCACTTCAATTACCATGAGTGTTCGCCCAAGATAGGACCAGTTAATATTAAGATTTATGCCCAACATAACAAGGCTTTGCTGAAAATGCATATACCCTCCCAAAAGGCACTGGTAGGGTACAGCATAAATTTGTATGGAAAACACTTGTAAATAGCGGTAACCACAAAGCACAGAGCCGAAAGTGTGTGCAATAAAACATGCATACATATGCAAACAAGAACCCCCACATGGACATGGCTACGTGTGTGTGAGTGCAGCTATGCCAAGAGCTGAGACACAGAGCTCCCTCCGCATCCACTTCTGCATCTTCCCTCTCTTCCACTCTCCCGCTCCAGTGACTCTCCATACTCTCCCTTTCGCTCTCTCAGTGCACGTTTTGGCATGTACAAAATTCTTACCTATCACCATACAAATATTTACATGGCAAACGGTGACATAGTAACCAAAGACAATATAACAATAAGATGCATAACGCCATACGAAATTTTTGCACAGATTTTTACGCTTTCTAAATTGGCTTGCATATGGCAATTGAAATGTATGAGCGTTACGCATCTTATTGTTATATGGTCTTTGCAGTAACTGTAGCTGACGCTGTATACACGGCCTCTGTGCTTTTTCTCTTCATCTTCCCCTTCTTTTGCTCTGTGCTTTTGATGCTGTTGTTGCTTTTGTCATTTGCATGTTTTTCCTTTTATTTTCTATGCTTTGTGCTTAATGAATAAAATATGTCCGACACTGTGTTTTTTGTCTCTCTACTTATGCGGGGTACGTAGTCGTTGGGAGTGAAAAGTGTATTGTATTCCTGTAGGTGTATGCAACAGGCAGAACAGAAATTAATCAGACAAAAGTACATAATAGGTAAATAATTATTTGTAATTATGTATTACATCCCTGCGCTTTCCTTTGTTCTTCTTTGGTTGTGGAATTTCTATTGCTCTAATATGTAAGCAAAGGGTACCTTATAGTCGTAATATCTTCGAAAATTTTGTTCTTGTTTCTCTCTTTTGTTTTTTGCACTTTCCTTTGGCACAACTGCTGTTGCCACTCTATTGAAAGCTCACTCTGAAGTGCGATTAGCCAAGGCATTCGCTTACATTCATTTCATTATTCAAAGTGACAGGGCGAATGACATAAGTTGATTGCTACGGAAGTTTGCAGTGTCGTTTTGGGCTTGTTTAACATACACATCGAATTAACATAAATGATTATATTAAGTGTGAATTCATTACAGTTACTTGTTGATTAATGTTTATTACGTTAATGTACAAGCTCTGAATATAAGAATGTACATGGTATTCACTTATTTGCGAAATCTATGAAAACGAACGTACAAAGATTTGTTTTCCCAACAGAGTACAAATATTAACTGCTTTTCCATTTTAAAATCCATTTAATATCAATTTCGCCTGCCGCCTGGGGCATGGGCAGCAGATTTTTGTTTAAAGAACCAGCAAAGTACATTTCCTGTCCAGAGATACAGTCAAGAATATATAAAAACAATTATTAATAACTTTTCTGCTTCAAAGTTTCTAGTGCAAAAAAGAGCAAGCTGAGGCAGACAAGTAGAAAGCTAAAAAACATACATATATGTACACACACACACGAAAAGAGACGACAAGCCAAGACAAGCCAGCAACAGCATTAAGAGCAACAGTAAAGTACTGGCTAAACGTGGCAGCATCTTCTTTGCAGCACAACCATACGGAAATTTATACTTCCTTATAACGTTATGATCTACATTTGATGCATGTACATCTAATAATAATAATTATTATTCCTACAACCTAATTTTTGTCTCGTGCAAAGTATAAAATAACTTTCGCACAGTGTAATGGAACTCGACAACTACACGGCTTGATAAAGCAGTTATTGAGAGGTACATACATAAGTAATCTTTGATATTCAAATAATCTTAAGCAGTCGAAAACCGTATCGACTGACCACCGCTTTACGAAAGCTGAACAGTGAAAATCAGCTGCTGCCTCGTTTAGAAAGTGATTGAAAGCAACAGAAGCAGGATGGCAAAAACAAGAGTAGCACTAACGAGATCCACAATAATGGTTGACAGGCATTCGAGCTGGCATCTGTCAATGGCGCTCATCACCGCTCCTGGTGCTCTTGTTTCATGTGCGTCACATTTATTACTTTTTCCCGCCTGGCCACACTTGAGATTCAAATCGGTCGCATCAGATAGCAGCTCCGAGGATGCTCCATGGCAATTTACAAATTTCGCTAGCCATTTGCTCGTTGTTTGTCTTTTAATTATGGCCGTCCGTCAGTGGCGTCTCCGATTGCGTCAGCGGGAACTTGTCAGGGAATCGATCCGTGCACGTCAGGTATCGAAGAACCTTGTTTACCCGCCCGTGGCCAGCTTGAATATTTAAAGGATTCGCGTAGTTGGCTAAAAATAGCAGTATGCAAAGTAAATTACTGGCTGATGGACTGACTGACTGCTTGATGAGACGTCAGTTCAGCTGTTGGCGGTTTAAAGTCGTCCCATCCCCGTCCTTGGCTGCAATTGTCATGCAAATTCAATTAAAATAGGCTATAGATGGGGCCTGGGGGTCTGGCCCCGTCACTTCATTACCATCTTTTAATTAACTTGTTCAAGAATTGCCGGAAAGAGGGACACGGCAAGTGGTGGGTGGGTTGGTACAGACTGTAGCACATACGACATGCTGTCAGGACATGCCACGACTCTTTCCAAAACCCCGCGGTTTTTGTGTAAACCCTGTAACCACTCCCCTTCTACTTCTCACTGCTTTCTTAGCTACCTTCCTTTTTAAGCTACCAACCAAACTTTCCACAGAAATCTATTTGCGTCAGACTGGCGTGTGCGTAATATTTACGACACTCAACAAAGTAGGCGTCCCGCACACACTCAGCGGAAAATGAGGGTGGGAATGGGGAAGAGGATTTGAATTTCGTGAGCGCAGATTTGCGTTAAGATTTGTGTCAGCATGAAAGAAGACTGCAAAGGGGCGGGAAGGAACGAGTAGAATGAGAGTGAGTGGACGGAGAGGTGAGAGGAGCACACATTCTATGTGGGCTGCCATCTCGATATTTGTATTGATTATTGCCCTACCCTACTCTGCTGCACTCCCCCGAAAGTGACAGCACTTTCTCAACTACTGCGATGGGAATTTTGAAAATTGTCGCTAATTATCTTTGCCTTGGTGCAAGCTGCTTTGGTTCCCACAAATGTCCGTCAAAAGTTATGAAAGGAAAATTGCAGGCCAAGTCAAGGTCAATCGCTTTTTCCTTTTATTTAAGCTGGCTCCAAGTAATTCAGTTTCAGAAAATCAACGGTTTTTATGTGTAAATGGTCTCACAAAAGCTTGAAGCTGTGTTTGGCATGAGACAAAACAATAAGTTGAGACTGGCGTATGACTGATGACTGGTGTGCATTTTTGGGACCTCACTTATTCATTCGGAAATCATTATGTTACCACTTAAATATTTCTCAGATTTTGACCTATTCTTTCAGATTTTCCAATGATTCTAGGAAAGCCTTTGAGTGCATGCAAAAAAACTGTGACGCCACGCACTCTTTCGCCGCTTATTTATTTGTCATTACCTTGTGAAAGTGGACGGCGCCGCTAAGGGGGAAGCAATGACAAAGGCCGGAACAAGGTGGTAGGAAGTTCCTACCTACTAGGAACAAGACTGAAGCAAAAACTGAGACTAAAGCATTGGCAGATTCAGACGTAGTGAAGGGAGAGCACAACTCTAACACTTACAGTTAGACGCTATCAAAGTGAATTTATTCAAGGTGAGGCATTTCCGCACTCCTTCTCCTTTTTTGTGACGCGGCTCCTTGCAAACAAGGAGTATATGTATCTACACAGAGTCATTTTCAAATTTTTTAATATTTCATTATTTGAAGTTTTTTTTTTTTTAACAAACACTTACCGGCTCATCGGGTACCATTTCCAATACTTTTGGATCACATTTGTCTTCCGGCTTTTTGCTGCTGGCTGCCTCCGCTGCAGCCTCTTCTGTTGTTATTGCTGCTGCTTCCGCTGCAGTTACTGTTGTGCTGGCAGTTGATGACGTTGTGGGGATTGCGCTTCGCTTACGCAAACGTTCGGCCCGGCTCAGAGCAGAGACAACGCTGACGGTGGGCGTTAGCTCATCAAAATCCACAGCGGAGGCATCGTGTAAATGGTACTCCTCCTGGGACGTTGACGGTCCCCCCTCATAGGTGGTGGATGCAGCGACAGCGACACCCCCGCGGGCGGCACTCTGCTGCTGAAGGTGAGCGCGTTTATAGTAGGCCAAAAGAGCATCACGCCTGCTCTCGTAGGGGGAGGCAGTGGCTGAGTGGTGGGCGAAGCCAACTATTAAGAGCACCAGCAGCAAATAGAGCGTGTTTAATTGTGTGCAGCAATTTTTGTTGTTGTTTGTGGCGTGGCTGCTGACGTTGCTGTTGGCGTTGACTTTGTTGCTTTTGACGACGCTGCTTCTGTTGGCATCGCAGCTACCGTTTGATGATGTGGCTTTTGTTTTAGGTTTTGTTCGTTGGTTTTGTTGTTGCTTTTTCAGGTGGTCTCGATCTCTTTGGTTGTTGTTGTTGTTGCTGCAGCCCATGCTGCTTTTGATGCTGATTTTGGTGTTGCTGCTTTTGCTCTTGTTGTGTGTTTGCTTTCCTTGAGTTTTCGTTTGATTTTGGTGGCATTTCTTTTGATAATTGGTGTCTTTGTTGCTATGCTGCTGCTTCTGCATTGAACTCTCAGCTGTTTCATTTTTTGATTTTTTCGACCTTTTCGCCCTTTTTTTTATGTACATTTCCATATCACTGATGTTGCTTTTAAGTTTGCTTTTGCTTTTTTTGCTTTTCGAGTCGTTTTCTGAGTTTGGGGGGAGGTTCGTCATGGGCGTGGCAGCTTTTGCAGGTGAACAACGAAATTGTGGGACAGTGGCGCGTTCATCTGCATAATTAAAAAAAAGTTTCGTTTAGTTTTGGATAGGAAATAAATCAAAAACTTTTGTACGTATATACATAAATATGTATGTACGTACATTCAAAAATATACAAAAGTTATTTCTTATTTGTGGTATTCAACTTTAGTTTGGCATAAAGTACCTAATTCTTTTCTCCTTTCAATATGACCAATTTTGTATGGCTGTTAAAGTAGTGTTCGAATTTGTACTGTTTCTCATGTATTTCACATTACTACCGAAATTACTGCCGAACTCATGATCATTTAACTGTAATTGCATTCGGTTGATTGCCTTTCCATCAAGTCCACAACTAGCAGACTCTCAGACAGAAATATAACCCAAATTGAACGTGAAATCCTCTTCCACCAAGAGAACTGCCAATTAGACAGTTTCCATTGCAGCGCCAATTGGAATTTAATTGACAACCTTTTTCAAATAGTTGTTGCTGCTCTTACAGTTTCCTGATGGATGCGAAAACGTAGCATTGAATAACGGAAAAGTCGATCATAAAAATATCCTTCAAAATTCAGCTAATTAAGTAGAGTTACCTTTACCTCATTTCGAAAAGCACATTATTTAAAAATGTACATACAAACATATATACATATGTACATATGTACATATGTATGTGTATATTTGTATAATTTTCAAACATTTAAATATAAAAACGAGAAGGAACGTGTGAGTCGCGACTCTACTTATACCCGTACTCAGTCAGTAAATACAGTTTTGAGCATATGATTTTTTAGAATTTTAGAATTCAAAAAAAAAAGTTACATTTTACATTTTTTTTGCTACATTTCCTATCTACATCTACAATGTATATTATACATATAACATGTAGATTGTACATGTACCATTTAGATTCTACATCTCCTCCGCTAGGGGTTGCTCGCGCACTGAACGCGGCCGAGTGTGCGAGCGAGAAAGAGAATGAGTAGCGGGTCTGTCTCTGGCTGGCCTACCTCCGCCAACTGAAAATTAATATCTTCATTCTGGCTATAATTATAATCCGATCTGATTCAGATTCGGCAATCTGGTAGATATGGGCATTCTCTACGATACTGCATTTTTAGTTTCGTATCTTTAAAAATGTGCCTGCCACAGATTTTCGTCCTTTGTGGGGGCGGGGCGAAATTTTGAAATGCACATGTAGCAGTATGATATCACATGAGTCTGGAAACCAAATTTGGTTTCTCTAGCTCTTATAGTCTTTGAGATCTAGGCGCTCATCAAGACGGACAGACGGACGGACGGCCAGACGGCCAGACGGACGGACGGACAGACGGAGAGACGGACATGGCTATATCGACTCGGCTATTGATGCTGATAAAGAATGGGGTCGGAAACGATTCCTTCTCTGCGTTGCACACATCCACTTTTACCACAAATCTAATATACCCCTTAACTCATATTGAAATCTAATATACCCCTTAACTAATTTTGAGTACGGGTATAAAAATGTAAATGGTTAAGTGCTGTTGTTCAGCAGAAGCACCTGTACAAAAGACTATCCTAATACAAGTAAAATTGTTGTATGATATTTTCCCACTTTTCCTAACCTTAACCATTTCCATTCTATACCAGCCCAACGACAGTCCGCAGCTAATGGGAACAATAAGAGAGGTCGCTTAGTCAGCTACGTGGCCCCTGGGGACTGGGCGTGGCACTTGCAGCTCTCAAGTGTCGCCTGGCGGTGTTATTTAATTTGTTTGTCTCTGATTCCGATTTATGAATAAGCATGCTAAGGAGATACAGGAGAAGGGGAATATTTAGCTAGGAAGCCAAACAAACAACTGAATAACCCGTCAATGCGAAGACAGGCCGCAAATTGGCCAAACCATTTCGACGACTGCGACGTGCTGGAAGGCAAACCGGTGTAAAAACCTTTTTCCGCTAATTGAAATTAATTTTCATTGCATCTGTAAGCGGGGGAGGCACTGTTTTTTTTCTTTTGAATTGGATGAGTTGGCCAGGCACAGTCGAAGACAGTTGGCACATGCGCCATAAACAAGTTCTGATTACGTGATTTGGCCCGATGCCAGGAGTAGTCGGAGGAGGGTAAGGATACCTGGAAAACTATACTCTCACATTGCCAAGAATTTTTTCGGGATACCTGCTGGTACCTACATATATGGTATTTGTTGAGGAAACATTGCTCTCCTACACTCTTTTTTTCTGAGTGTATATGTACATATTTATTATTAGATCTTGATTGGTTGGGATATATTGTAGTAGAAAACTTAGCTTTGGTGACATTGTATAAAAAGCCATTATTCAGCAATAACATTAATGTAACGAGTTTCATTATTGGTATATTGTATATTTAGCGAGATATAAGATCCATTGATCTATGTCAAGGAAGGACATGACAACTATAAAGATTTCTCCACAAAGTCGAGTTTACCAATTCTGTGGTAAAGGAGAGTCTTCTATCGATTAAATCAGTTGCACACTAAGATTGTCCCAAAAGAAAAAAGAAAATTCGGATAGAGGATGTCCCAAAGTCGTTTTCATCAATGTATACCGCTATTTTCAGCTAGTGTTATGTTTGTGTAGCTGGCTGGCTGTCTTCTGCCTGGCTGAGCTCACCTGGCCTCACCTTGACACTCGCTCAACTGAAGCTAATGCGGCAAGGATGCGAGCCTGTATCTTTATCGCTGTGTCTGTATCCATGTAGAGGTTCTACATACATACTCGAATATGCAGTTTTTCAATTAACCAGATTTCGGTTGCCATTCTGTGTCATGTTTTGCTGCCCTGTCGTGTGTCTGTTTGCTGTCTGTCACCTGCCTGGTATGGCCCGGCCCGGACACGTTGCGAGTTTGCCAGTTACTAGTTACAACATAATTGCACAGTTTATTTGAAGCCAAGGCCCAAAACGTTTGCAATTCCGAGTTTGATTTGTTGAGGTCTATCGCTGTGACATCTCAAACATGCAAATTTCCATGGGCAAACAACAGCAAAACCAGAGAGATATTTCAATAGATGAATATTTATGACTTTGGGGCAATTATTTTATGTGTTCGTTTGTAGAGAAAATCCAACAATATTTTATAAGTAAATCGATAAGACAAATTGTTTGGATTAGAAATATGTATCATGCATGGAATTAAAACACTTGAAATATTCGAGCAGAATACACATAAATATGTATTATGTATGCATGTTTGCAATGGTATTAGTTCTGACTCATCAATTTGAGTGAAGATGAAGCTCGTGTCCGGACATGAAATGTAGTCTTGTGGTCTTGCCCTTAGCGTAAAATAGTGATCTAAAAAAAGACAAATAACCAGACGAACAGAAGGAGAATGAAAAGAGAATAGAGGATGTGGTGCCTGAAACAGGGCAGCATATGAATGGCAAAAACAAGAAAGACAAGACCCTGCTTGCAGAGAGCTTTTCATTAGACAAATGTTATTTCGCACACACGCACAGGGCGAGAAAATGCGTGAAACAATCAAACAATGCAACAAAAACACACACACACACGCACTCATTGAGCGAGTTGGTTCACAATTAAACAACGGGAGAGCAACAAGCAAAGCATTTGCAAGAGAAGCAGAAACAGAAATAGAGAGTGAGAGAACGAGAGAGCGAGGACTCGAGTGAGTGCCGCTAACAACATCGAGGACAAATTGTTCGACGGTCGCATTGGCATTCGCATTTTTGTCCTATTTTGCTTAAACAAGCTCAAGCAGCTGTGCTTTGCCTCATTCCACGCCCCCTGGCGACCCCCACTGCCACATAAGTTCCCGCCTCGCGGCCTTCCTTTCCACCGAAAAGCCAACAAATCAGACAACATCATTTGAAATCGTTTTCCCCTGAGCCTTTGTCAGGCATTTCCAGCTAAAAGCTTCGAGTGGCAGTCCCAAACACACATTTCCAATTAGTCTTTTTTCTAGATAGATACTCGTACACCAAAAATGAAATGGAAGACTAAAAAGAAGAAACAACAGCAACCCTGTAATTGTGTTCTATTTTTTGGGTGTGCTGGCGGGGTGTCAGGAGGATGCAAAACCCTTACAAGGATATGGACATTGTTGTACAACAATCATTTTAATCACTTTTCAGGGTCTGGCGCCCCACATTACGAGCATTTCGTTATGCGTTGCCCCACTTTTTTCGGGGGCCACTGTTTACATGCGCAATTTACTCAAGTGCTCTCGCCCTCCTTGGAAAATGTTTATAACATTAAAAGCCTGACAATATCTACATATTTGCGCTTTTAAATAAGTTTTGTGTTGGTTTGATGAGCATCTTAAAATTTTTTGTACCTATTTTGTTAGATTTTATTCGATTAAAATCAGTAAGGAAGATAATGTAACTAGTAGACGGTCGCAGCAGCAAGCTTTAAAAGTCTCAGAGTAGATATATTGTTTCATAGCTATCAAATACCAAGATATTGCATCAGGAACAAACTTCAGGCTTAGTCTTATCTGTAGCTGAATCGGTAGTGTACGTAGTGTTTCGCAAAAACTAAGCTCTTTCTTTGGCTCGCATCTAGTAGCTGGTGCCTGCTTTTCTGTTCAGTCGAGTAGAGACGGATATAATAGGCAATATGAATGATAGCAATACAGTGAAGCTAAAACAGAACATTTTTGCATACACTTTTCTAGAGCAGGCTTGATTTTCCTGAAAATTGTATATTAAAATGGATGAATTACTCTAACCCCCTCTAACCACAACTAGGAAATCTAATAATAAATGTAGCCCAAAATGAGTGAAAATAACCATATGGCGGCCTATACATTTTTCATACAATACTCATATATTACGATTATTCATCATTCATCCGCCTATGCATCTGTGTGTGTAAAATATTTCTTTATAGACCAGCAGCTTATCTACTTGGCCTACTTGGGGCTAAGTGAGCTTTTAGATAAAGTTGCTGGCAAGGCGGCTTGGCACGCACAAGCGGCATAAGGGATATACATAGAAGGGGGACTCGACTCGGTTCTGGGCTAAGGTTCACTTCAAAATATCGAAGGGTGGGTTATGGGGTGTGGGCGTGTATGTGCGCCTAATGTTATGCTACGGCATAATTTGTTGCTTGAAGTGAAAAATTGTCAAGCACACTCAACGTTTATATACACCAACAAAATTGAACTTTTCGAGGTCATAGCTTTTTATTGGCTTTGTTGTGGGCCTCAGCACATGCACACATACACAGAGACGAACCCCTATATAGCACCCATAGCCGTACGATACAGTGAGAGCTCAGGCGATGGACAGTTGCTCTCCCACGAAATAATACAATCCCCTGGGAACCCTTGGAAATACTCAAAACATAACCGTCTCTGTTATTTATCATAAGCGAACAAGTTTCTTGGATCATTCGATCATTCGAACATTTTTATGTTTATTTCGCTTGGAGGAGCGTCAAGAAAATTTCGCTACGATTGCTGTCTCTATTGCTATTTAAAAACAAAATTTTCCGTTTTTACAGTTTTGCTTTTCACACAAAAGTTCAAATTTCACTTGATTTTATTTTCAATTTGAGGATCAGCCGTAGCCGTGGCGCTCAAGAGGGGTTTGTGGGGGTTTTCTGTGGCCCGACTTTAAGGCCAACATTTAATTGCATAAGAAATTTCAGTACATATGTATCTTACAGAATATCCACTCGGCTCATCCTTATCCGTCTGCCTTTATCTCTGGAGAGTATTTGCACATGAATCCCATTATTGGGCTGCAGAATGAAAGGATTGATTGCACAATATCGAGAACAATGCAGGAGATTTTTGTCATCAAAGTGGCTTTTGAGGCTAGAGCGAGTAAACAGATTCAGTTTACTTAAACTGCCGTTTAAATATGCTTAAGTTATTTATTGCATGAGATTAGAGAATCTTTTCATATGATAACATTATTAGATTAGCAATCATTAGGTTTGTTTGCAAGATTAGCCGACTGTTTGGATTTGGATTTGTGTGCGTGCAAAATCCATTGTGGTTGGTTTTCCTGCAGCCTGTAGTCTTGATTATGGTTATTTGTAATTTAAACCTGCCGCAACTTTGCGTACAATTTTTACGAACTCTTCCGATTGTGCTGTACCCACAATTGATTCCCACTTCTCTGATTCTTTTAATGCTCATCCATCTCATGATTTTTATTACAAAAGCAAACACATAAATTACGATCTCCACTTAATTAGTACCCCCTTAGCGCTACTTCTTCTAATCTTTTTGTCCGCCTTACTCATCTTCCTGTCCCTTCTGTATTGTTTTAGGAAACAAAACTTACAGACTTACATCGCAGAGGACAAGCAATTGGCTCTGTCCCCGGCCTTAGCCTATGTGCCCTGACCTAACAGTTTCTCCAGGACGAAGTCAATAAAGCATCAGCCCCTGCCGTAGGAACAGCCGCATGGCACAGTAAAAAAGCGCCATAAAAAAGCAGAGCAAAGACAAGCGACCAAATCCGGATGGGGGTAATAGGGCTGACGCAGGCACATAAAACGGAACAATTGCTAAAAATCAAATGTGACAACTTTTACCAAAATTAAAATCAGCAAAAGTGAAGCCAAAACAGCCAGAGGCCGAGCGGGGAAGAAGAAAAGAACTCGAAGAGAAGATGAGCATAAAAACGAAATAGGAAAAGCGAATGGATGACACACACACACACAGTCAGGAAGAAGTCAGCTTTATGGATGGTGGGAGAGAGTGGAAGAGTGGGATAGTGGGTGTTATAAAGACGAAGGAATGGGGATACCAAACCCAAGTCCGAATCATTGATGCCAAACGGAAATGTGCGCACTTTTAAGAAGTGTACTAAAAATGGCGACGAGCACTTCCGTTCATGGTTGGTCGGGCCATAGATGGGCCCCTGGACTTCTCACAATGTTGACTCGTTTCTGCCACAGTGTTATGAAAGCATCAATTTAGTTAATATATATGCGCAATGCTCTCAATATCTGCATCGATATCCGTGATACTCGTAAGTATTCAATTTTCATTTGGATATAATTGTTGATAAAACATATCCAAAAAGTCTGAATGTGGGATTTCGGAACGAATAAAATGGCAGAAGCAAAGTAAAGCGTTTATTTCTACTTTAACGAATTTGAGGATAGGAAAGTTTGCAACAATTGTTGCCACAGACACGAACCACTGTTAGTGAGCTGATTCGTGCAGTTTGAGAACTAGACTGGCGACTGGCCGGCCCTCACAGAGCGGAAAACAGAGGAAGAGAATACAAATGTTCGCATGAAAGTTGAATGATAGCTGAAAGAGAGCTGCAGGACAGGGAAGGGCAGGGCGTGCCAGGGCTCTGGCCAGACTGGGAAATCAGGAACGCGGCAGGAACACAGCTCGACAGCAGTTAAAAGTCGAATGGAATCGAAATTGCAGCCCAAGTCCGGATGGGTGTGGGGATGTGGCTCATGTTGTCGGGTATGTAAACAAGAGCCGTTCCACAAGTAATTCCAAATTGCATTTAAAGTGCTTTCAATGCTTGGCACTAGTGAAAGAGATCGGACTGACTGCGTGCTACTGCTGAGAATGCGAATGCGGATGGGGATGTGGCGGATGTGGTTGCCTCTTCATTAGCACCACATGGCATATGATTAATATCATTACAAGTCCGTAATGAACTTTGCTTTGCTTTCGACATCATCCTCATCAGCGGTGTATTCCTTCCTTCTGGCCTGCCTGGGCGATGGCTAATTGCTAATGGCAGAGCAGACGTCGAGTTGCATAACAGCCAGTGTCGCTGGTTCTGGAACTGCCACCGCACTGAACTAGACTAATGCTGCTCACTTGAGCAGAAACGGGCATCGTTTTGGTCTGGAAACAGACAATAAAATTTGGTCAAGCCGCAAAGGCACAGATAAGCGTCAAACTGTTCACACATTTTCATCCATTCCCATCCTCATTCATGGAAACGCGCTCAAGCGTGAATATTAAACGTTTGCTTAGAACTGCTGGGAGACCAAAGCAAAGCCTGGTACATCCCCATCCCTCAGCCCTCCGAATGGCCACCACGGATCCAGTCCTGCACAGCCGACCAAAAAAACTTTGTGCAGGGCAGAACTTCTGCCCAAAGGCAAAACTTTACAATCGAAATGGAAGAGCAGATATGCAAATACGAGCGAGTACATTCAAATGTAGAGGAACTTGCATGGAATGTGTAGGTTTGGCTTAGATAAGCAGCCTGCTTTGAAAATCGCTGGCCAGCAATGGCCGTATATACTCGTAGTTTCATATAGCAGTTGTATTAAATTGTGAATTAAATATACATCCGCTTCTCTGGTTCGTGCATTACTTTACCTCATTATATTATTTTAATTAGTTTTGTTATCTTAGAGCCGCAATTGGTCGTTTTTGGGGTGCCTTCTTGGTCTGGAATGTTCGCTCCAAGTACTTCATAGCATTGTCTATATTACGGATCAGATGTACCCTCATGCAAAAGATGGGCCTGGATAAGATTACCCAGATGATCAGAGACAGTGGCAGTGTAATGCCGCCAATCCAATACTTTTCGTAGCGCTTGTAGGTTTCTTCCGACAAGAGCCGATATCCACACAGTATTATACGCATCGTAAGGACGATGAGGGTCTCCAATGAATTCCAAACAATATTCATGGTGAGGTAAAGCACAAAGATTGATACAATGATCTCGAAGATGAATTTATATATCCAGCATGCCGTATATAGTAGTGGCTGGGGCAACTGTACTTTGTTGGCAATCACGTCCAGAACACATATGGACACCAGCACCGAAGGCAGCATGGGCTTGCCAGCACTCAATTCTTTAAGTGGATCTTCCCGGAACCACTGATACAAAAGAAACATCAGGCCGGCAATTCCAACAGAATACCAGGATGCCATGGCTATGGCTTCTAAGCAAATACAATACCAATTTATTGGTTCAACTATAGCCAATATCCACTCAATACTTACTTGTATATCAGTTTTGTTTAAAAACCAGAACAACTTAATTTACTTTGGAAAATTGATGATGAATAATAAATATTTTCTATTGTGTAGTGTGTTATTGTATAGATTTTATTGAATACAATATTAGTAATGTTTCTATTAATATGCTTTCAAAAGGTTACTAAGATACTAAAAGTACTACTAATCTTTCCATTTCTATGCCTACATCAAAATTTCCTAAAATCCATTTCCTTCCCGATACTTATAGTATCATAGTTGGTATATAAATATTATACTAACAAAAATCCCATGCATATGCTTAAAAAAAAAGTTTTTTCAAGTCTTTTTTCGTTACAATCATTCCAAAATTAGTTTCTTTCTTTTTTTCGTTTACCTAGCTTTTATCACCACAGACAGTTTTGTAGGGTGGTCCACTCCTGTACACACAGACACACCAAAAACCATATAACAAAAAGATGGGTAACGCTCATACATTTCAATTGCCATATATGTACAAGCCTATTTTCCGGTAAGCGGTAGCGGTATACAAGAAGGCTAAGGGGATCGGTGTACCGGTTTTTGGCCACTCCGGTTTTGATCTTTGCAGCGTTATTAAATCCCCTTACGAAATTCGTTACGGCCATGTGCTTATCACAGAGCGCGCCCTTGAAAGCCCTTCCCCTGATTGAGTTCCATTCAATGCAGTTGGCAGCTCTTTAAATCGTAAATTGGGGAGCCAGTGGAATGAAGGGCATTGCGGTACATTAATATGCAAAGCACGCGGCTAGTCATTAGTGGAGGGGGCAGGCAACCATCAGGGGCAGTGGCGGTAGGAAGTGAGTCAAAATAATGAATTATACCACGCCTAACGAGTATACAGCAGCCAGCATGGCGCTGCCCGACCACTGCTCCTGTCCAGCTCTACTTTTTCTCCACCTCTCTCTTCCTCTCGTTTTGTGGGCGCGGCAGAGAAATCCAATAAAAATTCAATAAATTCCCCATAATTCCCGTCATGTTGTGCTATGCTGTGTGGTCGTGTGTATGTGATTATGTGGGTGTGGGAGTTAAAGTATTGCACGAGTAAGCGAGTAATAGGCCTGGCCCTGGTCTTTGCTCCTCTACACTACACTACACCAACATATTCCGTTGTTGGTTCTCTTCGTCCGATTAGAAGGTAAATAAAGTGGAACTTATCTAGTACCACAGTTCCATTGGTATATTACACAACTGACTCGAAATTTTCTGTTTAGGTCTCATCGCTGCTCGACCGAGCCCGATGGTAATGGTTTTTTTATACCCGTACTCAAAAAAGAGTTAAGGGGTATATTAGATTTGTGGTAAAAGTGGATGTGTGCAACGCAGAGAAGGAAACGTTTCCGACCCCATAAAGTATATATATTCTTGATCAGCATCAATAGCCGAGTCTATATAGCCATTTCCGTCTGTCCGTCTGTCCGTCCGTCTGTCCGTCCGTCCGTCTTGATGAGCGCCTGGATCTCAGAGACTATAAGAGCTAGAGAAACCAAATTTGGTTTTCAGACTCATGTGATATCACACTGCTACAAGTGTATTTCAAAATTTCGCCCCGCCCCCACAAAGGACGAAAATCTGTGGCTGGCACACTTTTAAAGATACGATAAAACTAATAACGCAGTATCGTAGAGAATGCCCATATCTACCAGATTGCCGAATCTGAATCAGATCGGATCATAATTATAGCCAGAATGAAGAAATTAATTTTCAGTTTCTTCCCCTGCCCCCCCTCCGGCAAACGACAACGCAACTAATTTTCCTTCTCGCTCGCACACTCTGCCGCGTTCAGTGCGCGAGCAACCCCTAGCGGAGGAGATGTAGAATCTAAATGGAACGTGTACAATCTACATGTTAGATGTAGAATATACATTGTATATGTAGATGTAGATAGCAGATGTAGCAAAAAAATGTAAAATTTTTTTTTTCTAAAATTCTAAAAAATCATAAGTTTAAAAATGTATATACTGACTGAGTACGGGTATAAGTAGAGTCGCGTCCCCAGAAGCGACTCACAAGTTCCTTCTCGTTTTTTTGTGGTTTTTGGACTGATCCCAATTTTAAAAGGCGATCAATTAAGATCGCCATTTAAGTTAATGCTATAATTAAATTTTCCATTACGTTTTTAATTTTCGTTTATATCCCATCTTGGGGCAGTTTTGATCATTGCATCTGTTAAATTTTGTATAATCCAAACCATATTTTGTATATAAGTAGATACATGCATACATATGTACATTATCAATGGTCTACTATATAAATGGAGTTTTCACGCTGGAGAAGTGTGACTGTACAGTGCAAAATTTTTATTGTTCAATTTTCTTCGTAAGATAGGGGCAGGATGCAGCCCTGTCGCGTCGTGTCTGCGTGAACAGCGCCTATAAATAGACAGTAGGAATGGCAAACGCCAAAAGCGACAACCGGAAGTCGTAGGAGCCGATGATATATATGTGTAGAAAATGATGCCAGAAAGTGTGGGATGGCAAGTCTTGGACAAAAGTTGAAAATAAGAATGAAAGCAAATGTTTATAAAGCTTTCCCCTCCTAGATTATGGCATATTAACTGAAAAAAATATTCGCTGGATTTGTTTTTAAGCTTGAACAGGAATAAGTTGATTTTGGGTGAGACTAAGCTTTAAGAACTCGCTCGGAATCATGATATGGTTTTAAATTCAGTCCTTAAACAAAAGATTCTTGCCAGCAGAGTTCAATTGATTCGAGTTCCTCGTCGAGTGCACTTAAAGTTAACGAGAAGAGCTTGAGGGAATTTAATTTAACATCATCAGGAACATCAGATAAAAATGTCCATCTGGTAAAGTATAATTTAACATATAAATAAGAATAGTTACAAAATTCCATGGCGATTATTTTACACAATCATAGATCAACAATCCCTTAAAGCCCAGATGGATATATACATTGTACATTCTCTCTTGCCCTTTAGAGAACGAATATTGAATTTCATAAAAATGGCTTGTGCTTCCCTCTGCTTCCCTGTCACAGGCTCGCCAGCTCTCCAGCAGCTGATCGTAATTAATTTACGAGAAAACTAGGGTTAATATAGCGCAGGGCAGAGCACTCAGACTCGTAATAGTTGGGAGATGATGGCCGAGATGAACGGGCCTTCGTCTCATATCAGAGTCGGCGTACTCACTCATGTCAACACAGTCATCAACTGGCTGTCGCTTAAATTGCTGGCACTGCTGCGGACGTGGTCTGGCTTGGCTCGACCTTTTTCCTTCCTTTTTCGAGATACCTTCAAGCAAATTATGCCTATTTTATCAGGGCCAAAGGATAAACAAAACAAGGGGGCAAGCAATCAACGCAGCAAAAAAAAATTCACTAAGACTGACTTGGATGCGACGAACTTGGAATACCCTTTGCAATGCCCGAAATTACCCACATGGCCTGTTGTGGGTGGCTAGACAATGGGATCAAAGATTCCATCAGACATACCATCCTTGGAAAGGGTATTTAAAAATGGAAATAAAATTGGTAAAACATTAAACGAGTGCAAAAAGGAAAGCGAAAAGCAAGAAGGGATAGGCAAATGGTTTTCTCTCCATTGAAAGTATGACAATAACGACATACTAACCTAAAGTTATATGGCCCGGGTCAGCAGTTGGAAGTTACGCCTTTTCCATGGTTAACCAATTGCGTTTTGATGTTGTAGTTGGGTATTTCCGTTTGGTTTGTTGTTGCTGGTGTCGCTTTCAATGTGAATTTTTATGAGCGCGCGCATCTAATAAAATTAATACCAGAAATTCTTGTTGACTTTGGTTGATTTTTCTTTTTTTCTTCGTTGGATTAGATTGCTTTTTCCAGTTGATTTGTTTGTTTCATATTTATATTGACTAGTTTAAAATTTAATTTGTTTTTTCGTTAGTACTCATTTCATCAGAATCAGAGAAGACTAATTGGATTGGAAGACAATAAGTAAAACCATCCATGGTTTCCTTTTTAAAGAATTCATTTACATCCTCTACAATTCAATAACTTTTACTATCCACTATTCGACTCGATCAACCATTAACAGTATCAAATTGAACTGTTTTAGGCATTTATGGATTTTTTTCAATCAAAAGTGTTTTTTTTCAATAACCAAAATTACGCCCCACACAAGTACATAAATATCCGTATCAAAGTATGCAATCCAAAGTGTTAGGGATTGCAATTTCTAAAAATTATTGCGGAAACTTTTTTTCAGATTTTTTATGTGTTTTTTCTACCAATGTTAAGTTGAGTGTGGTGCTCAAGAAAATTGAAAGAAAAATCTGATACTCTTCAAGTCAAGAAATAAAAACTTCTTTGATTGCAGTCAAAAAAGTTTTCGTACCAAGAAAAGGTGACCATAAATGAAAATATTAAAGTTTTCTATCTACAATAAGGTAAGAGCTGGTAATTTAACTTTTTTGGTAACTTTTTTCGGATTAAATAGAATTTTACGGTAATTATGTATGCACCTTCTGCTTCCCTTTTATTCTCCCTCTGACAGCTCCTTCAATCCTCTGCTATTTGCAACCGGCGACTCGTATTCCTCCTTGTACTATGCATACATACATACATACATATGTACGCTCATAAGAAAAGCCAGGCGTCGCCGTCGACGTTAAAAGAGCCAAAACAAGCGCGTGTTAGCTGCTGCTTCTTCTGCAGGTTTCAAAATAACTCTAGGATACACAAAAAGACATCCTGTGGCCTCGAATGTGTGTGTTTGTGTGTCTCGGTGTATTGGTGTGTGTGTGTGTGTGTGAAGCCCACAAAAGGTGAAACTTTAGCCAGGAAAAGCTCCTTGTTGTTGTAGCTGTCGCTACCACTGCTGGTCTTCTGTCGCTGGTCTGCCGCCGCTACTTTGACGCTGCAGGGAATGTTGATAACTCTGAAGTACAAAGCGTTTGCCTGACAAATTAACGATGGATGGCTGGGCAAACGAATGGCAACGAAACGTAGGGATGCGAATATGCGTATAAAAATATATTTTTGTCATAAATTAAATGATTTGCACACTGTAGCCGGGAGTCGGGTTTTACGGGAACGGTCGGATAGCACGCGCGAGAAACTAACGAAGATTTCGTGTGTGTGCGTCGCAAAGGACGTGTAATGCTGCCGCACTAAGCGCGCAAAAACCGACAGATACACGAGCATTTAACACCCAAAAAATGCGTGGCGGCGCATGTTGAAAAGAGAGCAGCGAAGCGCTGCTTTCCTCCTTAAAAATAAACTGTTGAAACGGCACATGGATATTACACCATGCATTAATTTCATTATTATTCGGTTATTATTGTGTTTATTTCACATACTCATTTACATTTGGATTTAAGCAAAAACTATTTCCATTTTATTGTTACGCACTGGTTCAGTTCAACTGGAATCTCCTCCTGCTGCCACACAAAAGCGGAATACGCGTTAGCTCACGTTCAACTCAACTGAGGAGCACTTTTTCTATGCTCTGCGAACAGGATGTAGACCTGGTATAGCTGGGGGTACAACTTACGGTCATCCCCTTCGGGGACAAAAGTTGTTTTTGTCAGGCTCTCTCTCTCTCTCTCTCTGTGAGAGCGTGCGCATGCGCAGCGAGCGTCCTCTTCCAATAGGACCTAATTTGAGCGTCTGTCGAGTCCTATGTAATTCACCCTTACCCAATATAGAGATACTTTGATATTTGATATTTTTCCGCTGCAAAAGCTTGTGTCGCACTCGCGTTCACTTTTTCAAACAGTTCTATAACAGTTTTCTAACAACGGCATTTAACCCATTTAAAGACACGCATAACATCAGTGCCGTATAATATTAATATAATAGGCTGAAATTTAAATTTGAGTTATAAAATTCCCATAATGAATAAATCACCTAGCTGCTCTTACAATGAATTGGGTTTACTCTAGCGGATTAGGGAATTCAGGTAGATCTATCTTACGTTACAGCAGACCTGCGCAATACAAATTTAGACTAAATAGATGCCTCTTATATGTCTCATAGAACTGGAATTACCAGAGATGGCAGTTTCGCAAACCAGTATTGATGTCTTTTTTTTTTTTTTTTTGTGATTTCAACGCCTATTGGCGTTAGTGGTTGGTCTGTTGTAGCAGCGACCAGAAACGATGTATCGATATGTGCGAGACACTATCGATTATACTGCAACTTTCTAGTATTCATAGAGATGAGTAATTGGCAACGTGATCGAATTTGAATTTGTATTTTTCTCAAAGAGAGTAATTGGCCAAAAGAAAACTTCCAAGCCAAGAAACTAAGTTGATATGTTATATACACAATTACATTGGATGTGTTTAAACGACGCGAGATTAAAAGTCTAATTTAGCTTCTCTTACAAATTTCGCGAGTTCCCTCATATGTAGAAGGATATTTGCTTTAAACAAATCGTGCGTAGAGTTGTAATACTTAAATATTTTAAATTTACGCCTTAGGGGCATGAGTCTTGTGCAGTTGAAAATCAGGTGATTTGCAGATTCAGTTACGTTACATGTTGGACATAGGTCACAACTAACTATTTTGCATTTTTTCAAAAAAACGTTGTCATACGTATGATTTATCATGAGTCGATTCAGGAGTCTCATATCCTGAGCGTTCCATTTAACCTTCTTGTGCCAGGGTTCCCCTGGAACATTTGGAAATAAATCAAAGAAAAAACCACCAGACAATGAGGAAGCCTCCTTGTAGTAGTCATTCCATAAGGCGAAAACTCTTTTCTTGACCTCTCGACATGCTTCACCTAACGTATAGTTCAGCCTAACAAACACCCCATTTGAGATGGCAGATTTTGCAGCTTCATCCGCTTGTTCGTTTATTGGGATACCCATATGACCTGGCATCCAGTAGATGGCTACCTTAGTTAGTCTTAATCGCTTGGCAATGAGACAGGTCATGTTAATTGTAAATAATTCAGCCATAGCAGACGAAATTTTTATCTCTGATTTAAATCTATAAGTCTTTTTTCCGTTTACATCGATAATACCCATACCCACTTTACTATCACATATTGAGGCATCACTTGCAAAGATATGGTACTTTGTTTCCTTGAGATTGTGGAGAATTTCATAATACATAACAAGAATTTGTTCTTTAGGTACATTTAGTTTGTTTATATTAAAAGGTTTACTATGTAGATGCAGTCTTTTATTTGCAGTGAAAGTCACTGCTGGTTTGGTCATTTCAAAAATATCCCTAAACTTGTTTGCTACTATCGTGTAAGACGAATTTACGGATTGAGAGCAGGTGTAACTATTGTAAAGATCGTAGTTTTGAGTCTTTAATCTCAAAAGCTCTTTGGCAGTTAAAAACATTGCTCTGAAGTTTGGGGGCATTTCACCCGCCAACGCAAAAATCACATGCTTTGGAGTATCTGGTGTTACCCCTAAGCATCGACGAAGCGCAGCGGCTTGTCTCGAAAAAAGTTTCCCAAAGTTACCTTTATTTAGGTTTGCCATGGTGGTCGACGCATATTCAGCTTTTGATCTAATGTGTGCTTTGTATATATTTGTGGCAACTTGAGGTCTTAGGCCACTCTTAATATTGGTGGCCATTTGCAACAGTTTCATGCCAACCCCAGATTCTTTCCTTATTTTTTCTACATGTTTCTTGTCAGACAAACTCGATGTGATTATTCTACCCAGAAACTTTATTTCCCTGACTTCAGGAATACTTTGCAGATTCATAACGATATTTACTTTCGTTTTTTTGAATGGTGTCATAGCCATAACCGAACACTTAGTTGGATTCAGGTTGAGTCCCAGATCCTCACAAAGGAGCTGAAAACTTTCGATCTTGCCTTGTAAATTTGTTGCAGCCTCACAAAAAGTGGGTTTGGCTGACAAGATTATGAAATCATCAGCAAATTGAAAAATCTTGGTGTCGTTGTCCTCAATTTGATGTAACCGAAAGGTATACAGATTAAAAAGAACTGGCGACAGACAGCTTCCCTGTGGCAGACCATTTGTAACCTTCTCAGTCTCCGAACCTAAGTGTAAAAACCTTACTGACAAGAAATTTAGAATCCATAGTATAATTTGGTTAGGAACTTTTATCCACAACATGATTTTTTTTAAAAATGCCAAATTTCACAGTTATACGCATTTCTATGTCAGGCAAGCCTACTATTTTCTTATTTTGCCGTTTGAGGCAATGAATGGTTGACAAAAGATCGTTAATACACATGGAAGCACTTTTCTTTTTCCTATAAGCATAACACCTAAAGGGCAGTAACTTGTTCTTTTCCACAAACTCAGACAATCTATTTTTAACCATGCCGTTTACAGATTTCGCAAGAACTGAGATTAGCGATATTGGTCTGAAGTTTTTGATGTCATCTAGTGGTTTACCACATTTTGGAATTGGACAAATCTTAATGCTTCGCCACGCATTTGGAAATTGGCAGTCATCATATAACTCATTAAAACAAGACAATAGTTTTTGTATTACCTCTTCCGAAAGAGATGCTAGCATTTCATATGTGATCCCATCAATGCCACCAGCCGTTGATCTTTTATTTCTAATAACCTCACTTAATTCCTTCATAGAAAATGTTTCTGTACTCTGCGAGTTAGCCATGTTATTAGGAACAGTTGCAGTTAACTCTGTTTGTGGAATTTGACTGCTCAGAAAGTCTAGATATTCCCTGTTATTGGATGGAGACCACTCTTGCATCTGAGGTTTCCCTAGACCTTTAAGATTCCTCAAAAATTGCCAAGATTTCCTAGACGAAGGACTCTGATTAATCTCTTCAATTTTATCCTGATAAGAGTTTCTCTTTGCTTTTTTCACAGCATTTTTCCATTTTAGTCGAGCTTGGCTGGCCGCTTCAAAGTTCTCTGCATTTGGATATTTGATAGCTTTAGCTTGCGTAGACTTAAAAATTCTATTTAAAAGTGTAAGTTCGTCAGTCCACCAGAACTTTGGAGACCTTTTCTCTAATATGTGAGTGCATGACCTAATTTCATTTTTCACCTTGTTTGTTATATCATTAATGTTCTGAAACTCTCTAATGTTGTTCAGTTTTGAAAGTAACTTTACTTTAGACAGAAAGAACTTTGGTTTTATTTTGATATTCTGGATTGTAATTGATATAGGAAAATGATGGCTGCCACCAATCCTTAGCGGACGGATATGCCAGTCAAAAAGCAAATCAGAGTTGGTAAAAGTCAAATCCAAAACTGAACCCGACATTAGATTTAGAGACTGTTTAAAGGTTAAGCTCCCATCATTCAACCACTTGAAACCAGCATTTAAGGAAACATCTTCTATGAAACGACCTTTGGAATTGGTCATACTATCACCGAATACACTATTACGAGCATTAAAATCTCCACATATGAATACATCTTGAAGATTTTCCATGCTATCAAAAAGTCTTTTAATGTCTGTTTTAAAATCATCTAGAGGTACTTTGGCTCACAATAGGCTGAAGCTATTGTGAGATTTCGGGATAAATTGGTTGTTTGTATAATTGATATGTCAGATGTAGCAATGAAAGGAATTTTTTTGAAAAGAATTTTATTTTTTACTAGTACCGAAGTACCTCCATAATTGTCAGCTCTAAGTTTTTCAGCAGCTTTAAAATTTAAAATGTTTCTAAAAGTAGGATCATCTCCATGGGAGAAGATCTCAGAAAGACACGCAAAATCAAAATCTTCATTATTAAGGAGAAACTCTAGGTCATTTTTATTTGCTTTGAGCGATTGAATGTTGTATTGAAATATTTTAACTGACATGTTTATTGTGTTTTTAAAGTCTGGCTCTGATTCAAACTTTTCTCCAAAAACATTCTACTAGATTTGCCTGTTCTTATAAATTTTTCTTTTAAATCCTGAAAGGACTCACATAACACTTCATCCGAATCAATGAATGGTGTTATTAAGCGAAAAAGTTGAGCACAAATATCAGCAAACTTTATATCCTCCTTCACTGGGTATTGGAATTTATGTTCTGAAGTGTCATGAGTATAAGATGGTAATGAGAAATGATGGAAATTTTGTTGTGGAGGAACTAAGGTGTTTTTTACTATTGAGGTGTATCGGTTACTATTTATGATATTGTTTACAAGCTCGTTTTTATCTATTGTCTCAGGCATTTTCGATGGTAGAGCAGGAAAAGCGTTTTCATTTTGGGATAATAAATCAAAACGATTATTTATCGAGTATTGGGATGTCACTTCTTTCCTCGACAATTTCTTTACACACATAACTTTCATTATTTTTTCCTCAAGTGCCCATTTTGGACATACGTTCTTATCACGAGCCGTGTGTTCATTACTGTTACATAAAATGCATTTGTACACCTGACAATTCGGAGATGTGCACTCCGGCGCACCACAACGTAGACAACGCTTCTTTGCTTTACACGTTCTTGAACCGTGACCAATCCGTCCACAGTTAAAACATTGTA